GCCATGGGTGAAGCGTTCTGAATGGACAATTTCCGCTTGGTCACGAGAAAAGCGCTCCGATTGGCCGTGTGAAAAGCGATCAGGTTGGACGAAATTGTAGCCTTGCAATTGGTTCCTGGTAAAACGCTCTGCTTGGACAAAAGAACTAATTTCTTGCTGGCCATGGGGCATGCGTTCAAAATTTGCCATGTCTGATTGGCCCCGGGAAAAGGGCTCTGGTTGAACAATTTCCGGAACGTGTGAGAAGCGTTCTGTTTGGCCAAAATTTGGGACCTCTGATTGGTTGTGTGCCCTGCTTTCTGGTTGGTTGTGAGTTCTTGATTCTGATTGGCTGCGAGTTCTGGATTCGGATTGGCTGTGGGGCCGAGTTTCTGATTGGCTGAGGGGCCTACATTCGGATTGGCTGAGGGGTCTAGATTCTAATTGGCTGTGCGTCCTAATTTCTGGTTGGCTGTGAATTCTAGATTCTAATGGGCCGTGTATTCGGGATTCTGATTGGCTGTGAGTTCTGGATTCTGATCGGATGAGGGGTCTAGATTCCGACAGGCTGATTGGTATAGATTCTGATTGACTATGGGTTATAGATTCTGATTGGTTGCGATTGCTGCTTTCCGACTGCTCATCATTCAAGCACATTACAAGGTTGAGGTTTTGACGAACCTGGGGAAATGAAATAAAACATTGGTCAGAATCATCATAATCATTATCGGCAGTATCAACACGGCTGAGAGGCTCAGGGGATTCATAATGGCTGTTAGAGAAACTAAATAAGAGATACTGAGGTCCTGGGTTTCAGGTTAAAGCCATATCTGGATCTCTCTCTTTAGACAGTTAATAATGGCCACATCAAAAACACTGCCTGCACCGTTGATTAAATCTGGTTCTCAAGTGCAGCGAATTGATGGTCTCATCTTAGTTATCAAAGAATTTGCAAATGTTAAACGAGTTTGTCACGGAGTTCAGCATGTCAGCACTGAAGAACATTGTGATGAATGACGTTAGTGGCGCACGTAATAGGTGCCCCACCTAATGAATGAGACTGGAGGCAAAACTCCTACTAAAGTGGGGTTAATGACATCATCTTCCAGTATCACCATCTGACAATGTTACATTCCTCTCCTAAACACAAGACTGAGAGCAGCATAAAAAAATCAACACCACCATAACTGCCACTTTCGCAACCCCAGTCACCACCACCACTAGCATCACAAACACCAACAATCTTCACCACCAAATTACCTTATGCTCTTCCCGAAGGTGTTCTTCCATTTTCATTTTCCAAGCGATCATCCCACACAGCAAGCACTTCCACTTCTCCTTCTGCTCCACTTCCGCCTCTTGCTCCACTTCGTTCATCTCGTCGTCATCATCCTCCTCCTCTTTCTCCGCCTCCTCCTCCTGCTGCTCTTCCTCCAACTCCTCCACCTCCACCATCTCCTCTGCCGGCTTCATGATGGGAGCCCCTCCATTGGCCGTCAGTAACGGCGGAGCCTCCTCGGCACTGCGGTTAACGGGTGGGGCGTCCATCTCGATGGCCGACAGAATTGGCGGCGCGTCCTCCGGGTCCGACGAAGTCTCCTGCTCCTCCTCCGTCGCCACCACCACCGCAGCCGCTGCCGCCACCTCACCACTGGCACTGCTACCGCTAGCACTGCTGCCACTACTGCTGCTACTACCACTACCACCACCAGCAATCATGCCTTCTCGTCTTCGTTCCAAATCGCGATGCGTCGCTAGGTGAGATATCATACCGCTCCGCCCACACGTACGGTAGGGACACAGCGGACAGCACAAGCTGGACGGCTGGTCGGTGGCTGGAGTGTGGCAATCAACACTCTCTACAGCACTGCTGCTACTGCTGCTGCTACTGCTGCTGCTACTCTTGTCTTCTCCGGTGCCACCACTGTCCGTGGGGTTCAGCGAAACGAGCCGAGAGGAGTGCTTGGCAGAAGGCCAACGGCTTCGCGTGTGCCGATTGTGGTGGTGTTGGCGGTTGCTGTGGCGATGTCGAGCCCAACCCAATCGTGAATTTTGGCGAGGGGAAGATGATGGAGCGAATCGGCCGTCCGGGCTGCGCATCAGAGTCCGCGGTGGAGTTGCACGAGGGATGGGAGCCGGTGGCGGTGGCGGCGGCGGCGGTGGTGGTGGCGGCGGTGGTGGCGGCGGTGGCTCCGCCAGACGGTGCTGCCTCAGCTGGTGCCGCCGGAGTTGGGATTTGAAGGGAGCGGTGAAGTCGCACTGTGTGCAGGCATGACGGTGCGGGTAGGGCTTTTGTGAGGGCTCTGTGGTGAGGCGATGTGCGGGCTGGTGGAGAGAGGAGGAAATAATTAACTAAAGGAAGACAGTCCAGTACACAATGGCTATTTCTTTGTGGATTCACATAGACTGTGTGCCCCACACACATTTAAAGCTTTGTAAATTAAAAAAAAATGTTAAGTCATGGCAAAATGCTCCATCAGTGCTCCAGTGACGGTTACTGTTGCACTATTGCATAAGCCTTAACGTGAACCCACAGCCTGGGATAAGAGCCTGGGTTTGAGTGTCCCTTTTTCAGGTGGCTCATTGTGGCCATATCGGAGACAATAAACAGACACTGCTGAGATCCGGAGTTTGAACCCTGGGGTTGGGTGTGTCTCTCTCACTTGGTTCATAATGGTCATCAAAGAGATAATGGGTCAGTATCACCAAGATCTTTGAAATGATGTGGAACGTGCTGCTACCAACATTGCCCCATCCTGCTAAACTACAATCATGAGACGTCACACTTCACCACCTGGTCATTTATGATTTCATCACGTTAACTCAATGAATGAAAGCTACAGTATATAGGAGTGAGATTAAGCCTTGCAGGGCTGTAGCCATACCCCCCTGGTCACTGCTGCTCTTTAAAAAGCTGTTAAAATAGCATAATCTATTTTTAGTAAGGTTATGCATTTTTTTCCTAAGTGATGTGGTCATACCGTCATCATTCACGCCTTAAGCAACCAGTTGCTTTAAGTCAGAATGTCCCCTTACTCGAATATGCGAGACAAAATAAATACTCAAACCGTGCTGTGTGCGTGTCTGACTAATAAAGTTCATGGTACGCGAGGACTCGATGACAGCCGTCATATGGACAGGGGGATTCTTCCTGGTCGGCCCAACCCTTTGCACCCACCCCACCCCAATGGCCCCACCCTTTCCGCAATGGGATTTAACTTTCCCCTGTTGACCCCATGATTCCCCCAACACAGTCCATATCCCTGGTCAATTTTTTTTACCCAAGTCAAAGGTTGTAGGTCGTACAATACATAGCTCATTATTGAATTAGACCTCGACTGTGTATGATGAAAATTACTCAAGTGTTGTGACTGACAGATGGACAAATTAAGTTTGTTTAATGAATAATGGTTTACGTCGAGTCCACCTGCTTAAATGAGAAATGAGCAATGGGCGGCAGCTCATCTCTGTTGGCAGCCATGTGCTGGTGGTGGAAATTGCTAGGGCAGGCTAGTACCTCCAAGGGACAATCACTGTTACTGACTTTGGACAAAATAATTATGCTCATTTTATTGACCACAAAGGGATGATGATCGGGTGAGACAACCACAAACCGGGAACATGTGATTGTGAGTCAAGTAGTCTGACCACAGCGACACGCAGCCAGATCTCTAGCAGGAGGTTCATAGTGCCTGCGTCATAGACGAGCCATTGCTTATGAGGTACACAGGATAGTCTTTATACAGTTCTTTATAATAATCTCTGAAAATAAATAATATTTGATAATTATGTCTTGAGTTGCCACGAGAACATGGCATTTCCACTGACCTTTATCAGTTGAGTTATTGCTGTGGTCAGAATGCTCAACTCACAATCAGGAGAGGGCCTGAGTTCAAATCCTGGCTCATCCCTTCACCATCCACATCAGTAGCATTATCACCACCATTATTATCTCCAATTCATCACTTCCCTCACTAGCATTCCCAACACCACCACCACCATCACTATTAACCATCCATACCCACACCACTATCACTATCCCAACTGTAACTACTACCACAACCCACATTATCATAATCATCACTTCATCACCAACATTAACAAAATCATTACAATCACTATAACCCTCATCACCACCACCTCCATCATCATCATCTCCATCACCACTACCACCACAATCATCACCACATTCATAATCATTCTCTCGCGCACACGCCGGCCAACTCAAGAGAAAATCACCTCTTGATCATTGCCCTGAGCTGTTTGATCTTCATTGTCGGTCGTTTGATCTCCATCAGCCCTGGCGACAGCCGGCACCGCATCGCCATCACCTGGCTCTTCGGCAGCCCCGTGGCTAGAATCAAGCTCATCTTTCGGCCGCTCCTCCTCCATCTCCACCACCTTCGGCTGCAACGAATCTTCTGGTTCATTGCAATCACCGCCACTGCCTCCATCATTTGCAGCCACCTCCGTCAACACCTTTCCTCCCTCAGCAGTGGCGGCCCTCAGCTCCCGGCAGCGCACCTCGTGCAGCAGTAACCTCTCCATCGATGGCAGCGCCAGATCGGGACAAAGAGAGCATCGATAGCCGCCCAACCCGTGGCCGCCACCGCTGCCAAAGGCTAGCTCCGCCAGCGGGCCCTCTTCCTCCCCGCCGGCCGCTCCTGCAGATCTATGGTTTTTAGCCCAGGATGGGCGGCGCCCGCCACTGCCGCCGCCAGCACCACCACCCCGTACCGGCCGTCGACGATGAAGGCAAGCGAGGAGCAGCGGGGAGGCGGGTTCGGCACGAGACCACACCTCCTCGCTGCAGGCCCGCACGGTGGGGTGGCGCTTCTGGTAGTGCGTGAGCACGCCGTGCACACGGGCATTCAGGTAAGGACATAGGGCGCACGTGAAGATCAGCTGGCCCTGGCGATGCTGCTGGCGCTGCTGCTGAGTTGGTGCGGATGCGGCAGTGGAGGTGACAGCGGTGGAAGTGGCATACGTGCTAGAACTAGGGGTGGCATCACTAGCGCTACCAGCTACAGCAGCCGTAGCACCATCTCCTCCACCATCAGCAGCAACATTTGCAGGAGAATCAGTAGTAACAGCAGCAGTGGTGGCAGCAGTGGTGGCAGCAGCGGCGGCAGCAGCGGCAGTAGCCCTGCGTCGTGCCCGGTCTCGCTCACGTCGAAGTAGAATGGCGGGGGACACCTCCACCGACTGCTGCTCTAGCGAATGCAGCTGCTGCAGGTCCAGGCCGGCGCCCGCATGCCTCCGCGCTATGTGTGCATCCAGCTGCCTCGCCGTGCTGCAGGCGACACCGCAGTGGGAGCAGCGGCGCAGTGGGCGGTGATGACCACGTGATGGCGTCGAGGATAGATCGACCGCAGTTTCCTCCACCGATGTCGTCATTGTTGTTCCGTGCGAAGGGGGCGTCGGGACAGGTCAATGATGTCGGCACCAGCGGCCCAACTTCCCCGTCTTCCACGGCATCTCCTCCCCTCACCAGTGCTGTGTGCCGCCGAACTATGTCAGCACTAGCCCGCACACCCGGGTGGCGCTTTTGGCAGTGCACGAGCACGCCCTGCACTGAGCGGTTAGTGTAGCCGCACTCCTGGCAGTAGAAGGGGCCCGGCGTAATAATCGTCACTGCCATCGCTGCGCTCGGTTGAGCTTCGGCTGCCGCATCAGGAGAAGAGGACACTGGTAGCGGCGCCGCAGCGGGCTGGCCACAGGGGACGGCCGGCAGCGCTGTGGCGACAGTAGGCGTCGGCGTCGGCGGTAGTGGTGTCACGAGCAACCGCATCATCTCAGCAAGGCCCATCCTCGCCGGCGACTGCGGCTCGTCCGCCGGAGGGGCACCATCCGCCGGAAAGCGCTGTCCCTCTCGCACGTAGCGCGCCGTCACTTTGACCAACGGGTGGCGCTTCTGGTAGTGAACGAGGACACCCTGCACCGAGCGATTGGCATAGTTGCAGTGGCGGCACCGGAAGGTTGGCTCAGATGCTTGCTCTGCCTCTTCAACCAGCCCCGCCTCTCCTGTCGACCCTGCCTCTGCATTGGCGTCAGGTTTGGAACCGCCACCGAAACGGCGCCGCAGTGATCCGCGCATCGTCCCCTTCGCCGGCGGTTGCCCTCGGCGCAAGATGCGTGCATAGGTGGCCTTGACAGCTGGGTGCCGGCGCTGGTAGTGCACAAGCACTGAATGGATGTTGCCGTGACCGTAGGGACACTGGTCGCAACCATACCACGAGCTTCCACTGCTACTGCCAGCAAAACCATGGCGTGGACGCCCAGCGTACTTCCTCCTGATCTCGTTGGTGCTGTTGGTGCGGTAGTGGTGGTTGTGCTTCCGCTGCAGTGGCCCCCGCGTCACATCGAAAGTGGACGCCACCAGCGCGGTGGTGATGTGCACCGTTGGGTGCTCGCTGATGTAGTGCGGCATCATGGCCGCGACATCTGCATGCGAAAAGGGGCACACCAGGCAGCGATAGCGCAAGATTGAACCATTGCATATGTCCTCCCCCTCTCCTCGTTTTTCCTCATCCGAAACGTCATCATCTTCAGCGGCATGGTGCTCTTTTTCTTCATTTTCATCAGCTGCTCCTCCTCCTACTCTATGGTCATCGCTTTCAACATCACTAGCCTCACTCGCCTCTCCGGCAGCGCTCTCGGTGACTTCGTGACCACCGTCGGATGATGCTAGCGCCTGCAGTGCAGCCAACGCGGAGCCGGCACCATTTTCCGACAGTCGAGTCTGTAGGCCCTGCACGATGGCGTCGATGCGGGCATTGGGTTTGTGCGGGAGGACGACTGACGAGGAGAGATCCAGCGCCTGCTGCTGCCGCCCGTCTCGTGCCACCTCCCCAACCACTTCGGCGCTGCCAGCATTGCCATTCAACACCAGTGACAGCAGCCGAGCAGTGGGCCGTGACGACTGCGCCGACTCGCCTGTTTCAACCCCCACCTCCGGCTCAGTCCCCGATTCTGCTGCTGCGCCGCTTGTCCTGCTGCTGCGCCGGTTACTGAATCTCAGTGGCTTCTTGCTGGTGCCCACACTCGATTCCAGTGGCCTATGATTCTTGGCATTAAGTCCGTCGCGCGGCATTGTTGACGGTGTTGGTGCTGCTGGCATCTGTGTCGTATTTGGTGGCAGCTGCAGTGAAATTTGTGGGACTGACTGCTCTGCGTTTCCTACCTGTTTCACCTCATCTTTCTCTGCCTCCACAATTGCCAACACCTCTTCCTCCTTCACTTGTCCAGCTGTGACGCCTCCTTCTGTCTCAGACACCGACAAGTCCGTCTTTACCGCTGATCTCAAGTTGACAATGTCTCCTACTTCCAATTTTGTCATCACTGCTGTTTCTACCGGCTGGACGACCGCGGTCGGAGTTTTCCCAGGGTCTCCGATTGCCACTGCCTTGAGGCCTCGGTTTCTACGTGAGGCCCTTCCTCTAGCTTTGCCACCACCACTGCGACTCTCCTCGCCGCCCAGGTGGAACTTGAGAACGTGGCGTGACGTGCTTCTTCTGTGGTCGCTCACAAAGGGACAGTACACGCACTGAAAGCGCCCTCCCTCGCCCTTCAAGTATGCCACACCACACAGGACCTGTGACTTGCGGCCACGGTGGCGGCCTCCCCCTTTTGCACAGCCAGAGGGGGCGGCTGAGGCAGCCGGGTTTTCTCCCACAATGGCCGATGGCGTTGAGGGCTCCTGTAAAGCGGAGGACAACTGGACGATGCTGCCATTGCCGCCGCCAACTTCAATACCACCACCATCAAGGCCACCATCTTTAGTGCCACCCCCTTCAGTGGGATTCCAGTTGCTGCTGCCCCCTTTGGAAGCATCCACTTCAAGGCTGCTCTTCCCAGTTCCAAATTTAGTGCCACTCTCTTCGGTAGGGTTCCAGTTACTGATGTCTCCTTTAAGGTTGCCATCTTCAGAGTGCCCTCCTTCAACACGTATTTTTTTCTTGCGCACCCCTTCAGCGCTGTCCCCTTTCGTACGAACCCTCTTCGTGCTACCCCCCTCGATGCCTTTCCCTTTAGAGCGAATCTTCTTAGAGCCACTCTTCTTAGTGCCACCACCTTCAGAATCTCCACCTTTCTTACGAATTCTTTTGGTGGTGCCGCTGCCGTCGTGACTGCCTCCTTTTTTACGAATCTTCTTGGCAGCGCTGCCTCCCTCCAGGCCACTCCCTCGCTTGTGACCGCGTCCACCGGACCTCGAAGCCGGCTCTCGTTTTGAAGGATGGGCCATACTCGACATGGATGGAGAAAGTGGAGGAGGTACTGGTGATGGCAGTGGTGGAAGGGATTTTGGAGAAGAAAAGGATAATGATGATGTCGACGATGAAGATGAGGAAGAAGAGGTAGACGAGGGGACGTCCGGCAAGATAGATACTCGGGGCCGGCGGAGGAGGTGAGGCGAGGTGCTCTTTGACCGCTCTCGCTTGCGGGTGGATTTTGTGCTGAAAAGGAAAATGAACAAATTATTAGGTTTTAAAAAAACACTATCAGTGGGCTAGCATCGTAGATAGTGTTGGTATTGGTGACAACGGTGATAATGGTGATATTGGTGGCAATGGTGGTGGTAGTAAAAATGGTAATGATGGTGGTGATGATGAAGGTGCTGGTGATGGTAAAGATGCTGCAAATAAACCACTCAGTCACACCTCTACACATAGACACACAAATATTTCCCAGCCTTAATATGTGCTCACACACCTGGTTGGGCATGCGCGTGGCTCCTTCTGTCCTTGTGACGTTGACAAAACATCTCCCACCGGCAAGCCACTCACTCCTCCCTGATGATGCTTTTCCCTGTGCTGTAAGAAAATATAAAACACTTTTAATTTATTTCATCTCAAAATTATATTACAATGATGCTGCTATTGAGCAGAGTCATGGACTAGCGGTAGTGCATTTGACACTTGTTTCAGACGTTCACAGCTCACATCCAGTGGCCACTTTAGTTATTACTGCGGGTGTATTAACGAAATAATACACGCCGTCTGCTCCACAGTTGTCGGTTAAAGATCTTGATGTCATTCACCACAGCAAGCCATTATGTGCCAGCGTTATGGTAAAAATTTGTCAAACTAAATTTTTTTCTAAATTTTATTATCCCAATTATTAATTAGAATAGACAATTTGAATCATCACCCCCTACTGCAAACACTTGGCAGTACCCTCCTGAAAAGAGTCCTTAGATGGAGTGATGCTGTTTTGGGTAAATGAGCAAATTCAAAATAATGATCATGGGATGGAGATATTGCAGTTGAACCTCTCACAATGAGCAGTTTCTCATCACACATTCTGTCAGGTAACAACCCTGCAAAATAACATCACAGAACTCTTGCTGAAGTCACTTCAATAGCCTCTTAACTACACGAAGGAATCACCTTTTATATGCCCTGAAAATTGTTTTTGTCAAACAGAAATCAAACCCACTATTTAATGGAAAACCTATTTAATATACTGATTTTTATGTAGAATTGTGACCAAGCTGAGACTTGCCACACTTAAGAGTCTGGTTAATACACAGGCTACCGAAATCCAGATGCAAATTTAGTCTTAGCAGTGCTGGTTCATTAGCACCCGAGCCACCCGTCATTTATATTAATTCATTTCTTTAAGCGTGATGAATTAACCGTCTTGTAGGAACAGCGGCTGACAGTGTAAGAATATTTGTTCTTACAGCAGGTATGTGAAAATTCAACTCCTGCATCAGGGCTGCCAATAAAAGGTGAGTGCTGCCTCAGACACATGGACTTTATGTTGTGTCAGGCTGCCTCTAACTGAAAAATAACAACTATAATGAACCCTTTTCACAAAGAAGGAATCTCAACACCACTGCAACCACTTGTTGGTAAGTCATCCTGTACTACATCAGTACATCTCTCGCTATGCCGTGCTGTGCCCATTTACCCACTATTTCCAGCCAAACAGAAACCACGAGGGCATGCAATAAATCGGCATCAGGACCCAGCCAATGTATTCTAGCCTGCCGGAGCTCACCGATGGGACTGTGCATCAAGACCTTTCAAGCACCTATGAGCTCCTCAAACACTACCACCTGGTTAAGGCCAGTATGAATCAAAGAAAGGCCAGCCTGAATATTTTAAGCTGGTGCAGGTGTTCCATCATCACCAAAACCAGTACCTTAAACATGCGGCCCCTTCTTGGTGTTCTGTATCCACAGTCGATACAGATGTAAGTTTTTCCGCTTCCTCTGCCTCCCGCTCCTCCTCCAGATTCAACATTGAACCCGGCAGCCACACACTGAGCAGGGGAGAGTCCTCCCCTCCCATTCCAGCTACCGCCTGCAACCTCTGCACACCAGGCACATCAGTTTATTGTCCTTCCCCCATACCTCCGATTGGCACGGTTGGCTACATACGGTGAAAAAGAAGTTCAACATACATCAAACACACAACCACCCAACACACACATCGCACACCCCACACAAACATCGCACACACCCCACCGCGCGCGCACTGCAACACCACACACAAACCCCACACCCCGCACACACATCCCCCACCACACACAAACTCCACCGTGCAAACACTGCACACACCCCATATACAAACATCACACAAACATATGAGCCATTGCGTTTGAGTTTATTTTTCTCTGGTGGTTCATAAAGGCTGTCAAAAAGATACCACTACATATCTAGGTTCGAATCCTGTCATTGGATCTCTCTCATTACCGATTCATAGAGCTAGTACTGCTGAGCTTCTGGATGTGAGCCCTGGGTGTAGGCATCTCTCCCTATTAATAATGGCCATGTTCGAGACAATATGTAACCATTACCAACATTCTGAGTTTAGTTTACTCTTAAAAGGATCATAATGGCTATGACGGAAAATCTGCACCGGTAAAATCATGAATTTAAGCCGGGGTTCATAAATGGCTTTGGCGCTTTTCCCAGCACAGCTGGGTTCCGGTACCCCTCTCTCTTGAGTCATAATGCTGAGGGCCTAGGTTCGAGCCTTAGGTCGAGGTTAATAAATGTCCAAGGCCTAAACTTTGTCAGCATACTGTAGACTGCAAATGGGCCTGTATAGAAACCATAGTTCCAGATTCAAATACAGTGCAATGTTTCTTTACCTGAGCTTTCAGTTAAAGCTGGGGGGTGGTGAATTCTGGGTCGTCCTCTGGGGCGAGAGGGCTTGGCTTGGCGAGCAGAGGTTGAGGATAATGATTTGGAGGTGGTTGTAGGAGGTTGTGGACTTAGCAGGCGATGTGAGGAGTGACCTACAAGGGAACACAATAATGATTTAATCAATGGCAGCTGCACAATCTGTAACACCATAAGCAGCAAACGCAAGAGCAGCAGCAAGTGTCATCACATTGTGGTTGACGGCAACATGAGTAGTAATGGCAGTAACAGCATAATTTTAATCATCTGGCTTGTAATTCATAATAAAGATACGCGCTCCAACCCAAAAACCTATATTACGAATAATATTAATCGCGAAAGTCTACGTGTTAAACCGGATTGTAATTATTGACAGCATCGACAATAATATCAATGACACGAACAAAGCGTCAGCATCACCGTAATGTGGCAATGAAGAAGTGATCGAACAAAATTTAACACAAGCATTAAATATATTTAGATAATTTGCAAGTGTGCAATCTTTACATTTTAACTTACAATGCACCTCACCTTTCACATTTTTTAATGGGACGCTTTCCGAATGACCTTTGCCCTCCGTCGAAAAATCTTGCACCCCCTCACGCGGCTTCATTGGCTGCTCAGCAACTCTGGCCCCACCCGCTGTAGGATCACGGCCTGTGATTGGCTGAGGCATCATCACCCCTGGCAAATGCTCATCACTGTCGCTAGACATTCTGCAACAAAAACATGGAAAGATGGCTCATTAACCACTGGAGATTTTATTTTAAAAAAAGAATACGGTTATAATTTCTGTCTCTCATTCATTATTGTCCCATGTTGCTTTATTAAGGACTACCTAGCATTTGTGTTCGACTATCCATCAAAATCCTTTTTTAGCTGGTGTTATGCTTTTGTTGTTTATGATATCTTCAAACACTTGCGATTGGAAGAACTCATGTACAAGTTGGCTAAATAAGAACACTGTTGGAGGAACACAGCTTGAAAACCTGAGGCAATTGTTCAAGGTGAATTTACATTTAGAAAAAGATAGGTAAATGGGAAAACAAGAGCATGAGTAAGCGCTTTTTGAAAACTGCATTTCATCATTTAAAGCAACTTACCAATGTGCCTGTTGGTAAGCTAGATCGGGGAACAAACACAAATCAGAGATATATTGACTTGTTAAGAAAGGCAAGAGTGTTTGGGCACAGGACATGTCACTCAAAGGGATGATGGCCAGTGATAAAGACTGGGGACAATGGTAGCCTCAGTATAAAAAACATCCGAGAAGACAGATAATAGGATGTTGTTTATATTTTGGGGTGAAACGCACAGCCCTGACAAGGCATATACAGCAGGTGGGGTAAGGAAATGGCGGATTGTGAATTGTTGTGCAGACTAGAGATATACGAAGTTCTGCAAAATTGGGAAGTGTAGCCTCCACAAAATGCCACCAAGTGTCCTCGTGTCTGTCTCAGGAAATATTTAAGGGTTTCTTTTTTACTTCTCTCGTACACACCAGCAGGATATGTGCTCTGAAACTGTTACTTGTGTGTCCTTGATGTTACAGTAAAATATTTTATTTACATCATTGGCACGCGTCAGCAGGGTGTGTGGCCTTATAAATGCCCTTCAGGGAACCTGACGACACATCATCCTGAATGCACCAATCTTGTCAGATCTCAGAAGCTAAGCAGCCTGAGTACGGATAGCAATGGGATTGCAAGTTTGCAGCCAAGAGATGGCAGTACCGAGACCGACTCTCTCGTATGGTGAGGTTTCTCCGGGTACAATCACACCACATGCCCCTCATTAAACTGGCCAAACTTCTCAATGCAAGGACCCTCCTGGAAATGAGTCTCGACACCCACCGAGGTAAATAATTAGTATAATTGGTATAACTATAATTATTAAGTGATCGTGGTAATTCATTGACATCTGAAGCCAATGCAATTGGGTGTTTTGATGCTATCCAAGAGACTTGATCGTTTTCATTTAACTTACACTCATCAGCAAGACGTGCACACACACACATTCATTTGAACCGATTTTGAATAAACAAATTTTCCATCATGAAGATATGAATACATCAGAAACTTTAAGTTTCTTATGTTTCCGTAAATAAAAGCATTTCCGAGAATTAAGTTTTTAGAAATGTTTTCGCAGCGGCCATACGATATATATATACACGCATAACATGGTATCGCTTACTATTACTCAAATCTGTCTATATCCACAATAGTTTGTAACTTGATATATATTTTTATGAATGAGCAGTTCAAATTAAAGCTTTCTCTGTGAGGATTGTTGTTTAAAATGAAATCTCACGTGTGCCTCGTTTCAACTCGCGCGATACCGAAGTACGTAAGTGAAATAAGGCTTTGAAACTTAAAAAAAACCCGACAAAATCCCGTATAACTAAGCTACAAAAAAACGATAGAAACATTAAAGGCAATTAAACTGTGGTGTCCATGAATCAGACCTGGCGTCTCACGTACGCCCCACATGCATGCGCGTCTTAAAATCGTCCCATTTTTACGGGGGGCGAAAAACAACACGGAATTTGGACTCGAATGCTGCCAAATATCGCGACGCGAGACGATCGGGGTGATTGCAAACCCTCAAAATATGCACGAAACGCCACGAAATCGCTTCAAAGTTGGACAAAATGTCACGAAACATCGGAGCAAAAACAAAAAAAACGCACGTTTACAACGCGGCCACATCGCGGCCATTGTTTGGACGCGAGAGTCCACGGCAGATCGGGCCCCAAATGAAGTCGCGATTACGACGGAACGCGCAGACTTTCGACCGAGTCCGTCGAATCCGTGAGAAGGTTAAGATCTCCAGCTTTCTGGCGATATGGATTTCGGTGGAATTCGAGGTTTACGCGGTCGCAAAAAACCCACTTGAAGGCGGGCCTTGGTCGGCTGCGGCAGCCTGAGAGTTGCAGGGTGGAGGCCTCGCCGTGAGTGGCCGGAGCCGTTGCCACCTGGCCCCGCTAGAGGGCCCACGATGCCACGAAAACCCACAGCGAACATTATCCCTCTCCTTGCCTTTGGCGATATGGCGATATTGTTCTATTTTATTACCGCGATAAACCGTATCGTCCGTTTTGCGTGGTGTCGTGTGTTGCTGTGCTGTAATGAAACACTGTATAGTAAAACTGTAAACGAATTTCTGTTTTATTTCACCAGGTAAGGCCAACTGAGCTGGGTGGCTCTATTTTTTGAGAAGCGACCTGGCCACAAATGATAGCTCAACGAAGTGGCTTATTATGTGGGAATGTAGAGAATGTGTCTAAATGTGGAGGGGAAAAACGGAGGACCCGGAGAAAAACTCACACGACCACGGGGAGAACATGCAAACTTCAATTATACAACAGGCGGTCAGGGTCGGGATCAAACCCACAACCTCCTGTAAACTATGCGAGGTAATTAACATCTTTCTACCGTGGCACCTTAGTATTGTATGGGCCAATCCATACCACAACAGATGTACCAACATTATTTAGGTGCCTCTATTTTAGCACAACGTTTACAAAAATGTAACCTGGTGTGGTTCACAATCATTTTCACTAACTGGTTATGTGTGTCATATGCACATTGGAATGTTTTCAAATATTAATTTCAAGGAGTGTGTAACAGTCACAAACAATAAAAGGACTAAGTTGGCAGCAGTGGACAACACAAACAAAAACCTAACCGCATTTGTTATTAACACTGCCTTAGAACACATTAATATACATATAAGGGAATGACATTTCAGGCAAAAACCCTTCTTAATTGCCCCTTCTGTAATCTCTGCTCTAAAGAAGCATCATTGCCCGAAACGTCAGCCACAAACACACCAAACAGTGTTAATGACAATCTGAATTAATTTTATGGATGCTTGACAGTAATGCCTGACTTCTTTTCTCTATCTCTTGACATGATTTCGTCTTAGTACACAAATCAGTGGCAGTAATTTTTAGAATACAGTGTTTGCATAGACAGCAATTTTCGTGTTACCTTAATGGCACCGTTATTTTTCTCTTACTGAGCCAAGGATACGCATAATCAGTTTATGAACATTGCAGCATGAAAATGAGGCAATCATGAATAATTCAAGATGTAGACAATTCACTAATAAATCAATAGCTGCACGGAACATGCATGCAATTTATGTATGAATATAAACTTCACCTTTATATCAAGATGTTATTTACCCAGAAGTAATCATTTTCTTATACTTTTTGTGGGGATGCAAACCTATTAATGAATTGACAGCAGGATGTGTTTATCATGATTAGTTTGTTGTCCGTCCCCCGCACCTCCGATTAGCATGGTTGGCTACGTATGGTGCGAAAAAAGTCCAAAATACATACGTACGTAACACCTATATGCAGGACAACCTGCACATACGGGAAGTACAGCAAGTAGGGCTTTTACCTATTTTTGCCTAGTTGGAGTGTGAACCTCTCGGGATAAGTTTTTTTCTAAGAGGTCTGGTTTACACCTACATCCATAAACTCGAAATACAATCTCCAAACATTTCTCGCAGGACTTGAATGGTATTCTCCCTGGGAATACCAGGTGCTAGGCTGTGAGGGGATCATGACATTGCAGTCGATCAATGGGGTATTGAATTTGTTCAGGTGTTTAAGTACTGCCCTCTCAGATGCGAGGGTTTTCTCAAGGGCTGAACGATTAATCGATTTCAAATCGAAATCGCAATTTGAAACAATGTGATTAGCAAATCGCAAAGGCTGCGATTTTTTGAGATTTGAAAAGTCCTATAACTTTCTTATCGGAATTATTTTACTATTTATTATTTTAACTTTGTTGATTTAACTTCACAATTGTTATATGTTTGATTGTTCTATTTGAATTAAAACATTTTAATTAATAAATGTTGGAAGCAAATCATATTTTAAGTTCTCATCCTTGCATTAGAATACATAGAGCAATTCATATTTGATGGTATCATGTGGTAATGCTCCATCACATGTTTTAAATCTATTACACAGTGAATATTGAACTGAAGCTTCATTTTACAAAATTTAATCGCAAATCAATTCACAATCGCAATATCTGTCAGAAAAATCGCAATTAGATATTTTCCACAAATCGTACAGCCCTAGTTTTCTCCTGGTACTCCAATTTACTCCCACAAGTCAAACGTTCATTCGTGACTTTAGCTAATCTTGAAATGATTGAGGCTGTGATGTGTTAATAAAGGACATTAATATTTCTAATATGAAGACCCAGACTTACCAGGATAAATATCTCACATCAATTGACGTTCTGAAATAAGGAGTGACCCCAACAGACAGATGCAGGTAATTCAAAGTTTATTTGCAATTTACTCAATTTATAAAAAAACAGTACCATGTCCATAACATTCATTGCCACCTCCTGAGAACACTTGACAGGACCCTCCTAAAAAGAATCATGAGACTCGGTAAGTCTTTCCTGGGTGAACAAGCGTTATAAATAAAAATGTGCTCTTGCAATTCAGCACTTACAACATAATTGAACATTACACATTTGTGCCAATAGAACCATGTTTTTTAAGCGCACATTAATGCGTTAATGTATGCTAAAATCATGTGTAACCATGTTAAGTTAAATACACTGTAAGTGTAATAGTGATTTGGCTGAATAAGTGATGAAACAAACGAATGAGGCATAAACCAGTATAAGTCTGCAATGCGCATAACATTTCCTTAGACCATGTAAAGCCAATAGTGACATCTTCCAAGGTCAAGTTACAGTCTTTGTAAGAGGTGAGATAATGTTCACAGTTACTATGAATAGTCGAATGCCCTGGTGTAAAGTTCAGAAAGCATTACCTCTTTGGGACAACGATGATCTGTGATGAGGGGTGTAAATTGAATTTTAAGCTTCTGGTGTACTGGTGAAATCTATGCTGTCTGAAATGTAATTAAATTGTCGATAAGATTAACACACTCAACATATTCGTCGATAACACTGCCTTAAAAAGAAAAAAACATTTGTAGCATTTGGGGCAATGGTCCCTTCTTTAGCCTTGTGTTATGAAGAGCGAGATTAATACAGATGACCCCCGATTTACGATGGCTCGAATTGCGACCTCCCCTCCGGCCTTTTATGACCTTTCTTATAGTTAGACCCCACCACAGTAACGACCAAAACTCGTATCTACGACCGCCTAATGACGAGTCTGCGAATGCCATGCACAAATCCGTCGCCAGATGGCGCTGCTTTGTTATTCTGCCCTATGTGTATGTATTTGGACAGTGACGTTAGCTGCTCCGAGAGCGAACGCAGCAGCATCTGTATGGCGACCTTTATTGCCAGTATCAAAAATAGAATAGGGTTTACCTTTTCTAGCAATAAAACACGTGTTAAGATGTTCAAACACAAAACAGAAACCCTTTTGCAAGGAATCCTGTCTGCATGAACCACACGTGCTTGTGGTGAACATGCATTCAAAAACATGCTCTAATAATACATGCATTGTCTTTGAAACTGATTGGTCCACACTAGAGACAGCTTTCTTTAGAGCCTATTCTCAACCAGTGTGAGACCAGAGAACGCCAAAAGGTGAACAGGTTTCTGTTTGGTGTTTTAACATCTGAACACCTGTTATATTGCCAGAAAGGGTAAAATGTATTCTTATATGCAGCAGCGTCTCTCTCACAACGCTCTTCACTTTTTTGTAAAACAACATTTTTTTTTTAATGGTTTTGCCTTTCGCTATCTCTGAGAAGATGAAATGTGATGTGCATGCATAAAAGTAGTGAAAGATTTTCAAATGCAAGTGCTTGTTTAAAAATTTCGATTTGTTTTTACTTAATAAATCTTCGTAAAAGTAATATTAAGTTAAGATAAATGTTTGTTCGGGTTATTTTCATTTATTTCTCGTGGTCAATTTCGGTATTTTAATGGTGCGCAATGGGTTTCTGGGAACGGAACCCCAACGTATAACATTGCGCCCGATGGGAATAAGGGCTTCGACTTACGACGACTCCACTTGCGACCGTCGTCCGGGTAACCAATCAGGTCGTAGATGCCCGGGTGGGGGGGGGGGGTCAGATGTACACTCACAATGTTGGGGGTGGGGGGGAGCAGGAAAATTGTGCGATGGACTTGAGAACTGAAGGATTTATTTCAAGAGCGTGGCCACCCGCCTCGCGTAAACGCGTTGCATTGGGTCGTCACTCGCTCGTGTTGGAAACTTCCCCGTGAGTGAGTGTCGTTATCCACCAACGTGATGGGTGCCATGAGCACACGGTAGGTGATGAGGGAGGGGAGCTGTGTGATGTTAAACGTGCAAACACTAACTTGGCTGTCCGCCTGATGAAGCCTGTTGGTAATTACAGGTAGTCCCCGAGTTACGACGGTCCGACTTACGATATTTCGATCTTCCGATGGCGATACGGCAAAATTGCCATCGACAACTCAACATCGTTCCAGTGTGCAGACGACGGACAGAATCTTGGCGAGTATAGTACAATATGATACGTTACGATACGTTCAATGCATGTTAAACGTTTTTATAGCAGATAGGACTGAATTTAAAAAAAATTGCAGTTCATATAGGTAGGCTAAGAATTTACCATATTTTTACTTTACATTTTACTGTGCAATACAGTATTGTAAATAATAAATATATAATGTAAATATTAGATAATATAATTATTTTATTATTAATAAAAAATATAATATATTTTTATTAATACAAATATATAATATTTCCCTTCTACGTTACTTTACCGAAAGAACCAAGAAGATTAATCCCTGCAGTCACGAAAGCTTTAAATAAAAATTTGTTTGAATATTGTGCGCCTAAAACTCGTGCATCCCTTTTTTCTATCAATCCACTGCTGCATGAGGGCCTCGCCACGCCGTGTGGGGTCGATGCAATGAGTGGCACCCAACTCTGTAAGAACGTCAATAACGGTGGTGGTGATTATTATTATTTTTTATAACCACTAACAAACTCGACTCCGCCACGGCACGTACCGTGTTAACACACACGGTTTACCCCGTATTCTTGTGCAGGGAAATTTAGTTTTCAGGTCCGTACGGCGTACAGGCGTTTCAATACGGGCAAACAAAATGTTTGTGTTTCTGCCTTGTGATGGGACTTTGTAGGAAGAACGTTGAGATTTATAAGGGCACGGGGTGACCAATAAGGTCTGAATTGGTCGGTAATAAGGTAGGGAATTGATAAGGGGCTGACAGGTGTGCCATGGAAATGTGGAATTGCCACCGTTCATTCAGGGTACCCTTTGAGAGTGACACGCATACTGTGGTAACCGGGCCATGTAATTACATGCGATATTAATTTGTATACGGTACTATTATTTTATGCTATGTTTAGTTCTCGTGTGCTGTGCCGTACTGTAACTGTGTTTGCCAGAGACTGGGACCAGAATAAGAGAGGTCGTGACCTCCCGATTTGATCAACTCTAGCGCCCCTGGTGGTTGTGCCTGAGGTTGTCATGTTGCCTTGTGCTTACCAATCAATCAAAATGTATTGTATGCGCCAATATCGCCCTCAATATAGTTGTTATCAGTGCACAATTATGCACCCTGTTCGCTTTGACAGCATTAGCCCCACGCAAAGGCATACCTTATCAGTGGCTACCTTATTACAGACCAATCCAGACCTTATTGGTCATGCCGTGCCCTTATAAATCTCAACGTTCATCTTTTCAAAGTCCCATCACAAGGGAGAAACACAAACAAATACACAATTTTGTTTGCCTGTATTGAAACGGCTGTACGCCGTATGGACCTGAGAACTCAATTTCCCTGTATGAGAATACGGGGAATAAACCGTATGGGTTGTGCAGGTATGCAAAGTTACTTCCAGACAGCGGTGGTCAGGCAAGGCCTCTCGCGACATTCACTCTTGCGACATTCACTCTTGTGACATTCACTCTTGCGACATTCACTCTTGCAAGGTCACTCTTGCAAATGAGACTGTCCCCTTGATCTTTTGAGTTATCGTGTGGTTAAACAAACTTGACAAAAGTCCCTGGGGCACAAGACAGCAGAGGGCATTGATGCCTATCCTGTACTTTACTGATGATTCGCCAACAGGGATGAAACTGATAGTTGTACAGTTGTCCCATTGTTTATGCTGCTGCTGTCGAAAAATAATATGGCCACGATTTTGATTGACTTGTGAGTTGGTGGTCTAAGCAAGGCTGAAGTGTGCACTTCACACGCAATATGGTGATGTCGTGTGGCCAGGAGATGTTTAGTTTGTTGTCCTTTCCCACCCTGCACCTCCGATTAGCACGTTTGGCTACGTATGGTGCGAAAGAATTTCAACATACAGAACAGATCTTGTGGGCATAATTGCACCTTTTCAGGTACGTACTGTTGTACAATACTGTATTCTTGTTTGTTTCCAGACGGCACACACTTTCAGACGGCACACACTTTTCTGTCCGATGAGTCTCATTATTTACAGAAAGCGTTACAATGTCTCTATTGTTACCGTATTCTGATATTTTTCGGATATGTGATTTTGCCCTCTTGATGTGCGTTTTCTAAGGAGCTTTGAGATGCATTAGTGTTTAAGCGCCATATAAATGCAAATCCTCATCTGTAATTTTATCTGGGGACGCTTGTGATCCAGCGCTGTGTAGGCTAGGGATTATGGATCACGCTGATTGGTGAAACCCCACAACCCTCTGGGCTGCGAAGTGGCCAGAAGATGTGAGCATAGCAATTGGAACCGTATTTTATCTATAAAGTACTTTGTATAGAGTTTTTCAGGTGACTTTGATTTCATAGCAAAAGCAAATACCTTCTTTGATTTAGCCAAAGATTCCAATGCAAGAAAATAGTTTCGAGACGGTGAGACATTTGTGGATAAAATGAATACTACATTACCATTCTTTAATTTATAAGAAAATGACATGCCAATGAAAGTATATTTTATAAACCTTTATTAAAACAAACCTTAAAATTCACATGTATTCATTAAGGTACATGCAAAACAACTTAAACAGTTGTAGCAATTAAAACAGTAAAAAAATTAGGATACAGTTTCATAGCATTAAAGACATTTTAAATTATGATACCAACTGCGAGTTAAAATTCTGGTTGGGGTTTGACTCAGCCATCATCCCCCCGGGGTCAATAAAATAGGTATAACTTTGGGGAATGTCGACAGTGGTTGTCCCTTTGGGAAACCCCGCCATATGAATGTGGCATTTCCACCACTGGCTTGGAGCTGTAAACGGGAGCAATACATCATTTTGACTTCATCATACAAATCTTGTGTTTATCTGTCATAACATTTTGTGCTTTGTATTTATATAGCGCTAAATATAAACTGCATTGTTAAGGCAATATCCAAAATATTGGGATAAGGGAATCGTGTGGACCACCAAAAGTGGGGGTATATAGATAAGCTTTTAAAATGACAACATTCGATATGAAAAAATATGACAAAACTTGAAGGTAAGTTGTGATTGAAGACACTAAATGGAGAAGAGAAAGTCAGGGGCAGAAGAAGAGGAAGGTATTGACCATGGACTTGATCAGAGGCAGGAAGTCGACAGCAAGGATGATCAGGGACGGAATTCCAACCCATAAAAGCAGCAGAGAAGGAATGACTTCCTATTGAGTGAAGGTTGACTGCATATGTTTACAGAAAAAATGGTTTCTGGAGCAGGCAGCATGGGGAAGACAGTGAAGAAAGATGGGAGGTGAGAGGTAGACAGGTTGATGTTGCATTGGATTGAGGGCATTGTACAGATCTGAGCGGATGATGTGGTCTCGTGTACAGGAGTGGGTGAGAAGTCTCTCCAGCGTCACTGAGGATCACCTGGAGCTTGGAGGTGAGAGATTTGGGAGGCCATAGAGAGGAGAGTGTCACAGTTGTCAAGTTATAATGCGACAGAGGCACCGATGAGATTGTCAGTCGCAGCTGAGGTAAGGAAATGGCAGATGCTGCACTGATGGGAGGTGAGCTGGGATAAATGGGAATACAACCAGAACTTGGGATTAATGCAATCTTTAGCAATGTCAATGCAGAGTTCAGGCTTTGCTCACTAAAACTAATCTTTACTGATAGCAGATGCTTAATAGGTCAGAAATACAATGCCATGCTAATCTGTATTTTTTTAAGCTGACATATTACTGGTGAATTACTTATTTATCATAGCATGTATACAAGGAATGCCATTAGTACAAGTCAAACTAAATTTATGGTATTGTGCTCTTATACAATATTAAACCAATATACAATGCATATGATAACACAACACATACAGCAGTTCACACGACACATACCTGTCGGTACATTTTGGCCATTCAGAGGCATGTGTCACCACAACCCACGTCTCAATTCTGAAAAACAAGTCTTCAAGACTGAGACTTCTCTTCTACCATTTGTGGGTTTTCTCCAGGAACTCTGTTCCCTCCCGTACAAAAATATTATTTGATAAGGAATTAGTCCACACATCCTAATATACAACCCTCCTGAAATGGAGTCTTGCTACTCAGCGAGGCTTTCCTGAGTAAAGGACTTGCTCTGGTCAGGGCCAGTCCATCATCTTGCATCATCAGCAGTACTACTGTTGGCACTATCATCAATACACACCATTATCATCATCTTCGTCATCACCACAACCATCATTACAACAATCATCAATGCTAAGCTAATAATAAGTATTATAATTGTCAAATGATAATTTGTCAATTCAAATATATTATTATCCTCAAAATACGTGCATTGAATGTACAGGTAATCTATCTTCTATCTATATATATAAAAAAGGGAAATTTGTGAATATGTGTGTCTGTTCGAAATGTTTAGTATACTTGCCGACATGCAACAAACTTGAAATTTCGCATGTGGGTAGCTTCCAGACTGTACACAATGCAAAAAGTATAAAAATAGACTTTAGTATTTTGGGGGGGCGCAATAATGCATATATTTTGCACGGCAAGTGAGCGGTGACGTCACATCTGCGATGTCACCCGCATGCGGCAGCGTCACGCAGTGTGCCTGCTGACGTCACGCATCCCCCCCCCACCCTCCGCGTAGGCCGTGTGTTAATCTAAGACAAGAATCCAAGTCCAGGGCGAAACCGGCTAGTAAAGCTAGTACTGTATAAGTTAAGAACTATAAACTAAACTTTTTATTTGACCAGGTAAAGCCCACTGAGCTATATATCTCTTTTTCAGAAGTGACTTGGCCACAAATGATAGCTCAACATAGTGGTTTATCATGTGGAAATGTATCGCAGCCAAAGATTCAAAAGTTATCTTCCAATGTAATGAAACTATTACATTCATATTGGTGAAGGGGAGTTGCTGACAGTTCAATGAGGCTGAACTCTCATACATCTCTCAAGTGTTACATTTCATTTCCAGTGCCTTCTCCGAACCAGAGGTCGATGACAATGCATCTCCAACTCTTCCTATTCTCCATCAAAGTCAAAGTTTCACAATTTTCCTGAATTATGTTTCACAACAAAACATTGACTATTCCAGGAGAGGCTCGAGTTAGCCCCACCATCATTTGACTCGGGCCATTAAAACGAGTTAAACCCACTTTGTGGGAAGTCACAACATTATTCATTTTATAAAGATGCTGGCCTCTGCCATGGGTTTGTAGAACTTCCAACAGTGATGAGCACTGCCCCACACTCATTTGAACAGTGTGATACTTCCAAATATGACCATTGACTCCCTCGCATGATCAACTCCCATCATCTCTCCACTGTCACATCTTCCTCTTTCACTGGCTCAGGAAACACAAAAACTCCACTCGAAGGGGGATCCGTGGTTGCCTCTTTCGCAGTTGCCACCACCATCATCATCACCACCACCTTTGACGGTGATGCCAAAGCATTGTTGTTATTAGAGGGAGACGGGGATGTGGAGAAGGAGGAGCACGAGAAAGAAGGTGAATATGGCACCCTGTCTCGATCCTCCAAAGAGGAGGGCACCATCTTCGCGGCTCCAACCACTGTCGCTCCTGCATCACCGACGGCTAAGCCGGGCCGCACGCTCAACGAAGACGAAATGCTGGACGGACTCCGACCACCGCTGGTGCTCCCGCTGCTGCCTCGTCTACTAGCGTGGGAGCGCTCGCCGCGGAGGCAGCAGACGAGCGCAATGAACGCCTGGCGCATGTCGCGGCTGCAGGCGGCATAGATGATGGGGTTGGTGGCCGAGTTGAGCACGGCCAGCGCGATGGCGTAGTCGGCGGCGCGCAGGAGCACGGGGCAGCGCCGGCTGTCGCAGGCCACGTCCACGGCGAGGAGGGCAAAGAGCGGCGACCAGCAGGTGATGAAGACGCCCACGACGAGGGCCAGCGTGCGCAGGAGGCCCAGCGAGCGGCGTGGGCGGCGGCGGCGGGACGACGGTGACGACGTTAGCGATGACGACGATGATATCTGCGAGAGGAGGGCAAGAGTAAAACAGATATGTACGGTCAGGGTAAAGTCATTAACATGTGTTGTTTACGTCATTTGTTTATCGAGGAAGGTCTCACCGAGTCACAATCCACCCTTTGTAGTGAGATGTTTGGCAAATTCCTTTACAAGGAGTTTTGTGTGGGAGGATATTGGAGGGCTCGGCGAAAAGTCACCAGGCGCACAAAAGTTCATTCAAAAACGTTCACAAACCCACTTGCTGTACTGCCATCACCTGGTCACCTCACAGCCCAGTGGGTTTGGGAGTTTGACACGTTTTTATTTGATCCAGAAACTCTGGCAGGTGTGCACCACGATGCCCGACTCAGAGCAAATGCCATTGATTCTGCAGCGACACTTTGATGTCTCATCCTTCTTCTAGGTCCCGCATCTGTTGCGAGGTGAAGACCTGGTCTCCAAGGATTGCTCTTCCAGAGAGGTGTGTAGTATATAATGTTGCGTTTAGTTTGTTTTTGCTTTGTGATTTGTATTAAATATTACAAATACTTTTGAAGTAAATTAGTCGAATTCATTCAATATATCAGATATAATTTTCAGGTGCATTGATATAGATTACCTTTATAAAGTGTAGTTTTCAGTTTTGCATTATTTAGAACAATGCATTATTTTGGATAACTTAACTTACAATTAATGTTCAACCTTCAATGTTACATTTAAACTGCTTTACTCATACCATACCAACCCTAGTACTAATTCTTGTCTGTTACCAAATCACTCTGAATGCGTCTGATCTCGTTAGATCTCAGATGCTAAGCAGGCTGGAGCCTGACCTATATAACCTCTTGTCACGGCAGCTCTCTCGCCTGCTTCAGCAGTTTTCCTGCTATAATTGTCTCACCTGATGACGATCGCTTGTGTTGCAATCGAAACGTCGTGATCTATTATTTTCTACCTACGTGACTTTACCGAAGGAACCAAAGAATATGGATTCCTGCAGTCACGAAAGCTTCAAACCACTTAGTGATGTATGGTAAAATAACCATAATGACCTGCACGTTGCCGGAGGCCCTCATTCAGCAGTGGAATGACAAACAACTCTAAATTCATATGGAAACCTAACCCTTAGACCCTAAATCCTCAACCATAAACCTCCAATTCTTATTTTCAGATGCATTGCCAGGTTGTCAGCTGTGCCTATCCACCTCCCGCTCACCTTCCTCCGTGCGGCCCGCAGTGCTCGAGCGGGCTTCCGCCGGCTGGCTGCGACGGCGCGGTAGAGGCGAGCGTAGAGCACCACGGTGGCTGTCAGCGCCAGCAGAGACGCCGCCAGGCAGAAGGCCACGTAGCTGCGCGCGTAGAGTGGGAGCAGCGTGGAGCACTCGCTCACATGCCCCATGCAGTTCCAGCCAAGGCTGGGCAGCACCGCCACCAGGACTGCCACGGCCCAGCATGCCCCCACGGTGAGCAGCGGCCTTGTCACCCTCCCAGCCCGACCGCCACCGACCCCACCACTCTTGCCAAACGGGCCACGGTGTGGCCGGCGTCGCTGGCCGTTGCCGCTGCCGCCACCGTTGCCCCTCGTGCCAGGCCGCGAGCGGATCATGGCCGCGTGGCGCTCCGCGGCGATGGCGACGAAGCTGAAGAGGGAAGCGGCGAGCGCGGCAAAGGCGGCCCCCTCACGGGCGAACCATCGCGCGGGTGTCAGCGAGAGTGTCGCGGCGCCGCCGGACAGGAGGACGTTGGCACAGTAAGCGGCGGCCGCCACGGCATCGGCGAATGCCAGGTTGCCCATGAGGCACAGGCAGTGCGTGGCCGTGCGCATGTGGGTTCGGTGGCGGTGGAGGGCGAGCAGAACGGCAGCATTTTCGGCGACGATGAGGGCACAAACCACCGCCATCACCATGGTCTTTGTGTCGGTGCCGAGTGATGGTGGACTGGTGAGCATGGAGCCATTGGTGTTGTTGTTGAGCCAACCGGGGTCGAATTTGCGGCCACGGAGACGTCCTGTCAGGTTATAGTGCAGGAAGACTAGGCCGGGCCCATCATAGCTTGGGGATTGGCCCATGGTGGAGTTGACCAGTGAAGGAGTTAATCTCTCTGCAAGTGAACGGGAGAGTGTGTGCGACTGAGGGTTACAAAGTGTGTCTGTTTTTTTTCTTACAAGAATTGCCAAGTGTTGGGGTCGTGATTTGATTCAAGGTTCAGATAATTATTTTTTCCCATTGTAGTGAATATAGAACATCTTGTGGCTGCAGGGATCATGTGAACCACTTAAATATACCATTAAATCAGCAATAATTTATGGCTGTCAATCGCTGGATGAAGGCATTCCCATGCCATTTTAGTCATGGCAATTTGACTGTACTTCACCAAACTGGTCAGTGTGGGTTATGGATAGGGGCCTAGGCCCAGTTCAGTTATCTCACAGCACTGATGTTAGCCGTGGCTGGAAATCGAACCCAGCACAGTCCTCTATCCGCTGCATAACCGCTTCACACTACATGCAACATATAGGAATGGAAAACAATGTATTATAATGTTCGCGATTCAATGCATGCATCATCATATGCATGGATAATACTCGATTCATCATTTATAATGTATTCTTACTCATGAGACAAGCAACAATAGTGTTATTTCACGTTTAGGTTAATGGAAGGAGACAAGTGAGACACGAAGAATTGCATCATTAAAATTCACCACCCCGTGTGCTCACGGAGACCCCGCCCACTGTGTCTGTTTTCCATTAGCCCCTATGTAAACAGCCCTACACAAACAGACCCTCTGTAACAGCCCTACATCACCCCCCCCTGTACAGCTCGCAGCCGTCCCGGCTGCAACAACTTTCAATAAAGGTTATTTAACCCCTGGATCCCCGCGTGTGCCTTAAAAAAACGTTTTTAACGCTAACTTGAAGGAACCAACAGTAACAACAACAACAACGACAACAACAAAACCCTCAACCCTGAAAGGGAACAATCCGACGCACCCCCCCCCCCGAATAAATACGGATACCGTAAGAACGAGCTATATACAATTTGTAGCGAAGCCACAATGCACACAACAGCAGGTGAGCCCAACGTACGTGAATGCAATGGGCAGGGAACACCCCCCCCCCCACACAACACACAATGAACACAACATATATATACAAATCTTGCGGTTCCTCAACAGTCTGCGCATTTTTGCGCGTGTCCTTGCGGTTTCACAACAGTTTGCAGCATTTTTGCGCGTGTCCTTGCGGCGGGCCCCTCACACGGGGAAACCCCGGGTGGCGGACCGTCAGGTGGCAATCGCCCGTCCGGGAGCGGGGCCTCCTCTGATGCCTCGTGACTGTTGGTATCCCCAGAAGGGGTGGTCGGGCGTGAGCCCGTCAGTCTCGATGCACCTGGAGGTGGCACGGCCGGCAAGGCATTAGGTGAGCGCGGTGGGGACGGACCTAGTGAGTCGGTCGACCCCCCACACGTCTGGCCACGCATGTGTGAAGTGGGTTTGTGTGCCGCGACGAAAGGTTTCAACCGAGAGGGGTGCACGAACCATCGCCGCTTCCCCCAACGAATGCGCACGCACTGTGGTCGCAGGACCTCGACCACTTCCACCGGCCCCCGCCACGGCCGCGCCAGCTTTGGGGAGGTAGCCAGGGGTACTTGGGGACAGTGCAACCATGCCCTGTCCCCCGGTTTCCACTGTATGACATGCGCTCGACCCAACCTGAGGCGCTCGTTCGCCTTTTGACGGAGGTCCGAGTTTAACCTCGCAGCATCCCGCGCCTCTGTTAACTTAGCCAAATTAAATTTGACGTGGTCAGCCAATTTTGTTTTTCCTTGCTGGTCGGGGATCTGCAGCTGGGCGCGAACAGGCGGGTCGGGTTCGCGACCGTACATAAGGTAAAAGGGGGAAAACCCCGTAGCTGCATGGGGTGCCATCCGATATGCCGCCAAGACCCCCTGAATATGCAGGTCCCAATCAGTCTGGGAATCTGAGACCTGCTGTGCCATCATTGACGAAATGGTGCGATGCAGGCGCTCGACCATTCCGTCAGTCTGTGGGTGATACGGGGAGGTCCGAATTTTCTTTGTGCCTAAGAGGTCACAGACTTGTTTAAGTAATTTGCTGGAAAAATTTTTACCCTGGTCGGTCAGCAGCCGTTCCGGGGCACCTTTGTCCAGGACGTATCCCTGAACAAAGGCGTCCACGATGGCTGCTGCCGACTGGTTGGCAAGGGGCCAGGCCATGGGCCAGCGCGTAAAATACTCGACACCTGTCAGCAAATACTTATTGCCCCTGGGGGTGGCGGGAAATGGGCCCAAGATGTCCAGTGCGACCAGCTCATTTATTCTGGACACCTTGATCGATTGTAAAGGCGGGTTAGACTCCCGCGCCGGCGGTTTCCGCTGCGCACACCGCGGGCATGAACTCAGAAGATCCCCCACATCCTTTGTCATACCAGGCCAAAAAAAATCTAGCTGTATTAGTGCAAGGGTCTTTAGAGTCCCCAGATGTAACAGGCGCTCATGCGCGGCCCACACCACTTTGCCTCGCAACTCCGAAGGGACGACCAGCCGATGTCGCTGTGATTTTGCGTCCCAGTGCATGAGCAGACCCTGTACCATTTCCCATGCACCCGAATCACCTTTCACCCGGCCAGCACCCCCGACGCGACGACGCCACCCGAGGAGGGAGGTGTCCTCCATTTGGAGGCGCCCCCACTCAGTGACGGGCAACCCCAACAGGGAATCCCTTCCCTGTTGTTCGATAGAATTATCAGCCAGTGGCTCGTCATCGTCGGTGGCTGCCAGGATCGGGACCGATGCGTCCCCTGAAGGTCTGCAACGTCCCGACCCCAGGAGGCATGCACATTCCGAGGCGGTTGGCATGCGTGACAGAGCGTCCGCGTTGGTATGGCGAACGCCCTTACGGTAAGTGGTCTCAAAATCAAAATCCTGGAGAACCTCCAACCATCGAGACAACTGTCCCGATGGTTGTTGAACCCGCAGGGCATACTGTAGTGCCGCATGATCTGTGCGGACGGTGAAATGCCGACCGTACAGATATGGGCGGTACTGTTGGATGAAAAAAACAATTGCCAACAGTTCTCTACGGGTAACACAATATCTCTGCTCCGCAGGAGACAACACCCGACTACCGTATGCGACCACCCGTTCAACGCCATCAACCACCTGGGAAAGCACACCCCCAATACCCGTGTTGCTCGCATCGGTGTCGAGCAAAAAGGGTTTCGAAAAATCAGGGTAGATCAAGGGAGGGGCTTTCACCAGGGCGTCCCGAAGGGAGCGGAACGCAGCCTCCTCCTCTTGACCCCAGTGGAAACGAACCCCTTTAGATGTTAGAGCGTGCAGGGGTTTTGCAATTGTTGCAAAATCAGCAACAAACCGTCGATAATACGACGCGAACCCAATAAAACTCCTGACCTCTCCCACTGTGGTGGGAGTCGGCCAGGAGCTGACACACTGCGTTTTGGCGGGATCGGTAGCAATACCCGAGCGTCCCACGATGTGCCCCAAATAACGCACCGAATCACGCAACAAATGGCATTTTTGGGGCTTAAATTTCAAATTAGCAGCCCGCATCTTTAGGAAAACTGCCCGCAACCTCTGGAGATGGTCATCAAAAGTTTTACTAAAGACGATAACGTCATCCAAATAAATGAGGCACGACTCCCATTGCAGTCCAGCCAAAACCAATTCCATCAAACGCTGGAAAGTTGCCGGCGCTGAGTGCAAGCCCATCGGCAACCTGTTGAATTGAAACAAGCCGTGCGGTGTACGAAAAGCAGTTTTAGGCTTAGACTCATCATCCAGAGGAAGCTGCCAGAATCCCGAAAGTAAATCGAGTGTGGAAAAGAATCGCGCTCCCGCCAAAGCGTCAAGCGATTCATCCATCCGAGGGAGCGGGTATGCGTCGGCAACCGAAATTTTATTAAGACGCCGGAAGTCAACGCAAAACCGCAACGAACCGTCCTGCTTTTTAACCAGGACGATCGGCGCTCCCCAAGGGCTGGTGGAAGGAGAAATGATGTCCGCGGCTAACATGTCATCAACAGCCGATTTGACATGTTCCTTTTCGGCGGGACTCAACCGAAACGGATTTTGGCGAATTGGCGCGCTGTCACCCGTGTCAATATGGTGACGCAGCAAGTGAGTGCAGCCCAAATCATATTTATCTCGACTAAAAACGTCGGAAAATTCTCGCAATAGCGTTTTAAGTTGTTGACGCTCTGAATCGGACAGGTCCGTCGATCCCGCACAAAGCGCCTCGAGCCACCCTTCATCGCTGTCCGAACGCGGTCGCGACGCAGGGACAGTGTTGACGGAATTGACGGCGGGCTCCTCACACGGCACCGGCGTTGCGTGAGCAAGCACGGTCCCCTGTGGGAGCACCACCGTCCGCGAGCCCACGTTTAGGACCGCGATGAAGGGTTCACTATCCCCTCTCACTATGGTCTGGGCCGGTAGTAAATCAGGTCCACTAACCCCGGCCCTAGACGGTCCCAACAGTACCCCTTGCGCCCCGGCACCCTTAACGAGGGGCCGCCGAAGCTTCAAGGGCACCAACATTTGCGTTCCCGGAGGAACGCGTACCGTTCTCTCCACGAACGCCGGCACCGTCGCGAACGCCGTCCGAGTCGCAACTGGTGATGGCAGGAACGCCATGCGTCTGCCCGATGGAAGCTCTATGCACCCCTGGTCGATCAAAATTACAATCGGCATTTTGGCCAGGAAGTCCGTCCCCAGCAGGCACGGAACCGCCAGCGAGGACGAGACAGACAATTTAATTTCCCCAATACAAATTTGGGCACGAATTTGTCCGATGATGCCAAGTGAGCCCCCGTTAGCCGCATAGAATGGTACGTTAACAGGCATCAAAGGACGGCTCCGGACAGGGAGAATATTGTAAATTAATTCCGAAATAATAGTCGCCGATGCCCCCGTATCGACCAGGATGCGCACTTCCACCCCGTCGATATATCCTACAACGGCCGACGACCCCGACGATGCGGCAACCACACGATCGGCCAGCACGGACCACTGGCCGGGTTCGATATGGGTACCCGGAGTGGTGCGTGATGGTGCGATGGTGCGTGATACCGGCCCCCCTCTCGTCGCGGTGTTTGAGTGCGTGACGGGTGTGTGTGTGGGCCAAACGTGTGGGGTGCCGCGACTCGCCGGTGTTTGACGGTGGAGCTTGGGATGAGGCCCGTCGTCCCGGTGAGGTGTCGTCCCGCGCTGACGAGGAGAGCGGCACCCCGAGGCGACGTGGCCCCGGACGCCGCAGTTATAACACCGCGGGAGCGACGTCGGAGGTGACGAGTGGTCGGAACGGCCTGACCCGTCCTGGCCCGGCCGTGCACTCGTCGCCTGTTGCCGTCGGTGGTCGACGGCGTAGAGTTCCTCCGTCGGAAGGGTGGCTGCAGCCACCGCACGCCCCGCCGATGCCCTGCTGGCTTTGCGTCGAAGCGACAGGAGGTTTGCGTGGAGGAGCCGCGCCGCCTGGAGCGATGTCATTTCCGCGTCCTCCTGTGCGACGACAGCGATGTCTAGATCGTCGGCCAGGAGGAGTATCTTCTCCGTTACCATAGCGTCGATGCCGTCGTCATCCATCCGGGGGAAGGCCGACTTGGCCATCGCCAGGAGGCTCGTTCGGTACGCTAGGGGCGACTCCTTCTCTCCCCGCTTGCGGTCGTAGAACTCCTGTCTGCATTCCGCCGACGGTCCGTAGACCCCTCCCAGCAGCTGCAGCGCCATCGGTAACGTGGAGCGCCTTTCCTTTGGTGCCGATGTTAGGGCGGCAAGCGCGTCGCCGTCCAGGAGCGCCGGCAGGGCGCTGAGAGCTTCTTCGTCCGTCCATTTAGCCATCTCCTGGTGGGCGAGGAAGCGTCTTTGAAAGCCGCTCCAGTCGCCCTCTGCGCCCACGAATTCTTTAAGCGGGGGCAGCCTTTGGTGTAGCGCAGCGGCTGCCGTGGAGTCCCGTGGACTGCTGCCTCCCCGACTCGGCTGCGTCTCGGCGCGAATGGCAGATGGCATCGCCTGTCGCAGCTTTGATGACGCGCCCTCCTCCGTCGTTGATGCAGCAGCCCCAGCGCGGCCGATGTCGGACCCCAGGTTGAGGTTGGCCACGCCCCTAGCGGTCGCTGCGTCGATGGCGGGAATTTCAAAATTTAAATCTTCAGAAATGGCGGGAAGGCGCTCCACAAGCCGGTTCCTCTCGCCCCGCGGTGGACCACCAGCCGCCAGCCGTGTGATGTCCCCCAGCGCAGCGGCAGCGGCGTAGAGCAGTTCCGCCAGCCTCTCATGAGCCAGCCTCAGGTCGTCTCCCCGCTGCTCCTCTTCATGGCGATGCTCCGGTAAGCCCGCATCCGGCCCCGGCTGCACGTCGTCTAGTAGAGCCATCTCGGGCTCGGCAATTTCGGTGGCGTCCTCCGCCCGCTGTTCCCTGGCTCGAGCTGTTTGGCGCGTGTCCATGTTCTTGGTTCTTCTGACGCCAGATGAAGTGTTGTTGAAGACGCGTGGACAACGGGGTAAGGCACACGTATTTATTTACACAAAGGGCTTACAGTACTAGAGGGATGTATCGGCCCCCTCACCCGTACAACTGGGAATTCACCCCTAGCTAGCCTTCCTAGCTGAGTCCTCCGCTAACGGGCTAGGGGAGGCTGTCTGGCCCGACACTGGTTAGTCGGGCTACGGTACCCGGAATCCCAGAGGTCTGACTCTGGTTCCGGGACCACGCCACTGGCTCCAGCCTGCACTGCCCTTACAAGGGCGGCGTCCCAGGGGGAGTCCAGGGCCTATCTGGCTGGTCTTCTCTCTTCTCTTAACTACTCTAAGACTGAGCCCCGAGCTCTCTGGCTCAACCCTTTTTATACCCCGTTAGAGGATCGAAACCCCCCTCACGCCGTCCAGTACGGACGTCGTTGCGGGCACCACCCCGTGTGCTCACGGAGACCCCGCCCATTGTGTCTGTTTTCCATTAGCCCCTATGTAAACAGCCCTACACAAACAGACCCTCTGTAACAGCCCTACACATGCTTACTAACTGCATTGCAATACTTTTTTCAGAGGTGTGTTAGGTTGTTTGGATAATTCTTGGAAATTGCATTTTTGTCTTCAATTCAATTGTGCTGCCAGCATCGTGTCACGAAATGAAGTATCCATTTGAATTTAATGCAGAACACTATCTTCCCCTTGTGTCAGACTGTTTCGTGGAAGCAGATATCACACAACTACTGCCAAGATCATAAGTTTTGTTTTATCAATACACTAGGGGGCAGCACGTTCCTACATGTTACATTGCAACGAAGTGTGTTTTATTGATTGATTTTATTTGTTGATGCGGGTAAGAAACATTTAGCCGTAAGCAGACAGTAGCAAACACATTCAAGGAAAACAACATTCAATTGATTCACCATTAAAATAACATTGGCAGGTTAATGGACATTAACACTGTAAAGTATGTATGTATCTATGTTGAACTTCTTTCGAAAACTCCATCCAACACTGAAGCACCAAGTCGCACAAAGTCCGTTAACCACAAGTACAGGGATGTATATTCTTAGGTTTTTTTCGGTAAAGTCACTTAGGTAAAAAATTCACATTTATAAAAGTAAAATAAAATAAAAATCACGACGTTTCGGAGGCAACACAAGCTTCCGTCTTCAGGTGGAACCGTCACAGCACGATAGCTGTATCGCCTAAAGACGGAAGCTTGTGTTGCCTCCGAAACCTCGTGATTTAAATTTTATTTTTATTTTACTTTTATTAATTTTTATTTTTTACCTACGTGACTTTACCGAAAAAACCTAAGAATATAAATCCTTGCAGTCACGAAAGCTTCAAATCTAGAATACAGGGATGTAGTGCATATCAGACATAAAACACCAAATCGTTCCGGGTTCGCTCACCACATTGCAAGAGAAGTGATATTTTAAATCGAAGGGATATCATAAATGTTTGTTTCATAGCAGAGGGAAACACCACTACTTTTAATTATCGGAGCTGTTATTTTCAGCCAAATGAATTAGAAAAGAAATGCATTTAATTATTGTTGACAACCAATTTAATGTACCCCATAGTGTGGCAGTGGGGACTGGTTCCCAGAGGCAGAAGTTTTAGCTGTGAGCATTGGTTACTAGACTGTACTAATGAGTCATAATAAGGATGAACCGGTCCACAGTTGTCTGCCTCACTGCTGCTGGTTAGTCGATCTCATTTGATCAAATTTGTTTGACGGTGAACCTTGACAAGAGGACCAAAATGCAGTTTTTATGGAACCCTTGATGATGTTTGCACAATGTGCAGGGCCGAGTGGATTTTGTACAGGTTTCTGTTTTGTTGAAACTTGTCATTTCCATATTTCATAACAAAGGTTCTTGGGTTAGATTGCGTTATTATAAATGTGTCGCAACCGTCCAAAACCTGACATGGCCAATCAGTAAAAACATGTGTCACGGTAACAAAATATTGGTCGCGAAAGCCTACGTGTTAAATTTCCATATTTGATGACGGTAATAGTAGAAAATTGTATCTTATCCTGTACTTTGGTCTCCCCTAGGTCGACTCGACCTGAAATGAGGTCTGGATACAGTGTGTCAATATCAGCGCTTGGGAGACAAAGGTGGCCTGGCGTGGTGCTGGTCACATCACCCCCTTGTGCGCCATGCCGGACTTAATAGGTACTTGCTAACAACACATGCACAACAACCTATGGATAAGCAGCGTAGCATTATAATTGTTTTTTTACCCTTTTATCTGGCAACAAAACTGACACCTTTTTTACAAGGAGTCATGTTTTCATTGACCACAATACCTGCGGTCGGAATGCAAACAAAAAACACAACTCTGATAATGTATGCACTGTCCTTGAAATTGATTGGTCCACACCCGAGACAGCTTTTCTTAGAGCCTAATCTCACATGGTGTTGGACCAGATGACGCCAAAAGGCGCAGCATTGTTTTTGTATTTTTTATTTCTATATGTGTGTAGGGTAGTGTCGTGATCTGCACACTGCACTACGAACCCAGCGTCCCGAGTTGGATTCCCGCTTATATTTCAACCGGTCTTGGGCCTCCTCTAGGTTAACTCAGCCCTTAATAATTGATTACAATACCTAAACAGTGTGTACACATCAGCACTAGGGAGACAAAGGCGGCCAGGTGTAGTGTTGGCCACCTACCCTTTCTTGTACTGTGCCAGCCTTCATAGGTGCTCACTAACGGCACTTGCGCCAAGAGTCTGTAAAAGGCTAAATGGGGGACCTTCGTATTTTTGTAGTTTTGTGGAGTGTAATTTAAGTTCACGATACGTGGATTTAGTCATGTTTTTAGGAATAACTTATTTTTAAAGGTATGCACATGAGATGTAAATTTGCACCTCTTTCTATATAAAAAAAATGAGCAAACCAAAGTGTACAAATATTGCCAAATAAAAAATGAGAAGTCGGAAGCAAAAAACGAGATAATCGAATCGTGAGTCCAAATCGTGACAATTGAAGGCAAATTGTTACATGTCTAGTTTTAAGTACATGCATACAATGGCAGAGCCAATATTTTCAGGTAGGGGGGGGGCAAGCCCTCCAGCAATGAAACATGATAGAGGAGTTGTTAGTAAGTAAGGACTTGTCCCTTGCTTTTATTCGACGCGTGTGCGGCGATGGCGCAGCCATCGATCGAGGGTCGAATTCGAACCGCGTTGTGTGATCGGCATCGCGCTCGCTGAAGCTGTTGATGCCTTCAGGGAAGTCGTGTCCTGTATACACAACTGCGCACAATTCTGAGTCACTTATCACTGCTTTGCCGTTACTTATTGCCAATAATGGACTCAGACTATTGTCCTATCATCTCATAGAGTCCCTGGCACGTAACAATATGCTGCACAGTGGCAGTGGGGGTCGCAAAATGCCGATTTATTACTAATTAATCCCAATGATCCGATCGAAATTCGGGATTTCAATCGGATCCGCCAGTGCATGCGTATAATGGTATACGTGGTAATCTGTGTATTATGTACGATTGTGCTCCGTGTAAAGTTTATATTGAGTTCGAGGCCCACGAGGGTGACATCAATGTGCAGTACCAGCAGTGTTCACCAGGAGGCGGTCTTGAATTGTCGATCTGCCGGGTGATCGAGAGAACAATGTGTATCATCATTCTCGAAAGCAGCAGAATTATAAGCAACAGGATCAGTAGCAACATCTTAAACAGAAGCGTCCTCAACAGCATCATAAGTATAAACATAATCAGATTACAACTATCAGCAGCTGTATCATTGACATCAGTGTAACAGCAGCATCTACAGTATCACATCGGCATCATCATCTAATGCTTTTCGTGGCAACATCATCAGCAGTGTCATTATCGTTAGCGGCACGTGACAGCAGTGTCATCCGCATGATAAGAGCCTTTTAATATAACATTGTAATTTTAAACATTACTATACTATAAGGACGTTTTTAGCAAAGTTGTTTTTAAATATGAACTTACCTTTAAATGTGAAATTATTCCAGGTCTTGTATTGCGTCTTCTTGTCCGTCCATATTTATACATGCATGTGTGTGGAATGTCTAATAATTATATACATGTGTTGCGTAGGTTAAATGTGTGCATGTATGTGTATATATGTAAATACAATTATACCGGCATTATGTAAATGTATATCCACATGTTACCATACATATAAGCATATATAAGCATATGTGATACGCATGCACTCGCTATTACAAATTATTAAATGATTGGAATTCACCACGGTGTTTAAAGTTTAACCCCAAGGGAGGCTTTAAACATCATAACTTGCCAACACTCATCATTTATACTAATGATATGCAAGACGTCATAGTAAGTGGACAAAGCGCCCCGCTCCTATTGGTTGATTTCGCCTTAGTGGGCGGGGCTTTGTTGTGGTTTGAGGTGATGGCTGAGACGGGTAGATGGTGTTGATTGTGTGTGTGTGTATATATACAGGGAGCTTTAGTCTGGTTTCATAAGCCCCAGACGTGAGACTGAACCGGAAGAGAGCCCTAGTTTTGCCTCAATAAGCGTTATTCATATTGAACCCTTTGGGAGTCATATGTCTGGCTGTATGAACAACATACTTTAATACTGCACCCGAGGGGAGTCGTATTCTGCCTCTATGTGCCTCATACATTAATACTGAACTCTAAAGGAGTCCCCGTCTGCCTCTGTATGCATCGTACATTAATAATGAACCCGAAGTTAACCTTAGTATGGCTGTACGAGCTAGACGAGGCTGAGAACATTGCACATGCCATTTGGTGGTCACATGACGAGCATGCACAGCATGATGGGAATTTTGCCTTTTGTGAGCGCATCTACGTGTACCATTGTATAAGAAACATTATAAACGAAAGTGTGCAATTCAGTCCATCTATTTCATCTATGTATACGCTACGTACAATGGCAACTATAAAGAAGCCTAGTATGGCGTTTTAAAGCCTCGTACATTCATACTGAACCCTAAGGAAGCCTTAGTCTGGCTCGGTATGAGCCTGATCCATTACTCCTGAACCCTAGGGGAGCCATAGACTCAGTGAGCTGTATACATTAACACTGACAGGTGTGGGTGGTATTGCAGTGCCTTGATTTATTTTGCCGGACATTGTGAACGACGCAAATTGAGGAGGGTGGTGTGTGGGTGGAGGGTGGTGTCACATTGTCACCGTTCGTGTCACAATCTTTACCTGCGACCATTTATTTAAGCACAACAGATAAATTGAGTTATAACACAACAGACAAATAATCTAATGGACACCGCAACGTCATGTGTAATGTAATATTTTTAAAAACGCATGTCTGTGTCTCCCTGCTCAAATAAATAGGGGGCCGTTCTGATCAGTCAGCAGTCCCAGGCCAGTTGTGGAGATTCTACATTATTATGGCAAGGAACACTCTTTAGGATTCTAAATAATAATGATGACGATGATGCACTTTAAACCCTCAGGATTAGCATCTCATTTCAAAATGTGTTTCAGCAAGGTGGCAGCGATACATCAGTTCAATGCACAGTTTACAAAATGAGCAGACAATGAATATTGCACCAAAGGAACACATGTTGGACAATGTAAATATTAAATTAAAACAAAACATTTTTATAAATTTTCCAAGTAAAAAAAGGTACTTTTAAACTTTATAGTAAGGTGTAATTATATTAAGTGCACAATGTATTTATGTGATGCAATGGATATATTTGACTCTTGTAATAACAAGGTTTTTAATATTCTTTGGGACTTTCGGGAAAGTCACGTAGATAGGTTCAAATAACGACCGCTTGTGTTGCGATCGAAACGTCGTAGTTTTTTGTTATTTTACTTGAATCTGTCTACGTGACTTTACCGAAAGACCCAAAAAATATGAATTCCTGCAGTCACGAAAGCTTTAAGTCAAGGTTTTTATTTTCCCCTTAAGAACATGAGCCAATTCAAAAAGTATCATAGTGAGATCTAACTGAGTTTCTCAGTAAGAGAAAGCTCTGCAGCCCAAAACAAACTCAGCAAATGTAGTCTTGAGCATGAGAGACATCTCAGACTTGAGATCCTGGGAAGAAACTAGACAGGTGAGTTTAGAGCTACGAAGGCAGCTTCCCGTGTTTCCCTTCAAGGGTAAATACTAAGGAGTGGACCAAATCACCCGCAATGCACCTGATCTCATTCGATCTCAGAAGTTAAGCAGGTTTGAGCTCGGATAGTGTTTGGATGGGTAACTGTCATGCATACCAGGCTGTGTGTGGCTGTGGACAGCAAAGAGCAAGTGGAATTTTCCCAAATAACCCCCACAGCATGCCTTCAATCGGCAGTAGCTTGATAAGAGGCCTGTAAATGTACATGTCTGCTTAGCAATGGAGTTTTCTACAACTTTCTTCATTAATCCAGGACAGATTTTCACAGTTTGCAATGCTGTTCTCGAACGAGGCACTGAAATACAAACTATTTTGCACTGTTACATATTGGAAGCAGATGAGTGACCACAGACAAACCCAACACCTTTAAAATGTACTCGACCACTTATAAAAAAAATGTTTCCTTGACTCACCATGCAGTTCATGACAGGATAATACAAATTTTGCTAAATTTAAATACTACAAACTGAAAATGAACAAAAAAAAAATCTAATTAACAAACAGCCTCCAACAATTAATTTAAAGTTAACTTAATGTTTTTTTTTCAATATCCCCATTTTGCTGTAATTACCAGCTCGTCAAGAGATGAACACATTAACATCGGGAACTCTCGTTGTGTGCAGTGTCGGGGAACGGCTCCGGAAGATGACGTCCCAGATCCACTTTACTACGAGTCTTGCCTTCATACAGCCTCTCAAAACAACACTGGATAGTGACTTTTCAAGTTCCTGAAAGAGCAGTTCACCGCATGTCAGTCATCTGATGTGTGTAGGAATTGTAACCTATAACATGGACTTGATAAAATTAAAAACCTAGTGAACAAACTTTAATTATGATCATGGATTTTGCTTTGTGCAGTCAGTGGTGACCGGGTTGAGTCAGAGGGAGATGAACCTTGAATTTGGCATTTATTGAAACCCCCCCCCCCCCCGAACGAGCCCAGAGCTTTTGTCTTTTACCCAGGACCTTGTCTTTGTTGCACCCTTTTCGTCCTAATACAACGCAAATAATACAACTCACTTGGCTAAATATATGGGTCCAGGACCTCTGCATTGCCATGTTAGTATTTCAGACATGACCATTACGAACTTATGAGAAACATAAGCCCTGCGGCAGGATTCTTAATCTTGCACTCTCAGGTCCTCATCAATGTCTGCTTGGGGTGTCTTTGATGCGAAAATGATCAACCTTATTATAGCCATTGTGAACCTCCAGATAGAGAGCTCTAGACACGTCCAGTCCCAAGGATTTGACTATAAATCTCGGAACTCAGGGATGCTGGAATACAGTCGTGACTCTAATGCCATTATTAACCTCCATGGAGAGGGATGGACACCAAGCCACAGCATTAATTAAAATAAAATGTTTTTTTTCCTGCAATTATATTCCACTAATACTGTTGCTATCATGCATGAGATGACAAAATGTATCTTCTGCACTCGCAGCGTGCAGTGCACCACCACTCTGTGTTGGAGAACTGGCCAGGAAAGTGTCATACCAGAACGACTTCTCAAGTCACTTCATTCTGTATTTTTGTCTGCACTGGAGGGCACCTTTTGCCATACCAACATTTCGTTTTCTTAGTGGTAAAATAACTCAAATTAGCCGGGTGGCTCAGCAGCATGGTGAGCGGCTCACAATCTCAAGGTTGCGAAGTTCAAATCCTGGTTGGGGATTGATTCGGCCTATCAACCTATCTGGGATTGATCAAATGAGTACCACTTTGTGGTAAATCAAGTCATTATATAGACTCAGCCCTGCCATAGGAATGTGGAATTTCCACCACTGGCTCAGGACTGTAAACAAGATGTGAGCACCGCCTCAATTGACCATTTGAGCAAGAAATCATGTTGGCTTGACTTTACAGTTTTAACACGAGTCATTTTTTTCAATAATTGCTTACAATTTGTTTACACTTGAGAACCTAGTTATAATCATGGGTGGCTGATACTTGGATCCAAACCCAGGATCTCAGCAGTACTGGCTCATTTCCCTGACGTGACAGCACCCTGAGCTACCCAGCCACCTCCTACCCCAGGGCTCTAATCTCAGCACCTCAGCAATGCCAGCTAACTTGTGTCCGACATGGCTATTATGATCTCTTCATTTAAGAGCAGCTCATAGCTTCGGTGGCGGCGGTGGGTCTGACAGACTCTGGCGCCGGCGACGGCGCTCGCCCTGTACTCCGAGTGCTCCTCCTCGAGCTGAACCCGCGCTGCCGGAATAGAATCTTGGCCGCAGCAGCGGCTGGAGCGTGGGCAGCGGCGGCGACCGCCCCGACGCCAGCGTGCGGCGTCGACGCCGTGTCGCTGTCCAGTCCCCAGTGGTGAGGGCTCAGGTGTTGGCTGCTGCGGCGCCGACCCATGGGCAGGGCCACCACATTGGCCACGCAGCAGGCGAGACGGGCGAAGGCGCGGCGCATCTCGCGGCTCGCCAGCGTGTACACGATGGGGTTGGCACCTGAGTTGAGCACGGCGAGCACCAGGCACCAGTCGGTGGCGCGCAGCAGCATGGGACAGCGGCGCGCTTCGCACGCCACGTCGGCAGCGAGGAGCGCGAAGAGCGGAGACCAGCAGGCGATGAAGACACCCACAACAATGGCAACCGTGCGCAGGAGCGCCACCGACCTCTCGGAAGCGGATGAGGCCCTCTGCGAAGCAGGCCTTGGCGTCAGAGATGGAGAGGGACAGCTTGCTCCGGTGTTTCCATCCGTTGTGGCCATTCTGGCTGTTTTGGGTGTACCGACCGTTCCGCCCGTTTCGGCCGTTACAGGTGTTGCGGCTGTTCCGCCTGTTCTGGTTGGTCTGGTTGGCTTTGGTGTTCCAGCAGATTCACCAGCCTTCTTGTGGCTTACTGGAGAGGTGTTTCTCATGGGGGTTGCTGATCCTGCAGGCAGCTTAAGCTTTACGCATGAAGACCCCAGCTCGGGAGATGCTCGCCCTGCCAGCGCCTTCCGAGCCGCTGCGGGAGCATCGACGGCAGACGAGCCGGCAGTGGAGGCGGACGGCGCCCGCAGGGATACACGCCTCCCACTGCGCCGCACAAGGCAATAGATGCGCGCATAGAGCACGGAGTCGGTCGCCAGGATGAGCGAGAAGAGCGCCACGCAGAAGAACAAGTAGGACTTGGCGTACAGCGGCAGGATGGCCGAGCACTCGGGCAGGCGGCCCACGCAGTTCCATCCGAGCGACGGCAGAGCCCCCAGCACCAGGGCCGCGGCCCAGCATGCGGCGGCGGCGATGGCAGCTCGGCGGCGCGCCCCGACGCGCCCCCCCGGGGTGAGGCGCATACGCAGCATGGTGGCGTAGCGCTCCACCGCGATGGCCAGCAGGCTGAAGACGGAGGCGCCCAGCGCCACGAACATGGCGCCCTCGCGCGCGAACCACGCAGCGCGGCTCAGCCTCAGCGTGGTGGCTCCCGACAGGCGCACGTTGGCGGCGTAAAGCGCCGCCGCCAGCAGGTCGGACAGCGCCAGGTTGAACACGAAGCAGTAGGTGGGCGTGTGCAGGCGGCCATTGCACGCAATGGCAGCCATGACCAGGAGGTTCTCGGCAGCGATGACGCAGCAGACAGCGATGAGGGCCAGCGAGCCGGGCCCCAGCGAGGAGCTGGGCTCCCCGCGGGACCCATGGTCCAGCTTCCCCGTGTAGTTGTAGTGCAGCAGGATGAGCTCGGAGTCCGAGAGAGCCGAGCTGTTGAGCATTTCTACCCCTTAGATTTGATATTGTGTTCCACGTTTGAATTAGACCTTGGGAGTTTTCAGTAGTGTCAATTGGTATAAAATCAATTAAAGTCCAGTAATAGGAAAAAAATAATTCTGGTAAAGCGATGTGTTTTAAGATGTGGTAACAGAGATGCTAGTGGAACTAGTGAGGCGATGCAGAAGTTCGTTTGAAAATCTTGGTGCAGTGGACAAAGGTTCGATGACCCACCAAAATGATGACTGGTAACCAACCACCAGCATTGAATTGCAGAGTTCTTTAGGGTCCATTAGGGCTTCACCAGGTCTCAGGTATATGACGGTGCCAATGCATGCAGTAGTTTGTATATAACTGGTAACATTTATGAATTCATGGATAACTGTACAGGTATTATAATTGATTTTTGTTGATGAAAAGTCTAATCGAAACCCATTGTTAAACTAATCATTGTCAGCAACACAGACCTGGGCGGTAAACGGCTTACATGAAACGTTAAAAAAAAGCGAGTTGTAATTATGTTGGACAACAAAGGTGAGCGACGAGTTCCAGAGTCTCGCGGCACATGCAGGGTATAAAGGAGTAGGCAGAGTGCTTTGTGCAAGAAGTATGGAAACAGAATTCACGTAGGAATGTGAGGAGAGGTGAGAAGCTCAAATACGTTGAGACAGGTGCATTAATGGTGAGATTTTGTAGTTGCACATTACGACTTTGGAAGTCCTAATGTGTGGTCAGGAATGGAAGATAATTTTGGCTAGTTTCCCCTTCTGGAACGTTGAGTTTCTGCTGCAGGTAGCATTTGTTGTCCTTCCCTGCACCTCAGATGAGCACGGTTGGCTACGTACAGTGAAAAAGAAATTCAATATACATACATCTGAGATACTGTATAGTCTTGCCTAGCTTTTCCTCTAGAATACCAAATCGCTGGTGTTAATATATTTTGACAAATCCAATGCCTCTTTGCAAATTGAATTTCTTCAGGAAATGAGCGGGTTCGTATCTCGTTATACTTCTTAACTGCAAGGCCAGCCACTGTCATTGTCGAACCACACAACACTTGACCCACTTTTGGTTTTGCCTTATGGAAAATGGATTTGCTAGTGCTCTTGGCGATAACTTTAGCAAAATAGTAATTTAAAGTTCACCTGACGTGGTTTTGTTTTTACAAAAGGGTGGGAAAACAGCCAGTGGTAAAGAACGTGTTATCCTATGGCTGTGTAGCATGTGCATTATATACACTGGAATGTGAGCTTTTGAAATTCTATTTAAAATGTCAAATAAATACCCTGTCGACCCACGAGCTTAGGAACCACCTTAACCAAACTATGGAAGGTTTTGGCTTATTAGGTTCCAGCAACCTGCTTGCTGTACTGCCATGTACTGGCAGTTGTGTATCTTCAGAATGAGATTCTCATGCCTGTGACACTCTCAGCATGGTCGACCAACTCAACCTCCCAAACTGAGGATTGCAGGTGTGGTTCATCATGGCCAGCTCGGTGAATGGTCCCTGCTGGAATCCTGGCTGGAGTGAGTGATTTTTAAATGCCAGAATTCAGCAATACTGAAATAGAGCAACGTGGTAAAGATGGAAAACTAGAATTCCAAAAATGTTGAAATTGTGATCTGAAATACAAAATATCAGGAACGTTGTAAATCCAGAATATTCATATAACTTGCAATCCAGAAACTCTGGATTTAAATAATTCTGGGACTTTTGATGGGAATCCAGAAAACAGACTGAAATTATAATTTAAGATTATAAAATGGTTGGACTCTAGAATACTGTAACTTCATAGACTTGGAAAATGCTCATTTGGAAGACTAGAACTCCTGAACTGTGTAATTGAGTTGATTGTGAATTCTGAAAATTTGGACCGTTAGGAATGTAGAACATTAGAACTCCATACTTGAGGAATTCTACAAAACTGGAATTTCAGTGTATCTGGAGTGCTGTACTGACATTGCAGAAGTTGGTCTTCGGACAATTACTGTGGGCGGCAAGAGAAAATACGAAGCATTAATTATTGTGAATGGGTGAAAGCTTGAGGATGAAATTGGATAAATGGGTGTCCTGCTGAAACGAGAATGGGGTGATGATCATCTACGTTGCTGGCACAGGGCTAACAGTGGAAATTCCACATTGAAATGGTGGTAGTAATTACATGCAAAGATCCATCAATTATAATATATGCAAATTTATATTAAAACAATGATATGCAAGGGTTATATATATATGCATTGTGATTGATTAAACTAAACTTTTGTAAACAAGATGTAAAAAAAGCAAAACAACACAATTATGCCATATAAATGAGAAAAATATTGTTTCTTGAAGTGAATTGTGACTCCCACTCTCTCTGCATTAGACAAAAACCGCTGTTAACTTCTCGCAAAGTGGTGCTTAATTCTTTATCAAATCTGGATGATAGCCGGCGATGATGATGCTGATGATGGGATCAGTCGCTGTCCCCATCCAAGATTGCATCTCACGAGCTTCTGACTGCGTATCGAGCGCTCGGACCGCAATACCATTTTAAATATGGAAACCTTAAGGGCCTAATACTAACTATCCAAACTCAGAAAAAACAAAAGCAACAATGAAACCTGAAACTGAAAACTAATTTTAAAAGTTTTCGTTTTAAGAGATTCGTATTTTTGTCAGTGATTTCGTTTTCTGCTTTCTTTCTTTCTTTGAACTGAGGTCTCCCTTACAATCGACTCTCACTTAAAGAAAGTCAACTCAGCCCAAAACAACAAACACACATTTTAGTATTCTTGTAGGTACACATCTAGGCTCTGTGTTGCGGCCTGTCTGACATGAGTTTGGAGATTCACAAATAATGACTTCCATTTGCACCTCCCATAGCACTCGAGTGATATCACGGTTGTGATTCTTGCATTTGAACCCAGAAGCACAGCAGGAGCTTCTCTTGAGTGCTCATCTGAAAGTCAATTCAGAGTCTATAATCTAATTACCAAAGCATCAAAGCCTTTGAGAGGGAGCCGTGGACACATACTAAGTGTGTCGCTACTTGCGAATAGCCGTTTGGTTTTTGGGTTGCACCCTGACCTTTCACCATAAACTTACAATATTGCGTGTTTACACCCACGCGCATCTCCACTGTATTTAAAAAGGGGGTTGTATAATGCATGCATTCTGAAATACAATGCTGTAGCCTTAAAGGTTTTAGCCTGAGGAGACCTGGGATTGGGACTCATCAAACCGGTTCTTAAGGTGCGGTATTGTTTTTCGCGTGGCATTTGGGATGGTAGGCGAATGCAAGTCAATGTTAATGTATGGACATTCACCAACCAACTTGCAGTGGATTATAGTCTACTCCTATATAAACTCTGATACATATGCCTATATAATCTGATAAGAGATGTATTAATCTCATCTGATAGAGATCCTATATCTTATCCGTTGTCTCATTCAACACATGCAGACAGATAAAAGTCAGTGGTCTTCCTGCTTAGATGAGTTTGGAGTGTTACTCTTTCCCATTAGCAGCCTCAAAACAGCGGTGTAAATATCAAATAGCATGACCACCACTTACAGTATATACATTCAAGTATATACTCAGTCTCATACTCACACAGATAGAGATCCCCCGTATAGCCTTCACAGACTGTCGGGGAAAGTGCTCTTAGAGAGTACCTATTATGGCCGGCACAGCACACGAGGGGGTGGGTGGCCAGCAACCACACCCGACCGCCTTTGTCTCCCCAGTGGCGATGTTTACACACTGCACCAGGCCCAGGACTGGATCACTCACACACACACATTTAGAAGTACACGCATGTCCGTGAGCGTAAACACTGACATACTGACGTAATTCACATAACAAATCATTAATGCAACTCAAAACAGAAATTCCGCATGTTACAAACTAGCCTTTAATCAAATAATCTTGAACCCCTCTATTATTGTATAATCTCGGAAGATCAGCAGGTTTCAACATTGTTAAGCGTTGGATGGGAGACCGCGTGGGAATACATCCAGTGTTGTTGACTTGAACGGAGAAGTGGCAAGGATATTTGCTTTACAGAAATGGATTCTTGAATTCAGGTGTTGTCTAGCTTTGCGCATTATGTTCTAAAATGTGTGTGCTTTCTCTGGGTTCTCCGGTGTCCTCCACGTGAAGCCAGACACTCGTGAATGGCATTGGGCAAACATACCAAAGAGTCGAGAGACTCAGTGAGGATTTCCAGCCTTCGTAAAGGGCATTGTTATTAACATTATTTATACCTGATTGTCAATTTGTCAAACACTGTCCATACACACCGCATGACATATGGCATTCAATACCGCACCTTTGTAGAACCGGTTTTTATGGGTACCAATCCCAGATCTCCTTGGGCTAAAAGCCGTAAGGCTACAGCATTGACATTCACTAAGCCTGTATTTTACAAAGCCTCTTTAATTTAATGTGGATGTGGACAAGTGTGGCTTGGTACACGTGACATTTAGGAAGGTTTCTGGCTAAAGGCAGATACAACAAAAAAACACAAACAGCTCTTCTCTATGGGAACCTCATTTGCCAGTAAAAATATGATAATTGGTTTTTTACCCTTCTATCTGGCAACAAAACTGACACCTGTTTGCATAGACCACAATACCTGCAGTCATAATGCAAACAAAAAACATAACTCTGATAATGTGCACTGTCCTTGCAGTTGATTGGTCCACACCCGAGACAGCTTTCCTTAGAGCCTAGTCTCACATGGGTTGGACCAGATGACGCCAACCCATGTGAGACTAGGCTCTAAGGAAAGCTGTCTCGGGTGTGGACCAATCAACTGCAAGGACAGTGCACATTATCAGAGTTATGTCTTTAGTTTGCATTATGACTGCAGTTATTGCAGTCTATGCAAACATGACTCCTTGTAAAAAGGTGTCAGTTTTGTTGCCAGATAGAAGGGTAAAAAACCAATTATCACAAACAGCTCTTCTGTATTATATTCTTGGTTCTTTCGGTAAAGTCACGTAGAAGGGAAATATTAAAATAATAAAAATAAAACACTCAAATTCTCACGACGTTTCGACTGCAACACAAGCAATCAACATCAGGTGTGAAAACCACAACAAGAAGATGTATTGTTTTATTTCATTATTTTATTATTTCCCTTCTACGTGACTTTTCCGAAAGAACCAAGAATATGAATTAATGCAGTCACGAAAGCTTTAAATCGAAATTTAGCTCTTCTGTGGTAGCTACGCGTCCAGGCTGTTCGACAATGGATTCATTCTTCATTAATGACCGTATTGTCCAGATCATAAGATACACTTCTTTCCCCTGTACATGTGGATTAATGCAACGTTGATAGTGTTGATCGTGTGTGTTCTATAATTAATTGGGTAGGTGTGTGCGTGTGGGACCAGATTTGTATAACTTTACTGACACCGGACACAGGTTTGGGGTGGATCTTACATTCCCGGGTGCCTCATAATACCGATAAATCGGTGGAACACAGACTTTAAATGCGCTCACAGATTTACGCGGTGGTACTCGCGTGCTGGGGTCGGCAACCAAAATAACAAGAAGAGCCATTTTTGTTAGAATTTGGTCCAAAAAAAAAACGAAACGTATTTTAAGAGCCCCCAATGCAAGTGATGAATACGACAACAGTGGTCCTTAACAAGTAACGGTCACGAAGCGGTCCTTAAAAAGCCGCATGCGGCTTCGGAGTCGGAGATACACGACCTAAAGGTCGTGTATCTGGGAGTCTCTAAAATCGGGTTTGTGGCTTTGTCGGTTGAAAAATAAATGCTTTCACTTCCAGGCTCTTAATATAGAAGAACAGCTGTTAGGGATTTTCGACTGTGTTATCCACTTGAGAGTCAACCATGAAGCGTCTGACTTTTAGAAAGCCGCCTGCCGTACTTGTTTGGTGAAAATTGTTTTGAATAAAAAGAAACGTAAATTGATTGGCACGCAAGTACTGTACCTGTACGGTCCTCATAGTCCTAATAGATTCATTGAATTGTCAGGATTTGGCTCATGGTTCTATTCAAGTCTTTATCTATGTTTGTTTATGCAAATTGCATTCGACACCAATGAGGAACCACAGGCAAGCTGGAAGGCAGCCAGGCGGTGAGCCGGCGACAACAAGCTCCCAAGCGCTGCAGTCTTTATATTAAGATGGACTATATTCAGCCAATTAATGAGTCCATAATAGAATTGTTTTGAGTTAGATCGCATAAATATCAATGTGTTGTTAAAACCCGCCACCACCCGACACAGCCAACTAGTAAGGGTTGTCACGTAAACAGAAATGCCAATTCGTCACTAGTTCAGCATACCGGTATATTGGAGAGCCATGCCACAACATTGTAAATGTTGGAGAGCCAAGCCACAACATTTACACCGGTGTGCTGTACTAGTGACGAATTGGCATTTTCTGTTTACGTGACAACCCTTACTCGTTGGCTGTGTCGGGTGGTGGCGGTTTTAACGACACATTTATTTACGCGATCTAACCCAAAAAACATCTTATGGATGATATTGGTCGTGAAAGCCTACGTGTTAAACCAATTAATGGATGTTTAACGTGTGGGAGGAAACCCGAATAGTGGTATATATTCATAGTGCTGTAGTGTGATTATATAGAGCCCGAGTGGAGAATATTATATTCAACAAATGTAGGCAGAGCACCATCCATCCACATGCAGCAAAATCCATTGTTGTGCTGTACTTCTTTACTCCCTTGTCTATGCTCCATCAATCTGTCACTGACGAGGGTGGTGAAGTATGGTACAATAACCCCCATGGGCCACATGGCATGAGAAGGGCCTCGTCTCGCAGTGGATTGACAAAAGATTGTACACGTGCCTGATTATAATTAATCTACAGAAATGTGAATTTGTAGAATCCAGAGTGGTGTGAATATATATATATATCGGTGTGAATACATTACTTTAATTTACAATGGTGTCAATCGCTATAGATTTATTAAATATATACTCGTACTGTATATAAATGTAGTGTTGGGAATCTATATAAATTATAGTACCATTAATATATATTATATGTAATGAAGTGAATACTCTATATACTCTAATCTCTAGTGCAGTATTCATGAATATACGATTGTGCGAATCTTTGAAATCTGCAGTGGTACGAATCTACAGCAGTGTGATTCTGCAGACTATACCACGATTTAATCTATAGGGGAATACTACAAAGACATATAAATCAGAAATAACCGATCCCTACATTCGCTATTTGATTAATTTATCAAAAGCTTAATCGTCGATGACAGTCGAGAACATGTCATAGCAGCTACACAGAAGTGAATTGAAAGTGTAGTTCATACGCTATCCCTTAAAAACAGATGGGCTTCCTACATATTAATTATGCATCACCTTGCATGTAGCAGTTTGTGTAATGCATTCAATGTTATAACTTTACATATGCATGTATGCAATACTCTGTTGTTATTTAAAAAAAATATTCATGTTATATTGACTATACAAAAAAATAGTAATTGATCTATAAATGTTACATTTATATAGAAAGCCAAGATTAGACTTTTTTTCAACAAAAAAAGCCACGTTCTGCTTTAGGGTTGTTTTGGGTATCATATTCCGTGTATTCACCGTTCACAGTGGACCACCTGTCCATTGTATACAGCGTGATTGTACACGTGTCTGTAATTGTATATGTGTTTATGTATGTATGTGTGCCTCTGTGTGTGGGCAAACGCACCACCTATTGGGGCGCGGTGGCGCAGTGGTGAGCGCGCTGCGCTACGAACCCGGCGACCTGAGTTACATTTCCACTTATGGATCACACCATTGACGATTACCTGGACCGCTCCTGGGCCTCCCCGAGGTCGACTCAGCTTTAAATTAGTACCTGGTGCGGCAGTGTGTAAACAACGTCAGCACTGGGGAGACAAAGGCGAATGGGCATGATGCTGACCACCCACCCACTCGTGTGCCGTGTTCGCCTTCATGGGTGCTCGCTAACAGCTCTTGCCCCAAGAAAATGTTAAGGCTATAGGGATGGGGGGATCTTGTCTTTATGGGCAATCGCACCTATTGACCCTATGTAGAGACTTATATAAACGTATTTACAAACACACGTAGATACACATATATAAGCAAGTATTTACTTACATACACACAACAGAGGCAAAGATCCCACCGATAGCCTTAACGGGCTGTTGGGTCAAGTTACGTTAGCTAGCATCTGTTAAGGTCTGTACACATTGCACCACGGACTCGCTGCTGAGTTGTAAACCTATAAACACGCACCTATACACCTACACAAAGACAAATGTCCCCCATACCCTGGACGAGTGCGCATATTCGTCACCGATGTTGACCGTGAACGGGAATCGAACTTGGCTCTCTTGGGTTCGTAGTGTAGTGCGCTAACCACGACACTATCACTTCTAACACGCATACTTACACACGCAATCTACACGCACATATATCTTCAAACTCATACCTGCACACACCTTGTATGCATACACCTACAACATACACACACGTGCCTACAAACACGTGCACGCCCACCGATGAGGGTTCTGTGGTCAGCACCACACCCTGCCGCCTTTGTCTCCCCTGTGCGGATGTTTACACTTTGCTATATGTACTCTTAGGTTGCTTTCGGTAAAGTCACGTAGGTAAAAATAAAAATAAATAATAAAAATAATAGCAATAATAATCGAAATAATTAATATTTTATTATATTATTGTATTTCTATTACAGTATTTTTATTACTTATTTTTATTTTTACCTACGTGACTTTACCGAAAAAAACTAAGAGTATGAATCATTGCAGTCACGAAAGTTTCAAATCTAGAATTTGCTAGAGGTATTCATTTAAGGCCGAGTCTTAAACCTACAAACACGCGCCTTATACCTACACAGAGACAAGGATCCCCCATATAGCCTGTAACAGTGTTGGGGCAAGTCCTGTTAGCGAGGACCTATGAAGAAGGCCAGCCTGGCATATGAGGGCTTGGGTGGGTGAGTGGCCGGGCCGCCTTTGTCTCCCAAGTGACGATATTTACACCCCGTACCAGGTACTCATTTGAGGCTGAGTCGGCCTAGGAACGGTTCAAATAATCGTCACCGGTGTTGGACCTGAGTGTAATTCGATACGCATATACACATACAACTACAAACACCCACACCTCAAAGACACCTACAAACACAGACCTATAAATAATGCACATACTTACACATAGACACACACACCTATACGTATAGACACCTACACATACCCATCCTCCGTGTAACTTTCAGACTGCAAGGGCATGTCCTGCTAGCAACACATAATAATGCCGGCACGGAACATGGCATGGGTGTTATGGTGAGCACCACACCTGGCCACCTTTCTCTCCCCAGTGGTTATGTTCACACACCACACCAGGCACTCATTCAAGGCTAAGTCGACCTAGGGGTAGTCCAGAACCAGCTCAGATATCACTCGCCACTGGTGTCAGCCGTGTCTGGAAATTGAACTCGGATCACCCGCTTCGTTGCGCATTGCGCGAACCACTGCACCACCACTCCGCCCCCATTCAAAACGCGTAGGTTCACCATAGAGCCTACAGACACAGACGTACAAAGAAAAACATCCCCCGTATAGCCTTGACAGACTTTGGGGCAAGTGCTGTTAGCGAGCACCAATAAAGGCCAGGACAGCCAGCGCCACGCCCAGCCACCTTTGTCTCCCTAGTGGCGATGTTTACACACCGCACCAGGTACTCCATTTGAGGCTGAGTCGACCTCGGAGAGGCCCAGGCCGTGAGCGGGAATCGAACTCTGGTCGCCGGGTTTATAGCGCAGCACGCTAACCCCCCACCCCTCACCACCACATATACCTAAATGTACACACAGACTCACTTACTCAAGTTCAGCCAGCATTGCCGATGTCCTCTCTCTGCTGGGAGGTGTTGTCCCTGGGACAGCATGCAGGTTAATGAGAAGCCGCTGTTGAAATTCAGCAACCACACCTACCCATCACCATCACCCCCATCAGCGTCCCCCATCACCTCCCACTATCACCTCCCTCTCGAAAGCGGTGATGTCATCACGGTGGGTGTGGGGGCAGATGCGCGTGGGTGCAGCGGCACGTGGGAGATCGGTGGGTACACCTGTGGGGGTGACATTGAGTGGGTTTACTCGGTGTCGGCGTCAGCTGGAGGTGATGATGACCATGACTACCATCCTCTACCATCCCCTTTCATTACCTGCCGCATAATCACGCCTAATCGCCACCACATTCATCTTCATAATCACCACGACGCACACTAGTTATGTATTACAAATAATACAACGCTCCCACCACCACCACCATTACCACAGTAATTCTCCACTTTGCTCCGTTGACCCCAATTAAGATGCAATTCCCCATTTTGTGCAGATAATGAGTTGTGAATTTTGGATTAATCCTGTGATCAAGAATTCACCGTCGCTCATTTAAAAATGCCACCTGCCTATTCCCTTTAAAAAATCAAAGAGCATTTTTCTTCAAAGTTCCATCACTAAAGGTTAGTCAAAATGTGAGTGATCTTGGCGATAATTGGAGAATTCTGAAATTGTCGTTTATTTTAAATCTCAAGTTTATCATCAGCATCATCACAAGTGGTAGTAAGAAAACACATCATTACTTTAATTATCAGCATTAGCATAATTTGTAATAGCAGTAACAACAGCGGCATCATCATTGTCTTGAATATCGGCAGCAGAGTATTCACCAATAGTAGCTGGTGATGATAATTATATTACTATTATCTCTTAGATTGTCATTTTAACATGGTGAGACTCGATTGAGGCCATATTTTGTGATCAAAATAATCGTTTCGTTTTCTATTTAAAGGTTGGACAAATAACACTACCTCTTCAAATAAAAATTGACACGTGTATATTTGCATCAAATATTCGTATAACTTCATTTTTTCCCCAAAAAAAAGTAGTATTCTCCTTTTAACATCCACCACTGACATTGGGTGAAGTGACTAATGCATTATTTTTAGATTAGCATCCTCCTTTGGGCATCCTTGGAATGCAATCCATCTTACCTTATAGTTTGTTTAAATTTTAGATGTATTCACTGCAAACTAAATGCATTTATTCAGTGGAATATAAACCACGTACACATTTCTATTCTGTTTGTGAGTAAATTTTTATCAATCCTTGTGATTTTCCAAGTGAATTATAAATGGAGACATGGCATTTAATACAGAAAAAATGTGTGACATAAACACAGAGGTTGATATCTTACATTTCACTATATGAGATTAGATTGAATACATGATCGCTTGTCAATATTCATACAAATATATTTTTGTATGCGTTAACTTAGAATGTTGCTTAGCCTATTTGTCTTCCAGACAAAAACGTTTGCACTGGGGTTTGTTTAATTATGCACATTTTGCACCGGCTTCAGCCTTCTTGGTCCCATAAGTAGAGTCAGAGAGAATGGCATTTGTCTCTTTATAAAATACCCTTGATTCTCATTCGATAATATGTTATCTCTTGTCATTAATGTCCTTTATTGAAGTAAGTAAGCACTTTAGCCAGATGAGAGGCCACTGATGTTCATTATCTTTTCAATGGCATCCTTTATTTAACCAGATGAATCCCCTTTGAGATTAATTGTCTCTTGTTATTTTCATCCTTTTAAGTTTTAAAGGTCTCTATCAATGATGATGTTATAAATTAATTATAACAATACTTTCATTTTATATAGCATAATTCATGCTAATTGCATCCCATAACGCTGTACACTAATTATATATGAGGACCAAATCCCATATACAGCAAATGAAAACCCTACTACCAAGCAAAATAAAAATTTAAATGGCACCAAAACAAAAGGCACAACAACAAAAACGTTATCACAAAAGATAATTTCGTCCATTAGGTCTTCATATCCCAGACCACAATCCTGACTTTTCAACCAAGCCAGGAAACCTTTACAGGAGGGGCGGTGGAGTGCCAAAAAACGATGACTAATTTAGACCAATCAGTTATATGTCCAAAATGTGATGACCTAATTTTCAGCGTATGCCTGGATAAAAAAAAAAATGCCTTTAGTTTGTATTTGAATCATATGATGAATAATATGATTCTGAAATTGATTATGCTGCTTCTGCTGCTGATGATCATATTAATGATGTTGATTAAGAAAATATGCTATCGATGAGGACGAGGCTGCTGTTGATGCTAATAATGATGATGAAGAAAATGTTGATGATGATGATCCTGCTGTTGCTGGTGATGATGGTCATGATGATGAAAATTATTATCCTGCTAATGGTGATGGTGGAAATCATAAAGATGACGATAATTGTGGTCGACTCAAGATTTAATTCTTAAAAATGAAATCGCTTTTTTCCCTCAAGTATCATATTACTGGTGTTGTTGAGTGCGGATTGGCAATGGGGCATTCATAAATTATTAACCGTGTAACACATATTTATTTCTTTTTCGGAACCAATTAGTCAAATGTCATCAAAATGTCAGTTTAACAGCAGGAGCTAAAATGATTATTTTCAGCTTGGGGAGATTAGGAAGGAGACCCCATTGGGCATGTGTGTGGTGTGTGGACACATGAGCAGGAGATGAGTGGCTCGGCAGGTTCATAATGACCATGTCAAAGACAAAGAGCCAGTACCATACAAACGTTAGGTTCGAGTCCTGGGTTTTGGTTTGGTGCATCAATCGGTTCACATTGGCTGAGCTGACACTATTGAGATATTAGCTTTGAGGTTTGAGTATGTCTCTGTCAGGAAGGGGGTGCATAATGACCTTGTTGGAGACGTTGAGCTACTACCATCTCTGATGAGTTTCCTATTGGGGAGGATAATGAATTGATGGCTGTATCATACACTAACTGGCACCATTTAGATCTTGGTCTGAATGTTTCCAGCACAGATACAATCCTGCGTTCGAACCCTGGCTCTGATTGTCTATATATTCAGGTGAAAAATTGCCAACACACTTCTTATTCAGTAATATTGTACATGTGTGTGGAAAGCATTGGAGCACTGGTTTAGGCTCTGCACTATGTTTCTAGGTTTAATTTGCCATCTATTGATATAATCAGTGCCATGTAGTATCTGAAGCTTTTCTGGGCCTCACCTCGGTCGACTCAACCCTAAATTTAGCTATTGCGGTGTATAAATATCAGTTCTGGAAAGATAAGGGCCACTCGACATGGTTCTGGCCCCACCACCCCCTTGTATGTTGTACTGGCCTTAATGGATGCTTGCTAACAATCTATATTGCTTAACATTTGATATTTTTGCATGTAGTATATATTGGTATATGTATGAATGTGTGTGTGTGTTACGGGAAGTCCTCAACGCGTTTTCACTGTAAAATACTTGTTTTATTTGGGGAAAAAATTAGCACAACGCGAAACGCACACAGTTATAACGTAGTTTTTGGACGGTCGACGACGAACTACTTTCTTGAGCTGTATGGGTGAGCGGTACGGGAATTCTGGGTATACGCGTGGAATGATAGAGTACGCGGTGACATACCCTCATCTCAGTTCTTTGTCCCGCTATAGCAGCAGACTGATTTTATAGTGCAAAAGTGATTCAAATTTGCATTCTTTTGATTCAATTAGTTATTCTCGGGTAATGTATACACAAGTAAGTTCGAGCTTAATATGTTTTCGATTAAGGTGTCACTTCTCAGGAATGCATCTGCTGTGTTAAACAAGCATTTACTGTATACGTGTGATGTGTGTGTGTATATATATCGCATGGGCAAATGTGTGGCCAAACTTCCTGACCCAACCAGCCACAAATCACTATCCTCATGTGGCCAAGAGCCACAAGAGACACGCAACTTTAAAACATGCATTCCCTGTGCGATGAGTGGGTCTTGTCGGATGGTCACGTGTCTTTGCATCTATAGTTCAACATGTATTCAACACGCACAGTCTTCGTTAATTGTGGGTAACACAATTCATAGGCAAGGATCTGTTTCAATATTGAATAATAAAAATACATTTTGGTCCATCGGCCTATCGGTGTTATGAACCAGTGTTTTTTCGCAACCTTTGTTTAAGCGGACAAGCTGAACGGGTTTAAAATGTATGAGTCTCATCAGCAGGTTGTGAACCGTGTTCACTCACTTTTAGCCACTCGCATGAGTTTGTTGTTATGAAGGTTTTTCCGTACATGTGCAAGTTTGGTTGGATAAGTTACTGTTTTATAATGCGTCAGCTATGTGGCCTGTTGAGCCTATGGTTCTGGGTTACCTGAGTACAGAAACATCGAATAAAAATAGAACCTTCCCATGAGATGTTATGGCTTAAGTCCTCCCAGAGACTCTAATCACTTACCCTGTGCCACACACACTCAGCGCCCCAGGTACGGTGGGGGGTAAAGGATTTACGTCATAGACACAAACGTACACATGGGCAATGACGCCGACACACCTTCCAGAATCCTCGAGCAGGATCTCGACCCGGACCACGCAGACTTAACCGGTCACGTGTCCTCTCGGGTCAACCAGAGTGCCATGGCCTTTAGTAACCCCTGGCACACCCACACCCTGTCCTGTAGGGCTGGCACTGCACGCCAAGCGTGGTACCACCAAGCGCTATCAACCAGCGCTCACCGAGCCCCTCTCGGGCTGGTACTACACCCACACCACGTGGTGTCCGCGATGTCGTTACACCGCTCACCGAATCCCTCTCGGGCTGGTACTACACCCACACCACGTGGTGTCCGCGATGTCGTTACACCGCTCACCGAGCCCCTCTAGGGCTGGTACTACACCCACACCACGTGGTGTCCGCGATGTCGTTACATCGCTCACCGAGCCCCTCTAGGGCTGGTACTACACCCACACCACGTGGTGTCCGCGATGTCGTTACACCGCTCACCGAGCCCCTCTAGGGCTGGTACTACACCCACACCACGTGGTGTCCGCGATGTCGTTACACCGCTCACCGAGCCCCTCTAGGGCTGGTACTACACCCACACCACGTGGTGTCCGCGATGTCGTTACACCGCTCACCGAGCCCCTCTAGGGCTGGTACTACACCCACACCACGTGGTGTCCGCGATGTCGTTACACCGCACGCCGTGCCTCTCTAGGGCCGGCACAGCACAGTGACATCCTGCGATGTCACTACATATGTTTTTGTGCATATATGTATTTCTACATGGTATGTTTATACAGGATAACGCCTCTTATTCGCGGTCCTATTATCCACAACTCCTATTATCTGCGGCAGCTTCAGGGTACGCATAATCTCCAATGATCCACGGGCACTTTTTTTTCCTATGACCCGAGATTATTCAGTTTTTTCACAAATGTGTTTGTGGAACTCCATCCTATTATCTGCAATTGTTTCGTGCATAATAGGAATCATGTAAAAATACATCCGATTATCTGTCGAGTTATCTCCGTGACTACTTTTTTTTAGAGGAGTAAAATTGCAGATAACACCGCGGACAATGGGATCCTCGATATTGGCCCCGCATATTTCCACGGATAAGGGTACCGGTAGTTCCGTGTTACGTATACATGTCTTTGCCTAACCGATTTACGTGCACAGCTCCTTTGTTTACCACTGCTCGATGAGGTCCTTCCTATACTGTGCAGGTCGCACCAAACTTCACCACGCTGGTCAGTGGTTAGGTGGGGGGAGCACAGGTGCAGGAGTGTAGTGTTGTAAAGGACGGACTTCTAAACTTCTTTATGGCACACACTGTTTATTGTCTTAATACACAGTCCCTATCACACTAAGGGGTATACGGTCCCCTCACCCGTTACCTTCAGAAGGTACAAGCCTCCGGACCTTGCAGGCTATCTAATCTCCCTGCTATCCCAGCGTCCTCTGGCTGGACCTAGGGGATCTCTCCCCGACCACTGGTGACACTGAGCCCGAGCCCTGATAAGGGCTGGAGGGCTTGGTCCAGGGTCCTAGATGTCTTCGGTCGACTTGGGTCTTCGTGTAGCAGAACTGGCCAAGAGCTCTCAGCGCTCTGGCGTTTATACCTGTTCGTGGCCGGGTTGTCCAATCCCCGGCCACCTTGTGGAACCCTCCGATTGGTCCTTCCCAATCTGGCGTTTGGATCCTACCTCACCCCATTTGACCCTGACCGTTTGAGCGAGAAAACCTTGTTTACGATCCGCTCGCGAACAGCGAGTAGTTATCACCACTACAGGAGCATAGAAGTACAGTAAAACAATTGATAATTGCTGCACTGCCTTATACTGCCCACAGCATAGCTCTGCAGCCTTTAACACCTGGTTATGCATCGTTGCCATCTAGATGAGCTTCGCTTCCCGAGATCTGACAAGATCACCTGCATTCCAGATGATTTGGTCATAGGCTGCATCTATATATACATTATAGTTATACGTACAGTGCATAGTATGCGTGTGTGTGTTTGTATTTACGCGTAATGAAATGTAGGAGACCGGTCAGGACTTGTCATACAAGCGCTTCCCTCTGTAATTGAAATTCTAAGAGGCCAGGTGTGTGGGAACGTGTCACTGCCGGGCTGTGTAAAGAATGTGCACACACGAGGGGGGGGGGGGGTGTGCGCGTCTCTGCACGTGTGGGAATCTCATTGTACGCGTGGTTTCTTGTCTTTGTGTGTGGATGTTTTTGTTTTAGTAGTACCAGTATATATACAAGGACTGTTTTCTTGGAACTTCTCTTACTTGATACAGCTATCGTGCTGTGACGTTTCCACCTGAAGACGGAGGCTTGTGTTGCCTCCGAAACGTCGTGATTTTTATTTTATTTTTATTTTATTAATTTCAATTGTTTACCTACGTGACTTTACCGAAAAACCCTAAGAATATGAATCCTTGCAGTCACGAAAGCTTCAAATCTAGAATTAGTACCTGTTTGCGTTTTTTTAATGTGTGGCATACAGACTGTTAGGGGCAATTGCTGCAAGCGAGAATCTATGAAGGCCAGTATTGTACACAAGGGGGTGTGCAGTGACCAGAACCACAACCAGTTGCTTTTCTCACCCGAGTGCTGATATAAAAAAATCACACATGATTCTGATTTACTGCTGCATCAACCTAGGGGAGGCCCAGGACTCATTCATTATATAACCACTGTTCGCCGTGGCTAGGAATCGAACTCGGGATACCAGTTTGCTAACCACTAAACCACTGCTCTGTCATACACAACAACAGCCATCATTCGCCACTAAGTGGCCGGTAACATCTCCACAGAGCTTGTGCCAGGCTAGGAGCACTCACACACAAAAGACAAAGGCAGATGAAGATCCTCCACACAGAGACTCAAAGACAAACACAACAGAGAGACACAGAAACAAGGGCACAAGTACAAATAATTTGTGTCGCACACACCAACAGAGGCCCTCCCACGTGCACACAGCGCACACGCCCGCACACAAACGGACACAGAACCCTCCCCTCCCCCACAAACATCCCTTATCAAGTTCACTACAAGACTTCCTGTTTCTTTTCAGCAAACAGCATCTGTCACCGCAGTATTGCAATCGTCAACGTCAACAACAAAAAGTGACTAATTTAAGCGATAGCGAGGCATTTTACCAAGAAAATTATACTCATCTGATCGTGGCTTTTACAAAAAACAACGTATTTCTGGCAAGAGCCCCCTGATGAACCGATGTCTGGGTTAGATGCCAGCCCATGTGTAACAGTATACTAGTGATAACGGTGACAATCACAAGTCAAAGCGACTACCCTGCTCAAACGAGCGTGGGGTGCAATTCGTCTTCATTGGCAGCCCTGAGTGGGTGATGGAAATGCCACGTTCATAAGGCAGGAGCCGGTCTAACCATATAGCACCAGAGGACAACCATCGTTGTTGACTGCAACACAAAGTGTAACAATTTACTTCATATACCACGGAGGGATGATGCTCATTTTCATCATAATGATATGATGATGATTATAATGCTGGTGATGCAGCTACTACTGTTGCTGCTGTTGATTGATCCGACCTTAATGTTACGTCTCCTGGCATATGCATCAATGCACTGCTGATTGAAGGCCTTCCCTTGCCCCATACATCAACGTTTTCGTCGGTGTGGCTTGAGGAAGGTTACTTAACGAATAGCGAATAATCACCATCGTCTGCGTATTTAGGTAGGTGGTGTTACGTGAATTCCATGTTCGGGGCTGAGATTGTCTTGGTTTGCGTGGGTGGATTGGAGCAGTGAGCTTGTTAATTTATTTTGAAATTAAAGCTGAAATGCAAACCCCCAAAAATAAGGAAGTGTATTGCTGTATTATCACATTTGTGTGGTGTGTTTGTGGGCACGTGTTTATGTATAATGTGTGTATGTCTGTGTATCTGTAGTTTATTGTTTTGGCATGGTGGGGTGCGGTAGCATAGTGGTTAGCGCACTGTGCTACATTTTTCCTTTAATTAGGTTTTAGTAAAAACAAATAGCAGGTTATTTAGAATAAGCTGTCTCCCCTGCCATATGAGAGCCACGATAACCGTATCGTTCGTTTTGCATGATATTGTTTGTTGTTGTGCTGTGATTAAACACTGTAATGTAAAACTATAAACTTTTTTATTTTAGCAGTTAAGGCCCACTGAGCTATATAGCTCTTTTTCCACACCAACCTGGTCACGAATGATAGCTCCTTGAAGTGGCGTATATGGTAAATTTATAGCAGCCAAATACTCTAAATAATCGAGATGCATGTTGAGGGAAAACCAGAGGACCCAGAGAAAAATCCACGCCTAGCATGGGGAGAACATGCAAAATCCAAATATACAGTAGGCGTCAGAGGTCGGAATCGAACCCACAACCTCTTGTATACCAGGCGAGGTAGTTAATATCTCGCCACCGAGCCCTCGGAGTATAAGATGGCACTCGGGGGGGTGGGGGGGTGGGGGGGTTGGGGGGGCTCTCAAGTTGAAGTTAAATGTTGCGCAACGTTCCCACATCTTACTGTTGCGCTCTTTAAAATGTTGAGTAACATCCTATGTCGAACACTAACTACAGTTCTCGTTGCTTTTTTTTTACAACACAGCTTACATTTTTTTACGGGGGTGTTTAACAAGATCACTGCCTAGGAAGTTTCGGTGCAGTAAAATAGAGGCCCCAGAGGTGTGATCCCGTCCTACCTGCCTGTACCTGGGTGACCCCGGCAGGGGATCATGGCGAAGAAAAGCAGTTTACCGTCCGCATATAAAAGAAAACGTCCTTAACCGTCAGGGCAGTAAATATACGTGCAAATGGTAAAAATACTAGAAAATAACTCGCGTGTATGTATTTTATTAATATTTTTTTCAGTGTTATTTTCTTGCCATCGCATATATACAAATTCAGCTTCCTGTGAATGATCGTGTAACCGCCTATGTCCAGCCAATTGATTGCAATCAACACAATACATTTCGAAGGAAGCTTCAACAAATGTTGCAGGGCCATGTGCAACTTTATATACCCATTGTTGTAGCCTATACTAAACGAAGCAACGTTATTGCGGGAAAATCGCACTGTTTAACTTTGACATACTGACTGGCCAAATGTGGCGGTTTAACATTCACCCCTTGTAGTGAGGGGTGTAAATGTGACTATGCCTTTCGAAAACAGAAAACAAAAGACTTTGCACGGGTGGTGTATCCTACACTCCTTTTTAGCGGATAATACTGCTTTGTGGAATGCCAGGTAGTGTTTTTTTTATCACACTCTACCATGTCAATGTTAAATTTGTGTTTACGTCATAACCATCACACTCTTCCAAAAAGTGAACAAATCGTTACATTATCAAAAGTCTGATTTCATATTTTGATTCAGCACCCATTGGAACTTCCAGATGGAAACGTTTGAGTGACTTTGCATTCCATTGGAAACAAACCCCTTCCTAAGATTGTATCTGGGTGTGCCACTGGTTCTGAGCCTCAAGTCTCTCCTCTTCCCCAGAGAATAGTGAAGTTGGAGAAGACACCACATATGATGCTGCTGTATCCTATACATGTTTTAGTGACTGATTTAGCGAGGTCGTCAGTAGCAACATCTCCCATATGTTCCCTGAATATGTCTGCCAGCCTTCCGTGTGTTCCAATAATGTGTGTGCGTACATGCGTCCGAGTGTGCATATGTTTGTGCATGTGTACAGGTTCGGTACACACTGTGGAGTGGTGGCCTAGTGATTAGTGCACTGCACTACAAAGCATGCCCCGTGAGTTCGATTCTTGACCATGGCTAACTTCAGTGGCAAATGATATCTGAACTAATGCTGGGCCTCCCCTAGGTCCACTTGGCCTAAATGAGTATTTGGTGCGATGTTTTAGTTAGCTGCACTGCAGAGACAAAAGTGGACAGTCTTATTGACTCGCCTGGCAAAGTGTGGTCAAACAACCCCCATCATTGAGTTGGGGAGTCCTTTATCCAGCAGTGGATTGATAAGGGATGACAATATAAATTAGAATATATGCATTGTTGTTTTAACATATATTTGTTTGTATACATACGTTCATAAGTACAATATGTACTGGTAATGGCCTTTTTATATTCTTGGTTCTTTCGGTAAAGTCACGTAGAAGGGAAATGATCAAATACAAAAAAATTTGACATAAAATTCTCACGACGTTTCGGCCACAACGCAAGCAGCCGTCCTCAGGTGAAGAACAGAGCTGTCGGAAAGACAGCGTCGTAATGAATTATATTATCATTTCCTTTCTACGTGACTTTACCGAAAGAACCAAGAATATGAATCCCTGCAGTCAGGAAAGCTTTCAATCGTACTGGGCTTTGTCCACTGTCTATCAGATTTAGCATCGAGCTCTATGGGAAGCAAATGACTTGGTTCACCAATGATAGGGGTTGTATTTTTGTGTTTAGCAGAACTTAAAGCAATGAAGAAGATCAAACTGACCCCGCCTTATGAGTGAAACTGTCAGCCTCGGGAGTTCTAATGTTTGGGGGCCCAATTAAATAAAATGTGTTTTGGGATTTTTCTAGTAATGTTCTGACTCGACTACACATTTGTGGCAAATTTAAGCTTGATAAATCTGTGTTTAGTGGGTGTATGTGGTGTTGCGCGTGTATACAGTTCGTAATATTGACCAACGACTCGGTTCTTCTGTAACAATGATGGGACATTGGATAAAGCAGGGACAAGGTCATTAACAGGGCAGTTGATTACGGGAAGTGAGTTTCATCATCAGCTGTAACAGTTGCAGCAGGATATATTCATTACTATCAGCAGCAACAGCGGTGTCATCATCAGCAACGACAGCACATTAATTTTCATCAGCAGCATATACTATTTATATTCGTCACCGTGTTCAATAGCATCATCAGCAGCGGCATATTTATATTCACCGTTATTATTCTGAGCAACATTGCCATCAACACCAGCAACATATACATCTGTTACCATTATCACTTGCAGCAGCAACAACATCATCGGCAGCATCTTCATTATCATTCACAGGGTGATCCCGATCATATATTATGTACATACAGTAGTATGTAAAATGAGCACCATACATTGCATCGAATTCCACATTGGTTGTGTTTTAATTCCTAAAGCTTGCAAACGCTGCCATTGAAAAGCTAAAGCACTTAGACATACATTTATAACACGTGTTGCTGTTCTAAACATCGGTTGCTTATCTCTGCAACACTCCATACGTACGAAGAGGAATATGTAAAGAACATACTTGACTCATATTAATGTGGTATTTCCTGTGTCTCTCTTACACTAGGGTGTGTGTGTCACGCTGGTTTCCTTGGCATTGCGAACCCAATGAACAGAAGTCGATAACAACAGTGGCTATAATGTAAACCTGCGCTGTGCTTCCCCTAGGTCGATTCAGCCTTAAATGGGTATGTACCTGGTGCAGAGTGTGAATAGTACTGGGAATGCAGGAGTAGCTAGGCAACCGTGCCATCATTAATAGGCTGCCAGTCTACAAGGATAAATGGGCATCTTTGTTTATGAACACGGATTAGGCCAATACTGCCCCCTGGTGAATACTCACGGGATGACCCTAGAAATGTTTGGGTTGGTGTCAATATTAATGTTAGCTCGGACCAGTATTAGTTAGGGTTAGAGTTTTCTCAGTGATTGTGCGTGTAATGGCTTGTGGTTCATTTTAAGGCCAGTGTGTTCGAATAATTTTCTATGTTACGGATTAGTGTTACGGTCCGTGTCTGGGTCTAGCTTTGCTTTGCTGTGATAAGGTTAGCGCTCATGTTTTAATGTTAGGGTTAGAGTCAGAGTTAGTGTTTGGGTTTGGTTTAACATAAGAGCTGCTGTTAGATTCATGGTGATGGTTAGGGTCAATGCTATCTCTAGCTTTAGGGTGATTGTAGTATTACTATACTAACAGTACATCATCAGTAAACAAAAATCCATCTCTTCACGCAAACTAACTCAGTCCACCAGCCTATTGGCCTTCCAGACATCATATAAATAAATACTCTAAAGTTCAGCTGCTTATTTTATGAAAATAATGCACACGAAGTTGGTAAAACAATTGTATTTTTCATAAGGGTCATATCACTGCAGTGTTTCTATTGCTTACACTGATATTACACTTACTATTCAAACACTAATACCAACGCTGCTAATATTTCCAAGACACGACGGCCTTGCCCTTGACTTTCCATCCTCAACGACTCAAGATCAGCTTTAAGGAATAAGTTTCAGTATTTATAGTATTACTGTCAATACTAGTAGGGTCAGCGTTCGTATTAGGGTTAGTATTAGATTCATGTAGGGTCAGGGGTCAAGGGTCAGTGTCACACGTGTTTGACCATGTGTCTGTGTGTGAAGTCCACGGGGGGGATTCCGGCGACCGCGAGGAGGCGGTTGATGGGCGTGTGATCCAGCACAGCCTCGTCGCGGTGGGAGAAGAGCACGCGGCCTCCTGCAACCCGGCACAGCGTTCAGCATCTTCGTCATGTTCTTGGTTATTTCGGTAAAATCACGTAGAAGGAAAATAATAAAAATAAAAATAATAAAATAATTCTCACGACGTTTCGGCCACAACGCAAGCAGCCGTCTTCGGGTGGAGAACAGGTCTGTCGAGAAGGCTGCTTGCGTTGTGGCCGAAACGTCGTGAGAATTGTATTTTATTATGTTTTATTTTTATTATTTTATTAGTTTCCTTCTACGTGACTTTACCGAAAGAACCAAGAAGATGAATCCCTGCAGTCACGAAAGCTTTAAATCGAAAAATCTTTGTCATGGTCATCATGGGCATCAGCAGCAGTAGGAGCAATATAATCATCTTCATGAGCAGTAGCAGAAACAGGAGCAACTATCTAAGGTTCGGGTTAATGTTTTGTTTCGTTTTTAGATGAGAGTTGGGTTTATTTTTGGGGTTAATGTGAGGGTTAGTAATAGGGTTAGGGTTAATATTATGGCCTTGTTTGGTTTTAAAAAATTAACCCGTAAAAACTAAGTTTTTCACTATAAATCCTTTATATGCGTGGCGGCTAGAGTCCTCTCGTCCTCTGGCTTGAGATGGCTGCCACCTATGGGTCAGATGATTGCTTGCCACCATTAAGCAATTGGTAATTACATATAAAAAAAATTCCTAAAAAGTGTAAAATTTTTGAAAAAAATTTTCACGAAAATTAATTGTCACGCACAACAATTCTGTGTGCAAAATGTCAGCTCGATTGGATCACGGGAAGTGGGTAAAAAAACGACCGAAAGATTTGCACGGTCGTAAGCGCGCAAGCAAGCAAGCAAGTGAACTTAATATAAAGGATTTAAAAATAGGGTCTAGGGATAATGGTATGATTCGGGGAAAGGTTTAATGTTAGGGTTTTGGATGGATTTAATATTTGTGTTAGTGTTAGGGCTAATGTTGTAGTTAAAGTATCTGGGTTTAGGGTTATTGAGAAGAGTTAAACTGAAATGAAATGGAGCTAATTTCCTGCGTGTGAATTTGTTGCAATCCTCAAATGTTGCACAGCGTCCCATGTAATACACTGTTAATGGTTTGTTTGTTTTTATATTGATCCATTGCGGTCAATCACAACCATTGTCTTTAATTATGAACACAGCTACAGGAAAGAACACCTGAGGCTTAACCTCTTTCCACCCTTCTCATCTGGAAGCCTAACCCAAAGGTGCCTGCACACGTAGGGCAGGGGAGCTAGGTAAGGAAAGGCACCTGCTCGGTCTATGAATTTAAACAAACACTGTATATGCTTTTTATGAACTACTGTAATACAGAAGAAAAAATGATGAGTTAAATTAATTACTTTCACTGACAAATAATATATATAAATGAACGAAGAATCTCTATACTGTCATGGCCAATTAACCCACATCCAGCCAATCGCAGTGCTGCTACTGCTGCGTGTGCAATCGCAAAAGAATGAAATTATTGAGAAAAATTTATAGTCACTCTGAGTTCATACTCTTTGGTTCTTTCGGTAAAGTCACGTAGGTAGAAAAAATAATATATCACGACGTTTTAATGGATTCATGCAGTCACGAAAGCTTCAAATCAAGATTCACTCTGAGTTGTAGAACATTCCATTGAGCAAGGCAGTTGAGAACACTGCAACCATTTTTTTAAAATTGCATTTGACACCAGTTGTAGTGTGAGTTAGGGTCATTGTTATATAGTTGGGGGTCAAGGTTATGGTTAGTATTGGAGTTTGTGTTACAATTAGGGTGACGGTTCTTCTGACCTGGCCCGAGCACTAAGGCACCTCCCTGTTGTTTCGGGTCCCCCTGGAAATCAAAACTTTCGCTCCACATGGCTCTCCACAGACCTCGAGCCACCCCCCACCACAGCCCGCAGTGGACATGGGGACTTTTATCTGTGTGGAGAAATGGGAAGGAGAAGGGAAACATGGATTAAAGAATGATAACATGGGGCGAGGGGAGGGGGAATATAACAGGGAGGAGAAGGAAGACGTGAGGATTGTGGAGACTTGGGAAAGCAAACAAAAAATAGACACATGGAGGAGAAGGGAGCCATAGGGGGAGATAAAGGAAAGAAACAGAGGGAGAAGGGGGAGATATGGAGAGAAGGGAGACACGGAGAAGATAAGGGAAACAGGGAGAAGATAAGGGAGACAGGGAAGAGAAGGGAGGTGTGGGAAAGGAGGGAATATATGACAGTGAAAGACATATAGAGGAGAATGGAGATTTGGGGTGTGTTATTGGAAGAATATGTGGATGATAATAGAGACCTCAGGGGTTGAAAATAGTGACAAGAAAATGAAGGAAGAAACGAAGGGAACAAAGGAAACACATGGGGAGAAGAGAGAACGCGGAGGTGTAGGAAGACACTTACAGATCTTGTCAGCATCCTCTCCCATCTTGAGTTCAAGTGCCTTGTAAATGTCTCGATCTGGGTCCACAAATAGCTCGTACCTGTAACCCGTGAGTTCACGGAATCGCTGCTCCATATGAAACACGAAATATCACGCGAGACAAATCTGAGACATGGTCTGGGACAAGAGGTTATCCAATTCCATTGATGCCCCTACACCTCGCCATTGCGTCCCCTCCTTCTGCCAGATCCCACAGCTGTTGCAAAGTCACCTGAACTCGATGGTCTGTGCTTCAGGTCGTCCCCTTGTTACAACATGGGTCGACACGTCCTTTAAGGTACGCATTTATGGTCTCATTGCCACCAGCCTCTGATTTTAGATCTTCCCCTTGGTCGGCAGCCTATGGGTGTCATTCTAATACCATCTCAGTAACCTCCACTCTCTATCCTACACACACGTCTAACTGATCACAACCTTCTATCCCGCATTACATCCTCAACATTTACCTGAGATCTCTATCCAAATAAGATGGGATGATATTTTTCCTAATTACATCTACAACACTTCCCTAGGTTCTGTGTAATATGAGATTGGACGAGAGGTGCATGTTGGATGAGGCGAGGGTTATATATCGGATTTGTATTTTTTTTTTACCTTAATATGACGTGGCATAGATTGACCAATAACCACCAACCGTACGTTTGCCTCCTACAAAAAAAAACCACGCACATGCACACACGTAAATACACACAGAAATACTGTACACAAATGTACACAAACATGTGTGCATATAAATGATAAAGGTGTATGCGAAGGAATATGGGTGTTTCACCATGAGTGTGCCCGATCACTTCGGAATTCGACACCTAAGCAGGTGTGAGCCTGGCTGGTAACTATATAGGAGACTGTCGAGGAATAGCAGATGTTAAGGCTCGGGTTGTGACGTGGCCAGGAGATGGTATCACAGGAATGGATGTTTGAATCCGTCTATCTGTACCTTTGAGTGCTCTGCCCGTGTATGCTTCGGTTTTGTATGTATGAATGTTGAACTTCTTTCGCGCCGTACGTAGCCAACCACGCTAATCGAGGTGTGTGGGAAGGACAAGAAGCTAAACACAAAAAGGAGTTCTAAAGAAATTAGTTTTCAATCTAGATGAATTTAAAAGTACAAAGCTCCAGTGGCTTCCTAATATCGAAAGGAAGAATGTTCCAGACGGCCGCAGAAGCGCATCTTGAAAGCGCGGCGATGCGGTGACCGTCTTCTCTAGACACTCTGATTTCCTCCCTTCGGCCAAAATGCTCATTAACACTTCGACTGTCACACGACCCCCCAGTGACCGTAGTAGTTGTTGTTGTTGTTATTTGTTGCCCTAGACATTGCTTTTTGGTCGCTGGGGGAGGAGTAAGGGAATAGATGACTAAAGCTCTGGGTAATTATCGTGTTGATTGATTTGGCAAAAAAAATCTCGATGCAAGACTCTCGTGAAAAAGATGCCTTGGATAAATAAAGGGCATTATTATGTATTTAGACACAAACAGTACATGCATGCATGTATATTTGTACATAGGTCCGTCCCTTGAACTCCTGTCAGCGAACATTCAACATTTCATTTGGCCTCAAAGTGCACCTGGCCTGGCACAGTCGCCATGGTGACGTGACCGTCACTTAGTGGCGAATGGCGAGTATTGGTAAGTGTTTGTATTTATGTGTGTTCCTGTAGGTATGTGTCTTTGTGTATGGTGTGGACCGGTGATGTAGTGGTTCGTGCACTGCACTATGAAACTCGCCCCCCTGGGTACAAAACCCAGTTAGAGTTAACATCAGTGACAAATACCATCTGAATCTGACCTGGGTTTCCTCTGGGTCAAATCCAGCATGATACAATAACCCAGTATGTTTGTTATTTGCTGCGCTATGGAGACAGTCAGCGAGTGCTGCCTACACAATTCCATAACGCCGGTATTAAGGTATCAAATTGAACTCAATTATTACATTCGCAAAACACGAATCAAATAATTGATCGTAAGAATGGATTATTTTCAATTTTATTACGGTGTATACAATGGGCGCATGTTATTTATGTATTTGTTGTTGTTATGATCACACTTGTTTACCCAGGTAAGCCTCACTGAGTCTCGTGACTCTTGTTCAGGAAGATCCCTGTCAACTTATCACAACCGGGGGGGCGCGGTGGTTGCTGTGTATCATCCCCATTGAGTAATTTGGGTGTAAGTTTTAAAATGTGGACGATGACGCCTTCACACAAATACACTGCGAAAGTAGACGGCGCCTATTTTTGCGGTTAATACACCCTAAACACATTTTTCTTTTACAACGTAAGGCTCACTGAGCTATATTGCTATTTTTCAGAAGCGACCTGGTCACAAGTGATAGATTAACGAACTGACTTATCACGTGCAAATTTATAGCAGCCAAACACTCTAAACGCGTGTTTATTCTAAATATGTAGGGAAAAACCAGAGGACCCGAAGAAAAATCTACTCAACCCAGGGGAGAACATGCAAACTCCACGACCGTCTGCATACCAGGCGAGGTAGTTAACATCTCGCCACCCGCTATATTAATTTTAAAAAAGTCCACTGGATTCGAACCGTGAAGCTCCAGCAACAAGCGGCTACCACGAGACCGCGAGACCACGAGACCGCCCATAATGACCCCTGCATCCACTGGAGGTGCTACATGCACCACAGCGGCAAAGCTAATTGATTCATTGAATCTCATCATCAACCCAAATTGTGACAATCGAATCGTAAAGAAAGTGAATTGTTGCATGTGTACTAATAACACTTGCCCCAACTGACTGTAAGGATACATAAGTGATCGTTATCGTTGTGTATGTATGTGTGCGTGTGTTTTGACAGTGTATCACCTCGAGAAGATTTTCTGGAATTCGACTGAGATCTTGAACATATTCCTGACATGCGTAGCACAAGAAGTGCTGTACACACACACATACATGCACACATGAATCAATATACACTCACACGTACACACAACAACACCTGTCATTGACGTCGCCACGGCACTTGTGCCAGGCCAGATGCACTTTGAGGCCACGTACACACAGGCACATTCACACATCCATACAAGAATAAAATTGACTTGACTCCATACGCATACGTACAAACATTCTCACACACTGTGCATTAATACAACGAACCCACCTCCTTGCATGGTGCCTTAACCTATTTTCATTGACCCAGTTCTTTTCTGACCTCTTTACTATTACACCAGAAACCCCGTTGACCTAGCCAGAAACTCACTTCTTATCCTTGCAATGCTGACCTATTTCCCCACTTGGATACACTGACTACTTGACCCAGTTGTTGACTCATTGAACCACTGAACCAGCTATTATCGACATACTGGCCGCTTGACCCAATGACACTCCTTCTTGGCTCAGTTGCTGCCTTACCAAACTTCCCACTGATAGTCTGACCCCTTGAATATAAGCTCTTGCCCCACTTATATATTGATCCACCGACTTACCTCTCCATCTAGATATTTACTCTTTACCCCGCTGAACTATTCACTCACCGACCACCTGGCCCCATTCGCTGACCGATTGACCCACTGACCCGCACGAGGATGACGATTGTCGTGCCGTGCTGCGGGAAGAGGCTGCTGAAGGTGACGCCCAGGCCCTGGGAGTCGTACACGTAGCACTGCATAACCTCCTCCACCTCCAGGGGATTCTCCGGGGTGCAGGGATACAGAGGGGAAGGTTTCGCCTCGCGCTCCATCTCCTGGCAGCGAGGTGGACTTGGCGGCCCCATGTCTCCAAGTTCTGCGCGTCGCTGTCTTTCTGCCTCTGCTTTTAAGCCCCTGTGTGCCTCTGCGTTCTTACTTGGGGTCTAACTGGGTGTGTTGCCTTCCTCCGAGGCCGCAATGTGTTTCTCTGTCTTCCTGTCTCTATGTTGTGTATCTATATGTGTATGTGTGCCTCAGTGTCTTTACTGGAGTCTAACTGTGCGTGTGTCTGTCTTTCCACGTCTTTTCTGCGTGTCTGTCTCCCTGTGTATTTGTGTGTCTCTGTCTGCATGTGTAGTTGTCTTCCTGTGGCTTTCTCCCTAAGTCTGTGTGTCTGTGTTGTTACTTCGGTCTGTTTGTGTGTATCCTGAATCTCTGTGTGCCTCCCAGTGTCTGTATGCCTCTGTGTTTCTGTGTATGTATGTGTAACCTAACGTTTATCACTTTGTGTCTCTTTCTGCTCACGTGTCCTTGTTTCCTTGTCTCTGCGTCTGCCTGTTCCCTTTCCTCGCCTTCTTGTGTGCCTCCGAGTCTCACCCTATCGCCTCCCTGTGTCTCCCTATTGCTCTGTGTCTCCTTGTCTCACTACTTTCCCCCGTGTCTCTCCGTGTCTCCCCGTGTCTCTTCCGTGTCCCTCTCCGTGTCCCGGTCTCTCTGTGAGCTGCTGGTTGGCGTGGTGTGTGTATTTTAAGGTCGCCAAACAGGGTCGGTATCTAAGTAACCTGACACTGACTTGAGGTTACACAATACACGCATATATACTTTTTCCCTTTCGGTCACGGTTCACTCAAGCATAAACTACAGCTCATGTATATAATACATACCGGGGCTGTCCAGTTAGGGTTTTAGGGTTTTACAATGCATATGACCGTTTGCGTGTGAGTATGTAGGTGTATGTGTATAGGTGTGTGCATTTTTAGGTATATATGAGAATGTAGTTGTAGGTATATTGTATGTATGTTTGTAAGTGTTTGTGTGTATAGGTGCGAGTTTGAAGTGGTCAGCGCACTGCGCTACAAACCCGACCACCTGAGTTCGATACCCGCTTACGGCCAATATTGGTGACATCTGAACCGGTTCTGGGCCTCCCCTAGGTCACCTCAGCCATAAATTAGTACCTAGTGCAGTGTGTTAACGTCAGCATTGGGGAGACAAAGACGGCCAGCCGTGGTGTTCGCCACCCACCCCCTCTTGTGCTATACAGGGGATCTTTGTCTTTATTTTGTGTAGGTATATGTGTGAAGTGATGGCCTAGTGGTTAGTGCACGGTGCTGTTGGCTTGGCGACCTGCGTTCAATTCCCGCCAACAGATAACAGCAGTGGTGAGTGATATCTTAACCAGTTCTGGGTTTCCATTCAGCAGTCCGCACTGACCAGCGTGGTGAAGTATAGTCAAATAATTCCATGACCGACATGACGTGTGTAGACCGGTGTAGTGGCAACAAGGCTGTAGATTATGAATGACATACATATACACAGGGCAAGTAACAATGCATCTATTGAAATTGATTCTTATGCTCATGATACGTGCATTAAATCTTGCATAGAAGAATTCTTTTTTATTCGTGTATGGGGACGTCCATAGGTGACGTCACGAAATTTTGGACCATTTTTGACCCCCCCCCCCCCCCTTCGTCACGGCATCACAAAAAGTCAGACCCCCCCCTCAAATATGACGTCACAAAGCTATGCCTCCCCCCAAATAGAACATGCTTCAAATCGCTATAAACTATTGTCATTGTAGTGCGTATTTAATGTGGCGCTGTACTCTGATGTTACAGGAGAAAACATTTATTAAATAGTCTATTATTAAGTAGAACGTGTTGTCTATATTTATTTAAAGTTGCGCATTTTGATGTGACGTCACATTTCCCCCCTCGTGGCATCGTCACAAATGTCTGACCCCCCCAGGTGCATGACGTCATTTGTGGACGGCCCCTATGCTGGGCAGTTTTATAATTGACCAAGTCACCTTGAGTGTCCCAATATCGTTATATCTCAGTGGCTAAGCAGGGGTGGTCCTGGTTAGTACTGGGAACGGGAGACTGCCTGGAAATTATTGATGTTGCAGAATTGGGCTCCTAGATATCTGGTAGATGGCAGTACAGCAATACATTCCTTAATTCCTTAATCCATGTAGAGCGCTGAGTGTGGTCACCCTTCTTTTGGGCCTCAACACTTGGGCAGCATCTGCTCCAATTCACGTCGCTGTGAACGATGGTACGAACAAATCTGAATTACTGTACATGTGCCGTGTGTTGTACGGAGGCACGCACACGAGTTGGAGGCAACACGTTAATTTAATAACTCCCCAGCAGGGTAACTTAACTAAACGTACAGTGGCTCTCCTGCTAATTGATAGCTACACAGTTAACTATGCGAGTTGCGGGTTAACTACACGAATGGGTCAGTCAGCCTGCATGCTGATTGACCCATGACGGGGAGCGAAGACCGAAGAGACGCAGCACCCACGGCTGATTCCAAAGACGAGCCTCGGACGCTCTCGGGACTGCCCCTTGATGCTCCCGAGCGTGGCCCCGCTCCGCCCTCGGTCACGTCCCCCTCGAGACCCTTTCCGAGGGATCTCGGTGGAGCGTCACGTGTCCCTCAAGCCCCCCCCCCGGGCCCCCCTCACTACCACGTCCTGACTTGCCCTTTCTCAGGCCGCCATCAGGACTATGCCCCCTGGGGCACGTACGCATACCGTACTCACTCTGGCCCCAGAAAGAGGTTCCAGACGCACAGTAGCACTCTTATGACAGTGCCTGGCGCTACCACCATCGTGACACTCTTGACGTCACTACACATGGATTTTCTCCAGGTGCCCTGGTTTCGTCCCACGTACAATTGGCCACGCTTTAAGATTTACGTGGCTTTTCTGGATCATTGGATTACATTATTATGTTTCACTATTCAAATAAGCATGGGTTGCAGCACTTCCATATCAGCTGTATGAACAAAGTCCTTAACCTTACCCAATTCCCTGCATTATTAGGAGGAGGGAACATGCCAATCTTCGCTACAAGAGGTGATCAAACACTTGGTTACAATTTTGAACAGCTAAGGGGAGATCTAGGCATTGCTGGTATGAAAGTGGTCCTAGGTGGATGCCTGCTCCTCTGTTGGAAGACTGTCAGGAGAATTGTAGAGATGACAAGTCATAAGTTAGCGGATAGATCAGCTCCATGGTAGTTGCTGGTGTCGAGTTCATATTGTATTTTCACTACATAGTCCAGTGGATGTTCTTGCTTGTGGATGTGCCGGTGAAGGAACAGCGAATTTGTAATTACAAGCACATAAATCTTGTAGCCTCTTGCCATCATAAAGCTGATTTGGCCCATCCATTACAATATACTTTACCCAGGTTTTAACGCAATGTTCCACTTGGGGATTAAAGTCACGTGGCGAAGGAGGTCATCAAAGGAATCTTGACTCATCAGCCCTTGCATTCCGTCCGTCATTCGGTGTTTGCAGTAAAGCAGTTGCCCGTTGTTTATGGAGATTTCCAGAGGGTGGGACTTCAGTCTTCTGGCTCTACTAATTGAAGTGTGGCCAAGGGCACATGGTTTTGTTTTTATTTCATGGTCTAGTGATAATTGAGTTACAGTGGAAGGGCTCGTAGCAGTCCCTTGCACCAAGCCAGGGCTCCCGTTTTTTATACTGTGGTGGATGTGACCTTACCACCTCGGTTGGATCTGCCAGGATAATCAGCCCACTACTGTGCCAGCCTCTCCCCAGATGGCATTTCCCACATTACATTGCAGTGTTACTGTCTTGCACCACAATAACATCAATAATAATGATTTGGATTTATGTGGCGTCTTAATACTACAAGTTTCCCTAGACGCTGTGCAGGAAAACCTATTTACATCAAATAACGTAGAGGAAACATGAAATAGGGCATCGACGAGCCACAGTGATCGAGCACCCATCACAGTAGCATAGCCATAAAATTGGATCAAATTGGATGAAAATAGAGATAGAGATTGGATCAAATATTCCTACCTTAAACACAGAGTTGCGAGTTGTTTTGGCAGAACGTACAAATACAATTCAATCATATAATTTACACTGCCTTCACAATAACATTCAAATGTGAATTAGCTTTAAAATAATGTTTGTCAGAATGCTTCATTAAAATCCCTTTCAGGGACCCCCTTTGCCTCTGAAGAGATATAGTTGCTCTTTAAAGGGGCTCATTGTACTTTGGGACGGTGATTCATTATTTTGGGTGGTCCCTCTCTCTCTCTTCCTGTGTGTGTGGGGGTTTTCTGTCAGAATGCGAGGCTGTGCGTTGTGGGAGCAGAGCATCTTGAGCAGCCAGCCCTAGCACACGGCTCTGCCTGGGCCCTGGGACAATTAATGCAGGTGAGTGTGAGTGTGTATTTGTCCAGTATATAAATAGATGAATTCAACACATTATAGGACATTAGTACACGCAAATGCATGCATTTAATAAGCCACACTCTGCAGTCGAGACCTATAAAGTTAAACCTGGTGTAGAGTTTGCATTCTTTCATAGATGCTGCCGAACACCATTGGCCCAGAGAGGCCTATAGGCAGATTAACTGAATTGTTCTTTGATTTTTTTTGGTGGTGGAACAGATGCCTTTATTTTAATTTATTAATCAGCCACAATACGCCAAAGCAGCGCATATTAAATATGTATTCAAAGGCATACGAACACGGGGGAAATTAGCACACGTACGCACACAGAGGTTTGAATAAGCATACACAATACTGTCTAGGATATCCATACCTCTACACGTGTGTGTGGTATTTGTAGACGTATACAGAGCATATATAAAATACGTCAAAACATATAGGACATTAATACAAACACATTCACATGTAACGTGCAAATGAATACACATATAATCGCACATAGGACATTCCTTATACACAAAGATGGCATGGATCCTTAGAACATTCATGCACTTCCACATAAGTAGGATATTTATAGGTTCGTATATAGTGCAGGGTAGTTAGTATATGGTACCGTATTACTGTAGTGCATATGCGTACACGCACCCATAGGATACGCATAGCAGTACTGTAGGATGCATAATTAAATAGACACATTTGGAATGCGCACAGTGATTTTGTTGTGAGGAACCACGGGCAAGCGGGAGGGCAGCAGCCAGGCGGTGAACCGGTGCCAGCAATTGGTCAAGCTCTGCAGCTTTTTATATAGTGCCCTGCTCTATAAAGGTGCGTGTAGCCTATTAACGAGCGTTTGCACAAAAGTTAAACTAAACTATAAACTAGTATTATACCAGGTAAGGCCCACTGAGCTATATAGCTCTATTTCAGAAGCGACCTGGCCACAAATTATAGCTCAACGAAGTGGCTTATCAAGTGGACATTTCTAGCAGCCAAATACTCTATACGCATGTTGTTTCTCAATGTGGAGGGAAAAACCGAATGACCCGGATAAAATGAACGCGATCACGGGGAGAGAGACACGCAAATTCCAAATATGTCGGGGTGGGGATCGAATCCACGACCTCCAAGTACACCAGGCGAGGTAGTCAACATCTCGCCACCGAGGAAACCAGAGCACCTGGATAAACCCCATTCGTGCGAGGCGAGCAACATTTCCCCCCGTACAGATGGAAACAGGTGGAGGATTAATCCGCTTGCCGTACCGCCATCTTCTGGAAAGCCAGGGTACGGCTACCTGGACGCCCAAGGGGAAGGAAGCTTCACTACATGTGTGCGATCCACCAACGCTCGCCTCTATGGTGTTGGATTACAGGCGTGCACAGCCATCGCCACCCCGGAATAGGATATTCGTACACACGCGCATAGGTTGTTCATATCCGTGCACATGTGGAATATATATACACATACCCACATACAAGCCACGTAAAATTACATTTGTAGGCATCGCCTTCAAAATAGCATGTGAAAATAAGTCATTAATTCCAAGATGATGATGATGTTGGCCAAATGTACAATTTAAATTCCTTTCAGGACCCCCCCACCCTCTGCCTCTAAAGGCATATAGTGGACATTTTAAAGGGGCTTGCAATACGTTGGGAGGGTGATTCATTAATTTTTTTTGGGGTCTCTCCCTCTCTCTCTGCCTGTGTCTGTGTGGGGTTTTCTGTCAGAATGCGAGCCTGCTCATTGCGGAAGGTGAGCGACTGAACAGCTAGCCCTGTCACACGCCTTACCTGGGCCCTGGGATATTTTTTTACAGGTGAGTGTCAGTGCATGTAAACAGTGTATGATGCACGTTTGTGAGTGACATTTTAACACAGGTGAATGTGTGTATATGCATATACTCTGTAGGTGTATGTATACAACTTGTGATGTATGTGACAATACAGGTGAGTGTGTATGTATAAGTGTGTGTATGCATTCAGTATATGGTGTACCTATGTGAGTGAAATTTAATACAGGTGAGTTTGTGTATATGTATATATGTGTGTCTACGCAGTGTATGTGTGAAATTGAATGCAGGTGAGTATGTGTATTTACACGTATGATGTGTGTGTGGGTCTATCATCTATGTGTGTGAGTGACATTTAATATAGGTGAGTGTGCATGTGTGTATACCATGTGAGTGCATTGGTGTATCATACATGTGTGCGAGTGACGTGTGTGTACATATGTGTGTGCATGTGTGTATGTCTCTCTCTATGTATATGTGTGTGTGTATATGTGTGTGTGTCTTCCCTGCTCACAACTGCAGACGTGAGCGCAATAAGGATTGGGTCTTTGGCTTTTATGGGTTGAGCAGGGAAACTGTGTGCGTGCAGAGGCCCATAGATCGAGTCTGTGTGCGTGTGTCACAGTGCATCAAGCGCTGCACTACTATCCCCGTAACCTTGGTTCGCGTCCCCGCCTTGGATAAAATCAGTGGCAAAGTCACGTGCGAACATGTCATGGGTCTCCCCCTAGGTCGACTCAGCCATACACAAGCACCTGGTTTTGTGTGTGAATATTGGTACTGGGGAGACAAATGCGGTCAGGCGTGATGATGGCTACAAGTCCACAGTCTTATGTGTATGAATGGAGAATCTTTGTCTCCGTGCATGTGTGTATATATCGGGCAATACATTTTATACACCCTACAGGGGTGTCATTGTGTGTGTGTATTATATTAGCATAGGTTATCGTACAGGGAGAATGGCTGCCACATGGTAATATGGAATTTCCACTACTAGCTTAGGTTCACCAATGGAAACAAGCACTCTCCCCATCGCTCATATGATCATCGAAACCCTGACTAAATGTGAAATGTGTAGGGGTATTGGTTTTGTCGAATTCATAAACGAATGTATATCGTACGATGTAAGGTTCAAAATAGTCTAATCCGATTGTCCGTTTTGCAAAACACCATTGTCTTGATTATCTATTGTCACTAATATTTTTTAAAGTATTTCGTTTCCTGACAAAATATTTCTGGAATAACAAACAATAATGATTGTTTTACATAAATAGAAATTACCCATTGAATGAGTGCTTTGCTATTTTTTTACCAGAGTAATTGGCTGTATGATGGTTACATAACGTCAGCAGTTCGTTGTTCGTTTAATTTTTTTTGCAGTATCACTGGCAGCATGTGAGTTAAAAACATTACAGATTATAAGTTGCAATGATCAGAAGAGTTATGGCAGATTTATGCTTAGTGAACTGCAGTTGAATAACTTTTAAGTAATCATTAGTTGCACTGGAGGTGCAACAAAGTGCAAAAGCAATAAAATAAAAATACGAACTAAAACTAAAAAATACGAACTAAGACTTAAGGGAAACTGGTTAAACGACGACCAACATGATAATGGAATATCGTAACGTGAAAGATAACGTCTGTATCTTGAACTTCTATGTAGCCAACCGTGCTAATCGTCTTGGCATATAGTTTGCCCGAGCATACTTAAACGAACATGCCTCATTCATTCATGTCCCCTTTATTCATGACCAGGCAATAGCCCATTGAGACCGAGAGGTCGCTCTCCAAGGCAGAGCAACGTTTAATCACGAATCGCAAATGCAGAAAAAACCCAGCACCATTAAATATTGGGCAACACAACTTTAGAATCGCTATCCATTCGTAAATCTTCACGACAAAACAACACAATTTAGTATTGCTTTCTAAAGCTTTCTAACCAAGGATAAACGATTAGCACTGTTAATCTCTGTCTATGTAAAATTTGGATTGGGGGGTATGATCACTATTATAACGATGATCCAATAAGAATTCAACTTTAGTATTCAGTTGTATTGCTATGAAGCACTTACCCGAGATACATTTATCAAACGGTTGCCCAAACATGCACCTGATAATCAGCACTGAAAAGATTCGCCTTGGTTCTTGCGCCATTGTATCCTGCTTATGGCAATATGTTCAGGAGCTAAACGTCAATGACGAGGTCTAATGGCCACGAGAGAGCTTCAGGAATTAAAGTTCGTGTAATTTCTTGCGCCATAACGGCCGAAGATGTCAGCTGTCATGCGTCACTACCTGTGCCGTCATCTCGCGACGTCACGCGTCATTCTCTGTGTCACCTCGATAAGCAGCTTGAAACGTAACGTTATTATTGCTCATTGAATAATTCTGAGGACAGAGGCATGTTGGAAAGCTTTACAGAATCCATGCATATGCATGCGTTTTCTTGTTTTATGTTATTCCTACTTTTTTACACATTTGCAACCATGCTGACCAAACTATGAATCTCAATGCAGAGTAAAACCTGCATGAGATGATCAGGCATGTAACGGCAGTGCAGACGCAAATTGTTTCACGTGTGCAGAGCATCACGTATGAAATTAAACTGTCATATTTAGCGTTACATTTTCTATCTTTTATTTTTAAACACAAGGGTCTGTACTGTGGGCTTGGCAAACGCAGAGGTAGTAAATTTTCTGACATTTACACCCATGCAATTTCCTCCTTATCATCAACAGTCCAGTTATAAACCTACAACCATCGTGGAAAGCCCATTGACATTCAACGATAACAAATTATCCACCAAAATAGAGTGTGTTCAATGGAAAAAAAAGTGTGTTCAATGGAAAATAATTTTTTTCAAATGTTTGCCTGATATGTATTTATAATCAACAATGATAGAGATGGGGTTATCATAGCGCATCAGGAGCGGTGTGCGATCACAGGTTTATTGTTGGGTCAAGAGTAATATTTTCAATAATTTCGACCTCGTTCGCGTAAATTGCACAGCGTAAACCAATGACTCCTCAGCCATTTAATGACTCCTCAAGCAATTTATAGCGTTGTTACGGGTCGAGGAGGAATTTGTTATGCAAACATAAAAATGAGGTTTGCGAAACGACTACCGGTAAAACAGAAACCGTTTCCAGAATTGGTTACCGGTTGCAAAAGTCAGGAAGCGGTCATTGGCTTCCGGTGAAATTTTAACAACGAGTGCACTGATTTGGCGCCTGCGAACGTTCAAAAATGTCACGACGGTGACCCAAGTCACCGCGTGGCCCACTTTACCCGCGTTCCTTGGTAGAGAAGGTCAAGGGTGCAGCCCCGCAATGGCTTTGCTCAACGCCACTGCTGGTGGAAGGGGCCTCCATTTCTTCGAGCGGGTTCCAGATGCGTATTTGAGCTTCTCCTCTTCCACGCTGACCAGATCCCCCATCGCACACGACACGGCCGATCGTGGACAATCCGTGGTTTTAGCCATTTACACAGCTGGGGGGGGGGGCATTTAAACAAAATTGTCTCATTGTTGCAACTGTCACGTCTGCAGATCAAATCGAACTGGCGACCTTTTGGGTTCCATGACCACTGTGCTAACCATACCACTGTGGCAGCTCCCTCCGTTTCTCATTTAAAATGGTTAAAAAAAACGTCACACGTATTGCGTGACATTTATATGTGTGTGTGTCATTCCCGTAACCTGTTTTTAGCGGGTAAAACTAACGACTTTAACAACCCTAATATTTTCGCGCCCACGTGCCTATACCCCACCCACTGTACAGCGCACGCACACACCAATATAAACAAATACGCAAAGACAAAGATCCCCCATTTATCCTTATGGACCGTTAGGCAGCCACACACACACACATACCTATAAATCTATACAAAAACACACGCATGCACTTACATACTCGCACACACACACACACGTGCCACCTCTAAATACACAGCAACGCACACATGTATGCAGTACTTGTGTGCACGGTCACACACACACACATGTATGCACGCAATAATTACCTGTAAAGGGCATGCAATATACGCATGTACAAGATCGAGCGCATGTACATATGCGTATACACACATGCACATGATGCACACACACACACACATCGATACTGTATACATATATGTGCACACACACAGACACACTTTTACAGGCACGTACAAATGCATATCAGCCATGGCCCATGCACACAATCGTTGGCATGATCACTCAAGTGAACATAATAGGAAAATGATATATTATGGCTCTTATAGAGCTCGCGTGTGTACGGGTATATGTCTGTGTGCGGGTGTAGTGTGTAGTATGTGAGTGCGTACGTGTGTTTATATGTGGGGAGCGGTGGTGCAGCGGTTAGCGCGCTGCGCTATGAACCCAGCAACACGAGTTCGATTCCCATTCACGGCCAACACCAGTGACGATTTTCTGAACCGGTCCCGGGCCTCCCCTAGGTCGACTCAGCCTCAAATGAGTAGCTGGTGCGGTGTGTAAACATTGCCACTGGGGAGACAAAGGCGGTCGGGCGTGGTTCTGGCCACCCACCCCCTCGTGTGCCGTGCCGGCCTTCATAGGTGCTCGCTAACAGCACTTGCCCCAACAGTCTGTTAAAGGCTATACGGGGGTTCTTTGTTTTGTTTTGTTATATCTATATATATGTGTGTGTAATTATGGTGTTTAGCCTGTACTGGGTGTGTGTATACATGTGTGTGCTTGGTATAATGTCTCGTGTATAATGTGCGTGTGTTTATTGACGTGGTGTATAATAACCTCGGCAACTATAACAATGTCAGCAATGCATCTGTATTTGTCACACTTACACATACAAATGCATACACCATGCATGTACTATTATACAGACAAAACAACAACTGACATTCACCACTAATTGGTGGCGATGTCACCACGGTGCCGGTGCCAGGCTAGGTGCACGTTAAGCCCATGTAAAGTGGCAAAGGCGTTGCTGGCAGGAGGTCACCGGCCCACGATAGCTATATCAGACAGCGTGAATTTGATGCATTTGATGCAGCCTGACACAGGTGTAATGGATGTCCTGCCACTCAGGAGGTTGACATTTGTCAATAGACATGACTCGGAAAGGTGCTGGGAGGAGACGTGACCGGGTGACTCGGAGTACAGAGCACGAATGAGTTGGCACGGCAGAGATCCTGGGTTCGAATCTGGGCAGCCACCCGTAATTAGATTGGATTCTCGAGTGTAATGAATTGACGGTCTCAGCACGGTCACCAGTGACTGGAGAAAAAAAAGCTGTCACATTAAATTAGATTTTTCACTTAATTTGGCTGCATTCCAACCCTGTAGGAGCAATTCAATTAAATGTTGGTGTGACTGCCATACTACTACAAACATCTCTATCGCAGGGCACGTGGCAAAGGCTAGTTGTCCCCCCCCATAGTTTGAATCAGAGATCATTCGAAGGGATCTATGAATTATTTGGGAATTTCTGCTTCTGCAAACTGTTTTCTGAGGTGATGCACTGGTCTGTGAAAAATCCAAATGACCATTTCTCCATCTCACGACTTAACGCTGACAGCACAATTGGAATAGAATCCAGGAAATACATTTTTTTAATTTAAAATCCTCATCATCATCTTTCCGCTTGAGTGGATAAAATGATTTGCGATGCTTTGTGGGAAGTTGAAAGTAGCCGTACATCCTATAGATAAACTGGCCCCCACCATGGGAATATGGAATTTTTCAGGTTTTTTTTAAGGTGTCAAGAATATATTGCTTTTCCATATGATTGCCTCGAAGACTGTGCGCACATGTGGGCTTCAGTTAATTTAGCACAAGGTCATAATTCTGTTACCTAGAATTCCACATAGTTGGCAAAACTGGCGATAAAAGAGCCGGTGTGGGTTTGAGAGAAGGAGATTATGCTCCAGAAAAACAAACTAAGCATATTTGACTGAGAACCCTGCATTCATAAATGAGGTGGTCACAGTTTGATAAGACTGAACTCTGAAAGGTTCCTCAAGAATATATTTTCAGTCATAGTGACATTTCTCCTTAACTGTTTCCTCAACCACAACAAAATAAAATTATCTTTATTATCTTCATTTCTACCGGAGTGGATAACATGATTTGCACGACTCTCTAGGAACTCTAAAGTGATTGTCAATCTTATAAACAAACTAGCCCCCATCAGGAGAATGTAGAATTTCACCTGCCAGCTCAGGTCCACCAATGGAGTTGGGTGCTGCCTCTTGCTTTTTAAGGTCAAGGGGCACTGAAATGTTTGACTTGATCATGATTATACTTATAATTTTACCTCAGTCAAGAATTTAACCGAGCCATCAGCTTATTCGGTGCTCTTGCAAGAGAGCTGTGGGCGATGTACACACGAAAAAGCCCATTCCAGACCACACCCATGTCTCCAGAAATGCCCCCCCTGTGTCTATTATCTGAATGGTACAGCCCAAAGGCCTCATGTGATACTGGGCCATTCAGAGCAGCCTTTGACCTCACATCAGCCGGGTGGACTTTGACCCCCCCAGGGCTCACCATCTGGGCGATTTGTAATTTTACAGCGTTCGCCTCTGATCACTGACACAAGCGCACGGGGTTTTCATTATCTAACAAAACGATATATTTTTTCATACATGAGGGACATTATACATTTTTTTCTTTTCATTTTCCAATTGTTCAGACTCATCACGGCAATTTACACTGAGTCAAGCTTCAAGCTGTGCATCGGAAACTGGTAAGGATCCATTTTATGTTCCATGTAATTTTTTCTTACATATAAAAAAGAACGCCGTGCTCGCACACGCCTCGGATTCATCGCTTTGAAGGGAAGGGATGAGTAGATCATGTGGCTTCGGGCTGAGAGGTGCCAAGTAGATGACAGTACAGCAAGTGGGTTTGTAACCTCATGTGTTTGGATCTTTGAGTGTTATCCCCATTTATATGTGCGTTTTTCCTCGGTTTCTCTGGTTTGCTTACAACACTCAAAATGGAATTGGCCAAATATTCAAATTCATAGCCCTCCTGAAAGAGCCTTGAGATTTATGTAGCTTTCCTGGATAAATTAATGGAATTATTTGTTATGTTGTTTCACGATCCAAATGAGCGTGGGATGCTGCCCATCTTTATTGGTGAGCTTGAGCGTCTTCATCACTCACTCTGTTCAATCCACTGCTGGATGAAGGTTTCCCCACACCACCGCCCTCCCTCCGTGGTTCGTTGATGGCAAAATCCATCTCACTCCTGCACATGCACTAATCTCATCGCTCCATCTCTGCGGTGGGTCATCCTCTCGGGAACGATTCTTCATCCGGTTGCTGTTGCATACCTTCTCATCAATCAGCCGTCAACCCTCCAGGCGACGTGTCCTACCCGAGTCCCCAGTTGGTATGTTTGCATTTGGTCTCTGATCCATGTGTTATCTTTGTTTCTGTCTCTCAGTATACATCTCAACATGTGTCTCTCTGTTTTTTGTCAATACTTTTTCAGCTTTTGTTACATTTTCTTAGTCATAGCAGGTATGTCATAGAAGTTCATCTGTACTGATTGAAAATGTTATTATTCAAACACAATAGTATGTTACCAATCATTATTAAATAAATACCAAATCCAATAGCACCCCAACCCGATCTCCAGTCCGCCTTCAACAACTGCCCTATATATACACACTACTAGTAAACCCTTAATATTCACGGGTTTTATAATTGCGGTTTTGCGACAAATTAAAATTTGCAGGGTTGTATTTTATATATTCTCGGCCATAACTCTGTACTAACCCGACAAGAAGCAGTGAGGTGTGGGAGCGATGTAGACACGGTGAGAGCGTGAAAGTTGCTCCCACGCGACACCGCTCTCCCTCTCGGTCTGCCTTTGTCTGCCACACCATTTACACGCCATTGCTTTCATTTACAATTCTGTGGGAATAACGTACGGTGTAATATTAATTTATCCTTGTATTCATTTATTTTAATAGGTAATATTTGTTTATGCCCCCTTAACCTATTTTACTCATAAGCTTTGAGTATTAATATTCGCGGATGTAATATTTGCGCCGTTCTCCAGGATCGTATCCCCCGCGAATATTAAGGAATTACTCTGTACTCTGTTGTGCTTTGCAGTTGTGTCCCTCCGAAAGTTATTTCCTCTGACTTTTCTGCCTTCTTTGTTTATCATATTCCGAATTAAATTTCCGTCGGTTCTTATAAGGGATAGATATAGATATTTGACTTAGTATCATCAGTCTGTTGTCTCTCTATCCAGATGATCATGGCATGCTGCTCATGTCCGTTTGTGGCCCTGGAAATTGCTCATTACTATGGCGGGGGCGAGGCAATCCATACACCCAATGGCAACTGTTGACTTTCCACAAATTGTCGTTACTCATTTATCAGCCTCGGAGGATTGATGATGATGATGCAGGTGCTGCAGCTGCTTGATGAGCATCATGTCAGGAGAGGTGACTCCCGACTGGGAACTTAATTTACGACTTTTACGAGAGAGAGTCGAGTGCTTTGACCACCCAGCCAGATTTTATCATGCAATGACACAGACACACGCTGACATATAGAAACACACATTCAAACATATGTATGTGAACAGATTCAGACGTGGCTTCAAATTCATATGAAAAAGAAACAGAAGGTGCCTGCCTTTGGCTTAAAAAGTCGTTTTTTTTTCCACAACATGTTTTCCCTGCCGATCTGTCGTACACACAGCCTATGGGTTTGTCATCAGGGGATATTATGTTCCTAATCAGTATACCGACTGCCATTTTAAACATACTAGCGACCAATCGCAGGGAGTCATAAGTGTCACATGATTGAACATACGGTCCAGTCATACGATTTTGGGTGAGCAATCGGATAGAGTCCATGATATTGCCGGTCTGGCCCCACAGTGCTGATGTTTAACACAATGCACCACTAAATCAGGTCAAGCATCTCATAAATCACACAACTTCTGTGTATTCACCACACTCTTAATCCCTCCCTCCTCACCTCGCCGCCCCCTGTCAAAACAGACACCGCTCTGTGCGGCGTCGAGGCCCTTACACAGCCTCTTCTGCATAAGGGCCTCGGGGTGGGTGGCCAGCATCACAGCCCGACCGCCTTTGTCTCCCCAGTGCTGATGTTTTACACACCGCACCAGATACTCATTTGAGGCTGAGTCGTTCTAGGGGAGGCCCAGGATCAGCTCAGATGATCGTAATTGGTGTTGACCGTGAGCGGGAATCGAATTTTGGTCACCGGGTTCATAGCGCAGAGCGCTAACTGCTACACTACCACTCCCTAACCCACATATGCACACGTACATGCATATTAATCCACATACAGACACACATATGCATCGCCTGCCACCAAATATTGTTAATCGGCTTGCAGAATGATTTAGGATAAAAAGAATTGTAATGCTTTTAGTCATTTGATGCTACTCACTCGCTGCTCAGCCACTGAACTCGCCACCATGGGGCTCCAAGGTGGCGAGATGTTAACTACCTCGCCTGGTATACAGGGGGTCGTGGGTTTGACCCTGACGCCTGTTTTTTGGGGGTTTGCATGTTTTCCCCGTGATTGTGTGGATTTTTTCCGGGTCTTCCGGTTTTCCCCTCCACATTTAGAAACATGCGTTTAGAGTATTTGGCTGCCATAAATTTCCACATGATAAGCCACTTCGTTGAGATATCATTTGTGGCCAAGTCGCTTCGGAAAAATAGCTATATAGCTCTGTGGGCCTGACGTGGTAAAATAAAAAATAGTTTTTAGTTTAGTTTTTATATTCCTGTTTCTGTGGTACACTTTCACGGTCCCGCATGACTTTATTGAGATGTTTAAATGTTGCATTTATGACCAGTACTACTTTGTGTAAAGTCAACAGTCTAGGTCACCATTTGGTATGGCTGGCCCTCGAAAAGGGGATGTGGATATTTCTTGCTGATTTGGGGCTGTGGAGAAAGTTGAGCACCACTCCACACATATTTAATCAGGGATGAATTTTGATTCTTGATTTTGAGGGTTCATTGTTAATGTCTGAAGCATATAGACTATGGTTCCCTTCGGTGTCAGTGTCAATTACTAATGCCCATAAAACCAAACCAATGTCTTTCTTTGGCTTCAGTCATTGGCTAAGGATCATAAAGCTAAACGAATGCTCTTTAGGGTTTAGTACTAATGCCTGAGGCTCATAAAGCCAAACAAAGGCTCTTTTAAGTTTCCATGACAGTGGTTTCATGAGTAAAAAAACACTCACAGGAACGTATAAAAAAGCACTCACCCCTTATGCAAAACTATTTAGTAGTTCCTGAATATTTGCATTCTCGTCCTCGTGTTTTAGGTTACCATCAAAATTTATTTGAGAAAATGTGATCGACTGACAGGCAGCAGTGAGACAGAGAGACAACCGGTTTCATGCTTCTTTGGACTCAATGGTAAAATATAGTCACCAATGCTCACTGCTGCAGTCTGCTTCTGGGAAACATATATGTACAGTAAGTATATCTCTCTATGTCTCACTCCTGCCTGTCAGCTGGTCACATTTGCACACACTTATTTAAATGGTGAACGAAGACAAGTCGACCACAGTACAGTTCTTTAGGAACTGCTGATGGTGTTGGGATAATGCACACAGGGCTGAGTGCTTTGTGTACACTGTTACGTGTGCTTTTTAAATGTATGGTTTTCCAGGCTACGCTATTTCCTGTTATTATAGGGTTTTCTCTTCATTTACAGATTTTATTATTGGTCAGTGGGTCCTTGAGCCAGTTTAATGATCACCTAGGGTTCATTGATAAAATGTAACTCTCATAAAGCCAGACTAAGGTTTCTTAGTGGTCTTTGTTAATGGTTGAAGCTCATAGAAGCAGATTAATTCTCCCTTTGGGTTCTCATCACTCATACCTGACCAGGTGTCACTGTGGTCAGAATGCTCAACTCACGATAACATTTTTGCAAGATCAAATCCTGATCAAAGGTCAACTCATGACCTTTGATCAGGATTCATGATACCAACATCAGTCGTTACCAGTAGCGGCAACAGCAGCTCTCTGTCTTGGGGTTTTAAAAACGAGCAGTGGAAATTTGGTCTTCAACAACGATGGTGGTTAACTTGTGAATCGACTTGCCCCTGTCTTGAAGATGTGAACACGAACTGGCAGCTCAGGGCCACGGACAGTGACGAGTACTGCTCCACGTTAGTTGGAGGAGGGACACTCTGGGCCCTTCAGTGCAACAAAATCTATTGTTGTACTGTACTTCTATGCTTCCCCATCTGTGCTTCCTATCTTCACCAAACCGTACTGGCCAGCATCGTAAATATCTCCCACGAACTTCATGGCTTAGGGAGGCCCTCGTCTAGCAGTGGGGTCACAAAAGGCTGTACTTGTACCCTGACTCTTAGGATGTCTACACTCTCGTTCGCAGGTCAGACACGATGCCCTGACCTTGCCTTGGTCACGATCGTTCAAAGGTCACAGGCAGCGTGACTTCCGCTTCATTTCGTCCCCATTTCTCTTCACCGACTCAAGTCGCTAACTTACCAAGGCCACTTAACGAGCATACAGGAGGTGGGTGTGCTTAGAAAATGCATTGTCAGTATTGTCATCATCAGCTGCAGCATCATCATCAGAAGCAGCATCGTTTTCATTATCATTGGCAACATCACCATCAGCAGCATCATCATTATCATCATGGATCTACTGACCATATTGTTGTGGGTGTGTTAGCGAGCACCCGTTTGTGGCGAGGATGTCTATGGAGAGTGAAGCACAGGGAGGGGCGCTTGGCAAGAAGGAAAGAAGAAGAGGTAACGTGACGGACGCATACACACAAGTTCATGCGTGTATATTTCTCACTTACATACAGAGACAAAGATCTCCCGTAAAGCATAATCAGATTGTTGGGGAAAGTGCTGTTAGCGAGCATCGATGAAGGTCGGCATGGCACACGACAGGGTGGGTGACCGGCACCACGCCCGACCGCCAGTGTCTCCCCAGTGGCGATGTTTACACACCGCACTAGGTACTAATTTGAAGCTGAATCGACCTAGGGGAGGCCCAGGACCGGTTCAGATAATCGTCCTTGGAGTTGGCCATGAGCAGGAATTGAACTGAGCTCTCTGGGTTTGTAGAACAGCACAGACTCATTCAACACACAAACACATCTCAACCCATTCACATGTAAGCGTTTGATGATGCATTGTTAAAATATCGTTTCATCTCATATCGGTCTTTTCAGGTGTTTGTAAATGTGAGCTTCATAGCTGGCTTCAGCCTAATTAAGTGAGAAAAAAATCTGAATGATTGTAAAGCAGTGATATATGGGTTTCATTTTGAAGTGTCAATGGTGACCAAGCTGGCATTGATTTCATAACACATAACCATTTTAATCACACTTGGCTGAGACTCAGATTCAAACCTAGACTTTTATGGGTGCCAGCTTGGCTTCTCTGACACAGCCCTTGTTAACCTGACATTTTGGCCATTATAAACACAATGACATATAAAGAAATGTAGACAAAGGGCTCAAACCATGAAGACAGGAGCTCAGTGGAGCTGCCTCCCCCTGAGCTTCCCCTCCTGAGCCACCTAAAACCAGCTCCTCCTTGTTCATTAAAATTCTGTTTAATATTTGCCCAGAAAGTTGTGACTTCCTTGGGTTAATATTTTGTAACATTGGGAAGCATTATGAACTTTGCCTCCTCGTAAAACGTCACCGCACCATAAAGTGCACGTGTATGTTGACATTTTATACACACCGTGCCGCATTCTGTGATATAACAAGTTACCAAGTGGCTCAGCATGTTCATAATGGCTGTACTTGGAAATCTTAATCGGCACCACTGAGAACGTGGGTTCAGGATAAGAACCCTGGAATTTGGCATCTATCTCCGTCTCTTTTAGGCGGATAATAATGGCCACGCTAGAGTGATGTCACTGGAGTGACATGACAAGTCACTGTGGCAGTAATGCCACGGTGGCATTGCTAGAGCGGGCCTAAAAGTCTCTATTCAATTATTTTGCCCTGAGTGAAGCTTAACACTGGTGACAAGCCCAGGACTCGCAACCTGCTCCTGTAGCTGTTCCTTTCTGTTGTGTCACCTTTGAAGGGCCGTTGCCACCTGTAGCAGTTCCAAAGGTGACGTTTATTCACCTCCTGATAAAAAAAAGCTCCCAAAAGAGCACAATTGGGTCATAATTGGCAATAAAAATAAAATATAAATACACCTGCAATTGAACGACTATAAAATCACCTCTGCTCAATTATGGTAATTTACGCATTCCACCCGCGGTTAAGAGACTGTGGCGAAAATCTGATTAATTTCACACCTGTTATATTAACGAGACCATAGCAGAGAAAAAAATGCGCTAATTGTGTCACTTCTCGTACTGGCTGCTTCGTTAAGCGGTCTCATTTTGAGGCAGCTGTGTGGGGAGCTCATGATGGATTTTTTTCAGAAACACTGAGGCAACACGACTGAAATCCTGCTTAAAATCTGAGTTTCAGCCACCCGCGATTAACACTGCTTTCTCAAGTGTGAATTGTGTTTATGGACACCGTTTACTGTACACTAAAGCATATTAAATGTCTTTGACTTAATATAGCTTAATACAGCTCTCAGGGATCCACATATCAGTTTGATTGCAATGCAATAAAACACATTTGCAGGTCATATTATGTGGCTAAAAGGTTGTTGAAGTGACTTCAGAAATATTTCTGTGAAGTTATCTTCCGGGGCCATGCTGTGAAAGACATTTACAAGTGAAACATTTTAATCTCCGTCATTATTTTTCTGTGGATTGCAGAAAATGTTTGAAGGTGTCAAATAAAACAAATAATTAAATTATATTAAAGAGTTAAAGGTGAAACAAAATATCAAAATAAAATATGAACGTTTGTGTAAAATACTTGCTATTGTTGGTTGGTTGGTTGTGGTGGACACGCGTGTCAGTGGTGTGAATGGAGACTGCGTTGCCTTGTGGGATTCTCCCATGATGCTTTGCAGCCCGACGTTTAATCGGAGTGTTTGTGAATGATCTGAAGTAGAAATGTTTCGTTTGATTTGCTCCTGTACTCATCTCATCTTGTTATTTGTAATGATTTTCTTATTTGTAATCCTGGTGAGAGCCCATTTTTAAATCCTTTATATTAAGTTCGCTTGCTTGCTTGCGTGCTTGCTTGCTTGCTTGCGTGCTTGCTTGCTTGCTTAGGACCGTGCAAATCTTTCGGTCGTTTTGTAACCCACTTCCCGTGATCCAATCGAACTGACACTTTCCACACAGACTCGTTGTGCCAGACAATTAATGTTCGTGAAAAAAATTCCCAAAACTTTACACTTTTTAGGCAAAAAAAATGTATTTTACATATATTCAAATAGAACTCATTCATGGCTTTGGCTGAACGTCAGAGTGTAAGAGCCCAGAGCGTAACCCCTCCACAGGCCGTGGCGGAGTAGCGCAGTTGGTAGCGCCCTCGCTTCCCATGCCAAAGGTCGCGGGATCGATCCCCGCGTCCTCCACAGGCGAATATATTTTTAAATCCTTTATATTAAGTTCGCTTGCTTGCTTAGGACCATGCAAATCTTTCGCTCGTTTTTTAACCCACTTCCCGTGATCCAATCGAGCTGACATTTTCCACACAGACTCGTTGTGTGTGACAATTAATTTTCGTGAAAAAAAAATTCCAAAATTTTACACTGTTTAGGGAAAACAAATTAAATATTTCATTACCAATTGCTTAATGGTGGCAGACAATCATCTGACCCATAGGTGGCAGCCATCTCAAGCCAGAGGATGAGAGGACTCTAGCCGCCACGCATATAAAGGATTTATAGTGAAAAACTTTGTTTTTACGGGTTTACTTGTGTTATCCTGTCATTCAGTTTTCGTCTAATTTTTTTTTATCTTTTGTCCTTTCTTTTGTTCGGTTCCTGTCTAATTCTGTTCTCACAGCAATTTGTTCTCATCTGTGTCTTGTTCCATCATCATCTCATTCTGTTGTTGTCTTCTTCTGTCCCGTTTCATTGCATTATCGACACTTCTGTTCTCTCGTGTTTTGCTTTCACGTTTCATCCTCCAATTTCCTATCCTGTTACAATCCCTCCTCTGTTCTGTTCCCAACCATTCCCTTTTTATCGCTCTCTCCCCGTCTCTCCTGTTTCGCCTGACTCTGGACCGTTCAGGCCCCTTCCGTGCTCTTCGCAACTCTCCCCAGAGTCGCAAGGGTGAGTAGATGGGAGGGTTCATAACGAACCATGGCAGGTTCATCATGGCCGTGTCGAAGACACTTTTGGGTGGGAGATGACAGCCTTTGCGTGGCCCACCTCTTAAGTGTTCTCAAAATATGAACAAATGTCATCAACTCAGCAGACCCTGACCAAACCGTAGACCGCATTGTGAACCGCTGCCAACATCGCATGGCTTTCAAACTTGGATCTAGATCTTCAAGTTTCTACGCACTTTGTTGTATGCAATAAGAAGAAGTCCCACTGAAGCAGCACCACTGCGATGTCGGGCTGGAGCCCTGGGTCATGGATGTGTCTCTGTCTGATGGTTTATAATGGCCGTATTATAGACACCCACCAGCACGCACACTAAACCATGTCACTCATTACTCATGAGGAAATTAATGAGACATCTGCTATGTAAATGATTTATGCGGCTAACAGGAATTCTTGTCATTCCTGTCTAAGGGGACAAGGGATACTGTTGCTGATGATGAAGATGATGTTACTGCTGCTGATGCTCCTATTCGTGATGATCGATGATGATGGTGCTACTACTATTCTTATTACTCCCGTAGCTTCTGCTGCTGCTACAACTGTTACTCCTGTTACTGATGATGCTTCCGCTACTGATGCTGCTGCTGCTGATGATGATCCATCTACTGCCTCCATCCCTCAGGTCAAGATAAAAGCGACACAGCGCTGATTCAACGGTTCAAGGGCGACGGCATTCGCTACCGGGCCAAGATGATCGGGGTCGACTCAGTGGCAGCGGCACGCGGCGACCGCATGTGTCAGGATTCCATGATCAAACTGAAGGTGCTGTCCAAATAACTGCAATGTTTCTCCCAATATCCGCAGAAAACCTCATATCCGGAAACCCGCATATTCTAAAAGCAGCCAATCTGTAAAACCGCACGTCCGAAAAGCAACGTCTTAGTAAACCTGTGTACGGTGAAGATCGATTCATAGATCTTCCTAATATCCGCACGGTTATTCTTCCCATTGCACACAGACTTGTACGGATAAGAGGAATGGACCACAAGTCTTGGCAAAATTCATCCGATTGGGTCCGAGTTGGGCATGACCTGACTTGACCTGGAAGCACGTCACGTATCCCATTATCTGTGCTCAAACGCACGTAAAAGGAGTCGCACGGAAGTAGCAGCAAATGTATCCGATGATCCACACTTTTCTGCGGATAAGAGGATCCACCCATGAGCCTGGATAAGAGAGCAGTCACGTATCAACAAAACCTACGTGTATGCTCCCTGGCTTTTCCACAAACAAGTTTATATGCGGGCTAACAGATTAGGCATGTAACGACGCGCCAATTTGTCAATTAAAATTAATTATAAAGCTCGGATACAATATGTGTATGAATCAGTTGTTTAAAATGTATGAAAACTGCGTGCAAATTATATGCTGATGTTACATTTAGGTTAGAGGCAAGGACAAACTTTAATAAGCGAGAAAATAACAGAAACGATTACCACAAGAGAGACGTTTAAAAACGAGACGTGACAGAATCGATTCTTGAATGGAATTGCAATCACCCTCCCCCCATTCACAACAATTCATCAGATCACCAGAGAGGTGAATTGGCACGTGCCTAATATCCAAAACACCTGCATATCCACCACACAGCTGCACCTTCACAACCCTGCAGATCCACAAAGCCATAAAGTTACATTTCCCATTTAATTATCACACTTTACCTCTCCTCAATCAACTTCACTCGCTTTCCGTTTACTGCACCGTTGTCTTTTTAAATACCTTACACTCTTTAAATCTCTCCATGGCCTTTTACCATACCTTATCTTGCCTCTCTCATCTATTTTTATGCCCCCCCCCCCCTCGTGCTCTTCGTTCACAATCTTCTCTCTGTCTCTCTCTGTCGCTCTTTCTCTCTATGCCCAATCTCGTTTTAGATCTTCCTCCCTCATTGCATCCCTCCACTGCAATAAACTCTCCTTTTCTCTTCTCCATTGCCCATTCCATCCCGTTGCTCCCCTGCTCGTTCGTGACCCCATATGCCCTTGTTACGGTCACTCATTCGTCGGCCCCTTTGCACGCTCTTGCCATTTAAATCGCCCTGCTTTTGTACCACTTTTAAACTACGTAAAGTGCCTTGCGTTAAGGCGCTCTATACATATCTGCGCCCCTGGTTATCCGCACAACACTCAATCCTTATACCAGATATACCCAAACACAGTCATATCTGCTTGGAAATTACGAACCGTGTATAATTGATTTAAGTTTAAAGCCAAATTCAACCCATAAGACAAGCAGCTCTAGTAGAAGCGTGCCCAGGCTGTATATATGCCCCAAGCTGTCTGACACGAGCTTGAAGCTTCAGTTATGAGATAAAGACGTTAAATTGGTGTAGTACTCCAAGTGGCATTACTACAGTGCTATCTGGAAGTTAATTAATAGTGGGTTTTTTCCCATTAAGGAAACCTCAAACCCATGTCAAACAGCCCAGGACACAACCTGCTATATGTGGCTACTAGAGAAGACCTCGGTTTTTATTTGGTTGAGTCTTCCTTTAAATAGAGAGACCAGGCTAAATGTGTGGTTAAATAACGGAGACGGGGCTGCGTGTGTGGTTGAATAACGGAGGCTGCTTGTTGGCTGTGGTTGTTCCTGCAGGGAATGGCTGCAGTAGCGAGGGCCCATGGGCAACACAAGCAGAGGGTCATTGTGTCCGTCTCCTTCTCCGGAATCCGGATTTACGACGAGCGGTGTGGAGTGAGTAGCCATCACCATCATCAGCAGCAACAGTAGTATCATCATCTTTGGCAGCTGAATCAGTAGCATCATCATCAGCAGCAGTAACGGTATTATTTGCAACTGCAGATTCCATCTGTATCATCAACATCATTATCAGTTGCAGTTGCATTATCATTGTAGATATTATACACTGCATTATCGTTCACTGCACATACATGTATGTATGCGTTACTGCAGTAGTTAACGCTGCTGTACGATGAACCCCTGGCCTTAGTTCGATTCCTAGCCATGGCTAACGTCAGTAGTTAGTTATTTAAAACCCGATCCCAGGCCTTGTAATGCTACCTGGTGTGGTGAGTAAACATCAGCACCAGGAAGACAAAGAAAGCCAGGAATGGTGTTGGCCACATTACCACCTCATGTGATATGCAGGCCTTAAGAGCTCTGCTAAGCAGATGTAGTGACATAGAATTGGTCACTTAGCAGCATAGCGATGGTTGCTGGCAGAGAAGGGGATCTGCAGTTACAGCAGCTCTGACAGACAGCAGGTCACGTGATAGACTACACCAGGGGTCGGCAACCTACGGCTCCGGAGCCGCATGCGGCTCTTTACGGGCTGCTTCTTGACGATATGTACGTATGTACAGTATGTACTCAGATGCATTGCGGCTCTTGAAATACTGAATTTTGTATCGAATTGGAAATAAATGGCTCTTCTTGTTATTTTGGTTGCCGACCCCTGGACTAGAGAGAGGGATGTAGGGGAAAGGTTACAGAAGGGACACGTGAGGGAAGCCCGGGAACCTGCTAGGAGGTTCTAGAAGTGGGGTGTGGCTGGGGCGGAGCGAGGCCACGCTGGGAGGATAAAAGAGGACCCCTGAGCGAAGGCTTGGGGCTGTCGTCTGGAGTGGGATCCCCTCGTCGTGCTGCTGGAGTCTTTGCCGCCATCTTCACCATCTCGGCGTCGTCAGTCAGTCTGCCAGCTGTCCTGACTGGGAGCTGTAGTTACTAAGTGTGAACTGTGAAGGCTGTTAATAAATAGAGTGCCTCCTACTCCAAGTATCTCTGAGTCAGTCACTACAAATGTATGGTATATGCAAGCAAATCCTCCTTCAGGTTAATGGTCACAATGAATGAGGCAGTATGAATGAGACAGACAGTACATATAAGACAGAGAAAGGGAAACAGTGACATAAATAACTAAGGTGATGTGATTCGGATTATTTATCCAGATGGAATCATCGGTTGTGTGTGTAGTTTTTTTCCCATTATTAAAAACTTGTGGAAGATTCCACTTCAAGGAAGATGCAGCCCAAACAGCAAGTGGTTCTTGTAGGAACTTTAGATATTCTGCATGTTACGAGTTTTAAACTTCATGATAAATGGGGCTTCAAAGTTAAGATCAAGAAAAGTAACACAAAATAATCCAGTAAGTCTGCTTGGGCAGGACACGTCGTGATAAGAAATCATGGCTCATGATCGATACGAATAGCTGAGTGACAGCCAAGGGAGGGAACACCTGAGAGGGACATTGCCCCATCCACTGCGCAGATGGGGCAATGACATCAGCTCGTGTGCAGGTGCTAGATGGATTGTTGTATTGAAAGATGCAAAAGGTATCTATTTAGCGATTGAACATCTTAACACCTGTTTTATTTCCAGAAAGGGTAAAAACTATCCTTATTTTTCATACTTTATTACTGGCAAAAGGTCCCATGATGTAGCTGCTCATCCCGGGCTATACATGCTCTGCTACGTGTGGCATTGTCTTTTTACTGTCTGCTTTTTGGCGATCTCTGGTCTGACACTGTTGAAACAAGGCCATAAAGAAGGCTCTCTCTGGTGTAGGTCAATCCATTTCAAAGACAATGCATATATTATCAGAGCATGTTTGTTTCCATCTTCACCACAAATACGTGTGGTTTATGCAGATTTTATTCCCAGCCAAAGGTATATATTTGGTGTTTGAGCGTCTTCAAACCTGTTTTATTGCCAGAAAGAGTAAAACCTATTCTTATTTTTCATATTTTGATACTGGAAAAGGGTACCATGATAAGATGGTTAGAGATGGTGGCAGCTTGGTTAAATAATGGCTGATGGTCATGATGATGATTGACATCACTTTTACGTTCTAATACGACCATGCAGTGACATTGCACCACTCCAGAAAGTAAATGTAAAGTAGTTTTTTTCTCCAGGAAGCCTCAAGTTTGTACTTTGACTGAATCAGACTCTTGTGCTTGCAGGTCCTACAACACGAGCACCCCGTGCACAAGGTGTCGTTCATTGCACGGGACGTCAGCGACCACAGAGCATTTGGTTTTGTGTGCGGCACGGAGGGGGATCACCGGTTCTACGCCGTGAAGACGGCGCACGCTGTGAGACACGGTGGCAGGCAGGGGATGAGGGGGACACACTGCAAGACACGGGGACACGCGGGGGGATGAGGACACGCCGTGAGACACAGAAACACACGGGGGATGCGGGGGACACGCTGTGAGACATGGGGTCACGTGGTGGATTAGTGGGACACAAAAGCAGAAAAACGCAGACATGGTAACCCGGGTTGCCGTGTTTGGGCAGAGACGCATTCACTGCTCATCAGCATCAACTGTATCAGTTTATATCCTTAGCAGCAGCATCATTATCATCATGATCAACCGCAGCAGCAAGAGTAGACGTCATCATCGTCATCTTAGAGGGGCAGCCATTACTATGTATCCTGAGACATGGGGGAAATGGTGATACTAAAAGTGATACAGATAGATAGGGAACAGTCAATATCAGCACCATCATAAGCAACATCATGATTATCAACATCACCATCAGTCCTTGTTTCTCCATGCTAACTGGTATCGCTATTTGCTTCCCTCACATCCCAATGCTTCCTCCTACGGTCAACCCTCTCTTCCCCCCTCTTCAGGCTGAGGGTCTAGTGATGGACCTTCGCAACCTCTTTCAGCTCATCTTCACCCTTCGTGAACGTGAGCAAAAGCAGCAGCAACAGAAGCAGCATCCGCAGCAACCACAGCAGCAGCAGCACCAGGAAGGCACGGACAAAGAGCAGAGCAAGGATAAGCAAGTCGATTCGTGCGCCCTTTACCAGGTTATGATGCTTCACTTGCCTGAGTTTTTTTCCCTCTCGCACACATGGTTTCTCTTGATGGATGTTTCCTCATTCTTGCTGAGGGTTTTCTCCAGGGTTCAGTCTGCCAGTCAAGTTTTTCCCTTTCTATTTAGATGGTAATGATGATAATATTTCCTTCCCAGACCATAAAAAATTACTCTGAGAAGGAATTGCACTGCCGATGCAAGCGGGTTGAGATGCGTTATCCTCTCCAATTGTGAGTTTTCTCTGGGATTTCAGGAATATCCTCTCGATAAAAGAAGACCGAATACACAAAAACAGCTCGTCTTCACATTTCCGAAAGTCAATGTAGTGTTTTTTCTAATTAACTAAGCTTTAAACGCATGCCAGACAGTCTGGCACACACGGCCCAGACGTGCAGCTGCTAGAAATGACTTGGGTATTTTTAAACTTTCCAACTAAGTTTGAAAGCATTTATACATTGCCCTGGTCCGTCAGTTTATCCAAAATAGGGGGGTACGATAACTCTCTTGAAGATTATCCAATAGTAGTAAACAAAGTTTGTTGCTAATAGGGACTTAGTACCAGAAAGAAAACTGACCAAATTGATTAAAAAAAAGTTTGGACGCTAAAACCAGTACTGTGGCATAATGACCGAGGCATGCGTGACCTCCCCCCCTACACCTCCCGATGACATCGTTATGCGTGATGTCATATCGCAATATTACATCGTGTCATTGCGCGGCTTGAAACGTAACGTCATTGTCACTTAATTAAACACTTCACTCGCAGACAAACACATGTCGGAAAGAGTTACAGAAGCAATGCATAAGCGTGACTTCTCATCCTCCTTTAGATTGCGTGTTTCTTTAATTCACGTGTACAGGTTTTCTCCAGGGTCGTGACGTATCTCTGCGAGCTTTCTGATTGTTTTTTTTCTTGGGCCTACCCTTTCTGTTTCTCTGCCTTCTGGTTCGATGTCGTACCTGTTGGCGTGTCCTTCCTGTATCATTTGCTCCTCCTTGCCGCTCCCTTGCTTCTGAATCCTCCCACTCGCTCCTCTTGCTTCTCTCATCTCCCTCTTCCTTCCTTTTGCTCTCCGCTGTTTTCCCATGGTCCCCCACACTCCCCATTGCCTTCTCACACTTGTCTACGATGCCTTTTTGCATCCCTTTCTCCCCCTTGCTACTGTTTTCTCCCTCTCACTTCCTCTGGATTCCCCTTGCTATACCATACTCCCCTTTGTTGCTCTCGCTCCCCTATCCCTCCTTGTGCTTCTCTTTACTTCCCCTTGCTTCCCTCATGCCTGCGCCCTTGGCAGACGATACCTGACGACGACTCAGACGACCCAGTCTACCAGGTAACGAATTGTCTATCTGTGCATGCAGGGGTTCATAATGGCTGTTTCAGAGACACAGAACCAGCACTTCTGAGAACCTTGAGTCGATGAATGGGTCTGGGGGACTGTTTCTCAGGGGCCTCATAATGGCCATCATGGGAAAATATTTCTACAAAATTCGGAAATCATTATGGATGTGCGTTATATCAGTGTTGTGTCATGAACCATTCTTGATCTACTTCTAGGCTATCCCATCTATGCCCATTGGCAAACACGTAACCCTAAGTGCATTGCCCCTTTTTCAAGATTGCATCTTTTTTCTACTCCCATACTGCATTGCTTTTTTCCCACAATGTATTGCTAACCTCCCAGAATGCAGTTCGTTCTTTCAATTCCCAGAGTCCATTGCTGTCCTGTGTACTGCATTGCTTTATTCCTAGTATGCATTGAGGGGCTGTCGCTGCACTCTCACGATGCATGGCTTCATTCTTAACGATTCCATTTCAATTTTTCTACTTTAGATTCCATTGCATTAGTCTTAATGGATTCCTAGAATGCATTTCTGAGCACTGGGTTTTTTTCAATAAAGCATTTTCTTACACCCAGAGCTTCCTAAGATTGATTGTTTTTATAAAAATACTAGAATGCATTTGAGGAGCCTATCTGTGCTTCCAAATTGCACTGCTGCGCTCTGGCTTCTCAGAATGCATTTTCCTCCTCAGAATCCATCATATGTATCGTTGGATGCATTACAGGTATCCCATGATGCATTGTTAAGGATGCATCACATATCTCCCAGCAAGCATTGTATGTACCCCAGGATGCATTGCTGGCTATTACAATGAATTAACTCTTCCCCAGGATACAGTTCACTGCTGTTTTTTCTACAGAATTCTCTTTACTGGCGATTTCTTATTCAATGTCTCTCTTCTCTTGCGACTCACGCTGGACTCAGTACATTATGTTTGAGCCCAGTCCGGACTCTGAGGAGTCCATCTACCAGGTGAGGTCCCAACCCTCGAGGCCCTGGGTTTGAACCCTGGGTATGGGTGTCTTTTTCGGTCTGATGTGGGGTTCATAATGTCTATGCAGGAGAAACAAATATCCTCGATTCAGTATGTATGCGTTTATGTTGAACTTATTTCGCACCGTACATAGCCAACCGTGCTAATCGTACGTCCTTCGTCTAGATATCCTTCTTTGTCAGAGCATTTATAATGTCCGTTCATAATGGCTGTCATGTTCCTAGTGATGGTGTCATCGACCCTGAACCAGTACCACTGTCTTGGGTTCAGACCCTTAGTCCCGGTGTCTTTCTCTCAGGAAAATAATAATGGTCATGTCAGACATATAGAACCAGCACTGGTGCGTTTCTAGGTTTAAGCTCTGGGACTAGGTGCATACAGCCATACATAGTGCCATGCTCACACACCCACACGCAAATCACTCAAACGCATACAGACACGCTTACACACACATCCCTCTCGCACATTATTTTCACACATACAGCCACACTTATACACACACACATTCATCATACATACAAAGGCAAAGATCCCCCCGTATAGCATGAACAGACTGTTGAGGCAAGTGTTGTAAGCTAGCACCTATGAAGGCCGGCACAGCACACGAGGGGGAGGGTGGCCAACACCACACCCGACCACCTTTGTCTCCCTGGTGATAATGTTTACATACCACACCAGGTATTTATTTGAGGCTGAATCGACCTAGGGGAGGTCCATAACAGTTTAGAGAATCGTCACTGGTGTTGGCCGTGAGCGGGAATCGAACTCAGGTCGCCGGATTCATAGCGCAGCATGATAACTGCTACACTACCGCTCCCCACTCTTACACGCACACATCACTCACAGACACAGCCATGCTCACACACACATCACTCCCACACACATAGCCATGTTCACGCACACATTAGTCTCCCACACAGGCTCGTAATTACCCCCCACCGTCCTCCCTGCTGGTGCCACGTGGCGTGCGAGACTCGCCAGCTGGTGCTCTTGACCATGATTGTGCCCCTTGACCACAGTTGACTAATTTGTTAAAATTCAAAACACTTAGCAACTCCAGACGGGCTTCTACATTTTTTTGAGTCACGATCCAGAAGTGAATTCAAAATTTAGATTTTTATACTCTTGTGTGATAATATTGCATCTACGTTACATTTGGCAAGTCCTCCATACCAATCAGCCTTCATTAAGCCTGAAGATTAGTTAAAAGAAAATATGTGTAGTGGATTCAACTGAGTCGCAGACGCACTCTTTGGAGGCAACACATTTATTAATACCAACACATTAACACAAAGGGGTTACTGCCCCTTTACCAGATAACCTATGGTGGTGGACCACCAGGCTAACTAGTTACTGGGAGTAGCTACAACGGACATGACCCTGGCTTGGGTCCTTGTCCACGTGTTGGTGACTTCTTCTTGCACGTAGAACTTAGATCTTCAGATGACGACAGCAACGCTGAACCCCGGTCCCTGTGGGGACCCGGTTTAAAATGCTGCTGGGTCGTGGCGGGCCCCGCCCTTGGCCACGACCACCTTCGAGAAACCTCCTGGGGTTTCTCGACCCTTCCCTGACACGTGACCACCCCCAAGCCCCCACCTGGGGCCCCTGTGTAGATCTTACTGATCACGTGCCTATCCAGGGTCAACCAGAGTGCCACGGCCCAGGGTAACCTCATCCCATGGCTGACACTCTCACACGCCCTCCTGTAGGAGTCAGCACTGCACGCCACGCGTGGTGCCACTGAGCGCTATCCCAGCGCTCACCGAGCCCCCTCTAGGGCTGGTACTACACCCACCTACGGGGTGTCCACGATGACGATGCATCGCACGCCTTGCCTCGCTAGAGCCGGCATTACCCAGTGACATTCACGATGTCGCTACACAAGTGGTGTCCGTGATGTAAGTGCATTCGCAGTGGAATGATGCTTTGCCGTTTCTATTAATTGAGTTTACAAAACACGCATCAAATCGTATGTGTGCAAGAATCTCTATGTTTTAACATGAATACATATTGTATGATATGGGTTTACGTCACTTGTGCACCCATTTGAGGTAATACAGTTTACGGCAATGTGATTTTTAAAATGTATTCTTGAACCAAATAGTGACACTATATTGTGATTATTGATTCAATCGCTGGGTGCGACTAGGGAGTCCGTGCATCATTCCATTGCGAGTATTCACAACTACGCCACCACTTTTAATAATCCACTCTTCAATTCAACCGCTATAATTTTATGGACAATTTTCTAATTGCTGTAAAGCCCCTTGGAATAAGGCGCTATATAAATCTAGGATAATAATTATTTGTTTTTTAAATATGTTTTGCAAGCCTGCATTTAAACACGACAGTCATTTAGCTGTACGATTTTATTTCACCGTAATTTTGAATCAGGCAGAGTACCATCAAAATAATGTGTCTTTATATAGCATCGAAAGGACACCACATTGCTGTACGCTGTACAGAAACAGTAGGTATATCTAAGGTTGACCGGGGACTTGTATCATCTTGTTTATTTTTTGTAAATGCGCCTCACATTTATTTTGCTGTGCTTTGTTGTTGTGCTTTGAATTCACATTTTTTTTCTCATTGTCTCAATGGGTGCTTACCTGGTTGTAAAAGACTTGATTCCTGTAATGGCAATGTCATGTTCGTAATGGCCGATCCTTGTCAGCACAGAGGTGTGTGTGTGTGTGATTATCATGATTTGTAAGTGAGTGATTGGATATCATTTGCTCTCATTAGCTACCATGGTAACCACTCTTCTGTGCCTTATTAACAGGTGCCATCAAGTCAGCTGAAGGATGGAGTGTACGACATCCCAATCTACAAAGCCTCTGAGGTGAGAGGTTCATAATATGGCCGTGTCAAAGAGACTGAGCCAGCACTTTTGTGATCCTGAGTTCGAGCCCTAGGTCTTAGTGTGTGTTTCTGGGGAGTTCATAATGATTCTGTCAGAGATACTAAGCCAGGAGCATGGGAGTTTTGGGTTGAAGGCTCGGGTCCTGGGGCAGGGTTTCTCTCTCTGTCTTAGGGTGTTCATAATTACCACGTTCTAAATTCCTAATAGCCACGTCCGAGATGTTATCACCACTTAGAGCCTTGCTTCAGGCCTTGGGTCTGGGCATCTTTCTCTTTTGCAGGAGGTTCATATTGGCCAAGGTCGGGTTCATAATGGTTGGCGTCATTGACTGCGTTAAAGACACTGAGCTCTCAAGTTTGAATCCAGGTTCCAGCCTCCCTTGTCTAAACCAGTTCTCAGCCACCTTCGATGAAACCAGGTTCCCTTGTGTTGTGAGTTTGATGGCAGAGGATAACAAAGCATTGACGGAAGTGTTGTGGAATCAAAGGCTTTGCCCATGATGTTGTCTTGATCTTGATGTCTCTTTTTGTCAGAATGGAAGCTCTCTGCTAGAACTAGAAGCCCAAATGGACAGAATGCTGTTGGTAAGTTTACTTGTGACAGTATTATAACCAGAGATCCTATGCCTCATTGTGTATGTGTTACGTGTATGTGTTTATTACATACGTACTGTTTGTAAGCATGTATATGTGTAGACAGAGGTGGCACATTGGTTCCCACCAGCCACAACAGCAGTGGCAAGTGCTTCAGAGAATGCAGTGGGCCTCCCCTGGGTGAACATAGCCATAAATTATTAACTGGCACAAGTGTGAACATAAGTGATGGGATACAAAGGTAGCCCGGTCGTAGTGCTTGCCACACACGTGGCAGCTTTTAAAGTGCTTGCTAACATTGCTTGCTCCTACAGCCTACAAGGCTAAATGGGGGATATTTGTCTTTTCTGTTTCAGGACTCTTCTCAGTTTGGTTTATTTGGAGACATCACTACACCACCGGACATCACCTCCCCTCCCGTGAGTATATGCAAGCTAACCATTTCCGTCTGCTAGTGAGCCTCAAGCGAGAAGGTACGAGCCCTGGGGGTGAGTGTGAACCCCTTTGCAAATGAGATATTCCATCTCAAGAGATTATGCTGGTAAAACATTCCAATAAATAACTAAAATAGTGTCTCTCTGAAGAGGCTGTTGGAGACACCGAGCTACCACAGTTGAATTCCTGGGTTCTATCATTGGTTCTGGACGTGTCTCTCAAGAGGTGTTTAATAACGGTCAGAGACATCGAGCCAGCACTGTTGACATCCTGGATTCAAACCCTGGTATGGAGTGTCTTTGTTTCATATGGATAATATTGGTCGCAAAAGTCTATGTGTTAAACTATTTCATAAGGATTCATAATGGGTGTGTCAGAAACACTGAACCAACGACGATGAGATCCTGGGGTCAATTGCAGGTAGTCCTTTGTCCTTAAAACAGATATTTTAACACAGCCATTTTGAACTCGCTGAATGAGGGAGACATCCACACCTAGTGCCTGAACCATGAACCGAAAACCTGAGCCTTGCGGGTTCAGTGTTCCCGACACGGCCATTATGAAACCACATCCTCGAGCCACCTTGGCTTATGTTTTCTTGTTTTTCCTCAGACCCCTATTTCTCCAGATCTGTTTGGACTTGGCGATGTCTCCTCGACCAATCAACAGCTTCCGCCCCCCCCTCCAAACAAGATGGCTCCCCTAGGTGGGTTGGGTAAGTCGAGAATGCGTATGATGGCCAGCTCATTTATGTTGTATGTGGCTGTATAAGTGTATATATCTGAGATTTATATTGATTCCTTTTCTCCAATCCAATTTTCAAAAAACATCATATGTGGCTTAAATAAAATTGACGAAATTGTGTAATCTTGTCTGACTCCCATTATATATTGTGTTGTATTACTTTCATCATGCAATTTCACTGTAGCCATTCCATTTTTAATTATGATTTGTTTCTATTTGGCACCCATTACGCCGGGCCATCTCATAACGCTATACACACGAAAAGCCACTTGCATACATCTGATCCCAAACATTCGAAAAAGGGAACCCCGGTGGCAGCTGTCCCTTTGGGAACAAGATGACTCAGCACTTGGCCTGCTAATGGGCATGAGTGCGCCATTCGCGGGCGGGGGTCAATGATTGCTTTGTGGATTCCCATTTTAGTAATTTGCGAGGACTTTTTTTTATTTGACAAATTTGTACCATAACGCTGTTACACAATGGCCTACTTATTTTTAATAATGTCAGGGGATCATATTCTTTGGGGCTTTCGGTAAAATCATGTAGATAGGTTCAAATTAATAAAAAATAAAATAAACAAAAAACTACGACGTTTCGATCACAACACAAGCGATCGTGACTTTACCGAAAGACCCAAAGAATATTAATTTCTGCAGTCACGAAAGCTTTAAGTCAAGATTGATGTCAGGGGATCCTTAGTGTTCACTGTGAAGCAGACGGTGTGGACTTTTATGGTTAATACGTGGTTTTTAGCATGTTAAAATGTTTTTGGATTTAGGCTTCGGTTTGTGAGAGCTTCTATGGCTGCATCAATTTCCACTAAATCTGTCATAACAACGGATGGAAATTAACGACGGGAAATCATCGAAGAAATGTAAGAAGGCTTGTAGAGTTTTCTAAAAGTAAATATAAACAAAACAATAAAATAACAGGCTTGATAAACAATTGACCGAAAAAACATCAGATGATTTATACCTCGCGCAGTGGTTGAAGGCAGATCAGGATAAAAAAATTATAATTAAGGAGGCGGTTGACAGGTCGGAGTGCTTTTTGGAAACTGACCTTAATATGTAATGAAAGCAACACAAAAATATACCTAAAAAAGGAGGTTTTAATAAAAGTGTTTTATGCGCTATCACGTATGGATCTGACAAATTAGAACGAGAATGAACAAAAGCACCGAGAGCAGTAGCAAGCTTCGAATTGCACAGAGAGACAGAAAAAGGAATGCGTATGTGGATGTATGGAGGAGTGCTAGCGCAGTAGTGAACACACTTTACTCTGAACCTGGTGACCTGCACTCGACCAGCACAGTGAAGTAAGGTCAACCATTGCCCATTACCAACACAGCGTGGAGAGGTCTTCGTTCAGTAGTGAATTGACAAAGGTCCGTTATATTTTTAGGAATAATTAGTTTAAAATGATGTTATATCCTTATATGCAGGTGTACATATACAGCAGATGTGCATAGTATGTACATATGCACGAACGCTTGACAACATTTCACCTGTCCTCCCTCTGCTTCTTTCCCTTCCCTACTCTCCCTGAAGCCTACAGCCTGCCCACCACCCCCGCGGCAGCGTGGGGCACCATGGGCCCCGTAGTGATGTACCCGGCAGGGTGGGTGGCCCCCCAGCAAGCGTCCTGGCCCGTGGCTGCTGCGGTGACCCCCCCGTTCGTTGTGGCCCCCTACGCTGCCATGCCCCCCACTACGGCCCGGCCTCAGCCTCTGCCCGCTGCCATACAGGCAGGCGCCCAGGCGAGGAGAGGAGCCAACAATAGCGCGTTTAAGGTGAATTTAACTCAATCGAGCATCGTCCCCTGTTGCAAAACTACTAAACTAAACTTTTATGCAATCAGGTAATCCCCACTGAGCTATTAGCTCCTCTTCAGCAGCGATCTGGCCACACATGATAGCTTATCACAGTGGCTTATCATATGTGGGAATTTATAGTTGCCAAATAATCTAAACTAAATGCAAGGTTCTAAATGTGGAGGGGAAAAAATGGAGGACCTGGAGAAAAAAGCCACGCAACGATGGGGAATATACAGGTATCAGGGTCGGAATCGAACCCATGACCTCCTGCATACCAAGCACGGGAGATAACGTCTCCCCACCAGAGCACCCGTGCGTGTGAAACCGAGTGCCTTCGTGATAGCCTTGCAATAATATAATTGGCTAATCATTTGAATGATTTTATTTACCCCATTGCCAAGCAATGCAGCCCAACAATATTGCCGACCCAAGTTATCAGATAATTAACAATGTGTCACCTTTTCGATTTAAATCGATTCTATGCTCTCAATATACATGTCAAACTGTCCATGTGAGATTGTATTATGAATGTGTGAAGCATGTGTAAATGATGCTCTGTTATGGTAAAAAGAATGGAGTCGACAAAGCTGTTCGACAAAGACAAAAATACAAGAAATAATGCAAATGAAACAGCAAAAATAAAACAAAGAATATTTTCTTGAGTGGAATCACACTCCAGGATTATTGGAACAATTGTTCTGTGGCCAATAATTACTGGTAATAATGTTTACAATAAATAATAATCTCTTTTTTTTACCAGGAGTGCCTCGCTAATTTTCAGGATGGTCTTGCATTGGATTGTTCAACCATTTAATTTTTAAGAAACATGTGTGTGTGTGTGTCTGTCCTGCTACTGAGGATTGTGCTGATTATATATCTGCAGCTGCTGATTATGGTACTAATGCTGCTGATGGTGAAGCTGCTGATGGTGGTGCAGCTGCTGGTGATAATGCAGCTGCTCCTGATGATGGTGGTGCTTCTGCTGGTGGTAATATTGCTGTTTAGTATGTTTATGATGACAGTGCTCACTGGCTACCCCCTCCACCTTACCCCAGGACTTCCAGCTGGCCCAACCACCTCCAGTGCCGGCACGGAGCCACCCACGGGCATCTGCACTCGCCGGGACCTCGGATAAGTTTGCCGAGTACTTCTCCGAGAGGATCGGCGTGGCGCAGGACCCCGACGACACAGACGATTATGACATTTCACAGCTGACCGTCACGCCTTCCGCTTCAGGTGCCATCTCCCACCGTTTTGCCCTCCCCGTTTCCTTCGTGTAACTGCCCTTTTCTCTCTTTCCTTCCTCTATCTCCTGCTTGTCTTCCTATTCTCTCCAGTTTTCTCTACCTACCCTTGTCCCCTTTTATCTCCGCTATCTTTCCCTTGTCTCTGCCTTGTCTCCTATACCTCCCCTCGCCTCCCGCTTGTCCCTGCTTTGTCCTACTCATGCCCCTACATTCAACCTTGAGGCTAAAAAGCAGTATTGTTAAACACACACACCCGAAATGTTTTTCAGGCACGTATTTATGCACTGTGCTACCAACCTGGTGACTTGAGTTCAAATTATGGCCATGTCTAACATCAGTGGCGAGTGATATATATGAGCCAGTGCTGGTACATTCCCTTGGTCAACTGAGCCTTATTTTAGCACCTGTTGCAGTGTGAGAGACAAATGGAGTGGGGTGTGGTGCTCGCCACACTACCGCGTTTGTACGGCGTGCCAGTCTTAACAGATCCTCACGAAGATTAGGTCAGTTGAGAAATAATGTCGATCTCTTTCATTGTATGTGTATGCCATCCATAGCCATTATGAACCAGTCACAGCCATTCTAATCCTGAGCGAAGAATACACTAATATACACGATTTTGTATTATTATCCAGGGTTCAAATGCAGGATTTAGCAGTGACGGATTAAGTGTCTCCGTCACAATCATTTAGGCCACCTAAGATAAAGGGAAACATCCAGTCTCCCAGTTTGAACGCCAAGTCCAAGATCTCAATGTTGTTGGTTCGGTTTCTGACACAGCCATTATAAACCCATGTGACTCACCAGATCCTTCCTCGGGGTCTCTGTCGGCTGCGTCATCAGCACCGGCTTCACCACCAAGGGCCGAGGCTCCGGCCACAGGCGCCGGCGCCACCACCGCCTACAACCACCACCACTACACCCAGCACCACACCCAGCCATGCTCCCACTCCCGCATCAAGGTCATTCGAACACAGTCCCAAAGCTACTGGAGATAAGGCACCAACACAGGTGAGCAGTGGTGGTGATGTTAATGATTGAGATAACGCTCACTTATGCGTTGGGTAGATTACCTGGGTCGTAGAATCACTGTTTGCGATAAAGGAATAGAAAATATAGTATTTCTTGCTCATTATTGCCTTTTTACACACCTGCTTCTTCAATTATTAACTCCTCCTCACTTATGGCTCAGTAACCAATGACTTTACAAATCAATACAAAGAACAGTCTTCAGCCCCATAAAAACTCGACCAACATTAAATATGTATTGCTAGCATCTTTTGTATATGGTTTGCATTGTTGGTTTTGGTTTTATCCAGGCCATCCCTTCCACTACCCCAGATAATCAAGAGTTTGACTGTAATGATTGTTGATTATCTTATGATGCTGGTGATGTTGCTGGTTCTGGCTATCAAGTAGTATCCGTATTAATATTATACTCTCCTTTGTTAATAAACATCAGTTAATAGTCAATGCGATTATACAAATGAATGCCAAAATAACTGAAGTATGTTCTCACCTACATAACAGAACCCCACTGAAGCAGCAGTATCTGCTGCATCAATTTCGCCTGGAGGGGATTTGTTGGGAGACGATCCATTTGGTGATTCTTTAATGTGATCATTCATGGTTTTCCAGGTGCGTGAATTTCATCTTTCCACCCACTCACGTGTCTTACTGAGCTCCTACTGTGAGACGTTCCCTGTCCTCACTCATGTGTGCCCTGATGAGAAAAACAACCATGAAAAACTGGTTTATTTAGACGAGGGCACAATCTGTTTTACTGGGTCATTATGAACCCCTCAAATGTGTATAACCTTACCCATGGCTTAAACCCAGGTATGAAGGATCACTGCCGCAATATCTCTTGCATGGCCATTATGAATCCCTTGAAAGAAACACTTTGATCCAAGGTTCAAACTCAGGCACTTATAGGTTCACAATCTTGACTGATTTATTCATGCCCTTGTGTCTATTCCAGGATGAGAATTGATGGAGAACATTTGAGACTAAAAAGGAAAATCTATCAAGGAACGTTCAACCGCGTTTTTATTTAACCGTGCTTCCACCACCACTGACGGTGAAGATGTTTCCCTCATTTTAACGACTGGAAAAGCCATCACAGAAGGAAAAACCTCAATTGACATGCAAGTCAAGTGAGTTGGAACCGAATGGTGTGAAAGAAAGCAACAGATTGGAAGATGGGAAAAATATAAATTATGTAAAATGAAATCAAATTTGGCCAGGCAAAATGCATTTGGAAACTGATTGTAATATTTACTTTTCGAAAACATTATTGCAGGATTCAGTGTCCCACGGAACAAGATATATTCCTGAACTGGTTTAGCTTATGAATCAGGATTAGCCTTTTGTGAAAATCTTTCAGAATTTTACAGTGATGGTGATATTGTTGTAATATATTTGCTGAAGACACTGCATTATTGAAATTATCCTCACCACCAACTCCATCTCTCTCACCTACTCTTCCTTTAACGTTGCCAAACAAAGATTTTGAAAAACAAATCTTCCAAAATTATCATCTTCACCCTCGTTTCACGATCGGAGAATGCAAATTAGCATTTTCCAATCTGAGAGAGGTTTTCATTTCCGTTGAGACCTCAAATTTTACATAATGTTGAAGTGTCACTCGTGAAGATTTTTGCACATCATATTGTAAAAAAATATTATACTTGTTGTTTAACTCTTGACAGCTCAAATCAATCTTGTCAAATTTTACACGCATAATTAAAGTTTTTATACTTAAACATGCAAGCTTTTTGTTGAATTTTTTGTATTGACTATTATGTGCCAGTTGTGCTGTTATGCAATTCATGTTGTTAAAACGCATCTTGAAAAACTAAAAGAGACAGAGCCCTATGAAGACGTCACATCAGCGAACAGATTCTGAAAACGTCAACAGACCCCACTCTTAAGAGCTCTCAGCCAATGCTACATATTTCGTGTATCAGTCAACCAATGTCATAATGTTTGAACACTTATGAAAGGCAGCCTTCATTACTCCACCAACTCACCTGGGTTGGATCTTTAACCTCCTGAGACACAACCACTGCACTTTTAGATTGTGAGCAACACTTCACCTCTCCACGATTTTTTCCGGGTTATCTTATTGTGAGCTCCTTTTGCCAGCTACATTTGACCTTCATACCCACAGTGACAAAGGTTAAGATCCACCTCATCTTCATTTACCCAGTCAATCCTCAATTCCCAAGTTCCAGTCTTCCTGACCCATTTTTCGATATTCACCAATCTCCATTAAAATTGTTAAGCAACTTTGATAATCACGTGACATTGAGTGGTAATTTAAAATGTGATAATCTTTCTCAATCATGCGCGATGTTACCCAATCATTAGGCACATGGAGCATGTAATGATAATCAATATTTCAATAGAGAGCATTTGCAAGCATATAAATGCAGACCGGTAGGTCATGAGGACTTGAGCTTGGGAAAGCATTTTAAATTGTGAAATTCAAGCACCGAAACACTGACACTTACAAACTTTATTCCAATTTTAAATAACAGATATTGATATGTTAGGATGTGTTTTTTGTGTATGAGAAGTTTTTATTTATCCAAAATAATTTTGGGAAACAACCACACAAGTTGTAGATTATTCTTGAAAACGAGTATGTGTATATGCATATTCATGTGTAATCTATTTGTTTTTGTATGCATCCGCTTGTAAGTATATACCCATGTGTGTCTTCATACATGTGTATATTTGAAGCTACTTGCATGTGGTCTTAATGAACCAAAGTCTGGTAAAATCACAGTAATGATGGCAGCTTCCAATTTCTAGTTAATTAAGCTGGTGTCATTTTTATCTGTATGTGCTGTATATGTATCTATGTGCACGTATATACAAATGTGTATAATAGGTATGTATAAGTATAAATCTTTTGTGTCTAAGTTGGCTGTGGTATATGGAGTGTTTGGTGTGGGACACGTGGATGGAGAAACTTAGGGAAGCCAAATCTCTCCCTCTGCCATGTCCTTTTCGTCTGCCAAACAATAAATTGAGTGTCAGCGATCACTCTGTTGGTTCATAACCACAAGCAGTGTCATCCAGGAGGGTCATTAATTCATCTATTACCAATGAGGGACTTGGTAATTATTCTTTAAAAGGGTTGATACTCGTAAAATTTTCCAGGAATTGCAGCCGAAGTTAAGGATTCTTGGAATTTTTACTTTGAAATTGAACCAGTGAATTATTAAACAGCAGCATCAGGGATGAATTCTGGGAATTATTAAACAAGGCAGAACCAGTAAATAATCATGGGAATCAATATAATAAAATAGGACGTGACCAGTGAAGAATTCTAAGATAATTAACATAAAGTGGTTATCCCAATTTGAAGCTGGAAAATTCCTTAAAGTATTCTAAATAAGACGGAATGCAATAACCAAATAAAACTTGTAATTTACCTGTATTTATTCGCTGTATCCCAAGCTATTAATGTTTGAAACTTCATGAATGCAAAAGTTATAAGAAAAATAGCACACATGGAGCTTTTCTCAGGTATGTAATGACATGTATGATAGTTATGTCACAGTGATATAACTCACAAGCTATAAATAGAACTCGTTAAACAAAGTTTTAATACCATGCCAGCCTGGAATACATAGCCAGGTATGTAGCGAGAAGTACAATTACATTTTTGAGTTGTGTCTTTGAACATTACTACAATTCCAATCACTCATACCACACCTGCATGTTTATCTCTTTCTTGCGCCCTGCTGGCCACAACCACCAAACCCTGGTCTCGATGGCTGCTTTGTGGCAGAATGCTCTCAATCGGACCTCCGACCTCATAGGCTTGGGCCTTCTCCACACACTCCACAAACTCCCGCAGGCTTTCATACACAGCCACTGAACAGTCCTCCACGGCCAGCCGTGCCTTTGCGCCTTTGTTCAGATAGCCGCCCAGTTCCAGGTAGAGCTTTGCCACCTGCACTGCCACCACTGTCATGTTGAGCTGTGATTTGTTTTCCACAGTCGTTGACAATGGTAATCTTAAAGATGCTGATCCACCTTCTTGGATGAAGGATGACTGCGGCGGTCTCTCCGTCCCTAGCTGCGTCATCATCCCTGCAAGAAGTTTTCCTTGTAATTCATTCACCATATTGCCAATTTTACTCTGTCCAAGGGTGTCCCTTTGCTTGTTTGCCGATTGAGATGCATTCATTGGGTTGCCCAGAGGGAAGGACTTATTTCCAGGGTCGTTTGCCTCCCGCTTCGTCTCCACCCTTAACTGCCTCCCACTGCTGCCACCATCCAACATCCCACTATCCTTTACACAACTCATAAATGCTCTAGGACCTTCACGGACAGTGTTCCCACACCGTGCCCTCACCATCTGGAGCGCAGCTTCATGAGGGTTCACCAAAACAACATTTGATATCTGGACTCTTGTTGCGGGCTCAGGTATTCGTGAGCCCAGAGTTCCAGCATGGGGAGGGATGCTGGAGCGCCTCGTGTCTCCCTGCCTTATGGAGGCACTTGCTTTATTGTGTAGATGCTGTTTTTTTCTTATATCATTTTCCACCATTATCGGGTTATTTGGCAAATAACCTGAGGGGAAAATCACCACAATTGAGCTGTGCGCCTCTGGTTTCGTGTAGATGGCTGAGGAAATTGGTGCTGCCGGTAGTGTTTGAGATCCTACTGGTCTGTCTTTTGGTCTCTTATTGGTTTGAAGGGAGCATATGGTTTTTGGCGACTGGTTCAATCAAACCTCTCTGCTTTCCTGGTCTATGCTCAACTTGTCTGTCTCCAGAATTGATACCAGGTCGTTTTTGTTCTGACTTGAGAAATGGTCCTGTTCTTGGTTCGAGCAAAGGTCTGTTTATTCTGGGTCGAAGCGTAGCTGTTCCATCTCTAGATTTTATACCAGATTTTAGTTCTGGCTTGAGAACTGGTCGTCCTGTTTCTGGTTTGATCAAAGGTATATGTTCTCCATGTCGACGCTCAGCTTGTCTATCTCTCGAGTTGATACCAGGTCTTTTTTGTTCTCGTTGGATAACTCCTGTTCTTGGTTCGATCAAAGGTCTATTCATTCTGGGTCTAAGTATAGCTGTTCCATCTCCGGGTGTGACACAGGCTTGTTTGAGATCAGGCCTTTTGTCTTCCAGTCTAGGTCTTTTGCCATCTGCACCAATGTCTCCAGCTCTTACAGCTGAAGTCTTGTTTACAGATCTTTCATTTCCTGGTCTAACCCCAGGCTTCATGTGTGCACGTTTTTTAGTGTTTGATCTTACTCCAGTCCTCTCATCTACTGTACTTATTATCTGTTTACCTGCAGCACCTTCAGCTTGCAAACCTTGTTTCTCAGGAATCTTTATATCTGGGTGCTTCACTTGTAAAGTGCCCGCATGACTATTGATGCCAGCAGGTGGCTGACGACCTCCATTCCTACTCTCCCTCCCTCCTGATTGCTCTTCCCTTGCATTCCTTAGCTCACGGTTTGGCATTCCACTCAAGTACTCTTCTATCCCATTCAATTCACTGTCGAGATTTGCTTCACGCACAGATTTTAAATGCTTTGTCGGTGCCTTGGAATTAAAAAATGTATAGTTGCCATTTTTAAGTCGAAATGAATCTTGCTCACCCTTGCTCAGCACATTAGATGTTGTGCTTGTGGTATCAACTCCCAAGTTTCTGCTAAACCGGGGAGAATGACTGGGGTGTCTTGTGTCTCCCTGACCCATGGAGACACCTACTTTGTTGTGCAGATGCTGTCTTTTTCTCACATCATTTGCTGCTGTCATCGTGTTACTTGGAAAATGTCCTGAAGGGAAAAGTACCACAATTGAGCTGTGTGCCACTGGTTTGTTGTAGTTTATTGAGGAGCCTCCTGCTAACGGTAGTGGTTCGAATCCTGGTCTGCTGTCTTTTGGCCTGGCTGAAGGTCTCTTGTCTTTTGGTCGAAGCAATATAGGTTCTGTGCCCACTGGTTTAATCAAAGGTGTCCTCTCTTCTAGTTTGAGGTCTGCTCGTCTGTCTCCGGACTTGATACCAGGGTTTTGTTCTGGTTTGAGACCTAGTTGTTTATTACCGGGTTCGATTGAAGTTTTCTTCTGTCCGGGTCTAAGCTTAGCCGTTTTAATGCCTGTATTGACACCATGTTTTTGTTCTAGCTTGAAAACTGGTCGTCCTTTTCTTGGTTCAATCAAGGGTCTTTTTCCTTCAGGTCTCGGCGTAGCTGTTATATGTTCTGTTTTGACACCCAGTGGTTTTACTCCTGGCTTGAGAACTGATCGTCCTGTTGCTGGTTCAGCTACTGTTCTCTTCTCTTCTGGACTCAGCGTAGCTGTTATATTTTCTGGGTTGACACCGGGTTGTTTTTGTTCTGGCTTGAAAACTGATCGTCCTGTTGCTGGTTCAGCTACTAGTCTCTTCTCTTCAGGACTCAGCATAACTGTTTTGTTTCCTGATTTAAATCCAGGCTGTTTTTGTTCTGGCTTGACAACTGGTCGTCTTGTTCCTGGTTCGAGTACTGGTCTCTTTTCTATGGGTCTAGGTGTAGTTGTTTTGTTTCCTGATTTGACACCAGATTGTTTTTGTTCTGATTTGAGAACTGGTCGTGTTGTTCCTGGTTCGAGTACTGGTTTCTTTTCTACAGGTCTAGGTGTAGCTGTTTTGTTTCCAGATTTGACACCAGGCTGTTTTTGTTCTGGCTTGAGAACTGCTCGTCCTGTTCCTGGTTCGAGTACTGGTCTCTTCTCTCCAGGTCTAGGTGTAGCTGTTTTGTGTCCTGATTTGACACCAGGCTGTTTTTGTTCTGGCTTGAGAACTGGTCGTCGTGATCCTGGTTCGAGTACTGGTTTCTTCTCTCCAGGTCTAGGTGTAGCTGTTTTGTTTCCTGATTTGACACCAGGCTGTTTTTGTTCTGACTTGAGAACTGGTCGTCCTGTTCCTGGTTCGAGTACTGGTTTCTTCTCTCCGGGTATAGGTGTAGCTGTTTTCTTTCCTGATTTGACACCAGGCTGTTTTTGTTCTGACTTGAGAACTGGTTGTCCTGTTCCTGGTTCGAGTACTAGTTTCTTCTCTCCAGGTCTAGGTGTAGCTGTTTTGTTTCCTGATTTGACACCAGGCTGTTTTTGTTCTGACTTGAGAACTGGTCGTCCTGTTCCTGGTTCGAGTACTGGTTTCTTTTCTACGAGTATAGGTGTAGCTGTTTTCTTTCCTGATTTGACACCAGGCTGTTTTTGTTCTGACTTGAGAACTGGTTGTCCTGTTCCTGGTTTGAGTACTAGTTTCTTCTCTCCGAGTATAGGTGTAGCTGTTTTCTTTCCTGATTTGACACCAGGCTGTTTTTGTTCTGGCTTGAGAACTGGTCGTCCTGTTCCTGGTTCGAGTACTGGTCTCTTCTCTCCAGGTCTAGGTGTAACTGTTTTCTTTCCTGATTTGACACCAGGCTGATTTTGTTCTGGCTTGAGAACTGGTCGTCCTGATCCTGGTTCGAGTACTGGTTTCTTCTCTCCAGGTCGAGGTGTAGCTGTTTTGTTTCCTGATTTGACACCAGGCGGTTTTAGTTCTGGCTTGAGAATTGGTCGTCCTGATCCTGGTTCGAGTACTGGTTTCTTCTCTCCGGGTCTAGGTGTAGCTGTTTTCTTTCCTGATTTGACACCAGGCTGATTTTGTTCTGGCTTGAGAACTGGTCGTCCTGATCCGGGTTCGAGTACTGGTTTCTTCTCTCCAGATCTAGGTGTAGCTGTTTTGTTTCCTGATTTGACACCAGGCTGTTTTTGTTCTGGCTTGAGAAGTGGTCGTCCTGTTCCTGGTTCGAGTACTGGTTTCTTCTCTCCAGGTCTAGGTGTAGTTGTTTTGCTTCCTGATTTGACACCAGGCTGTTTTTGTTCTGGCTTGAGAACTGGTCGTCCTGTTCCTGGTTCGAGTACTGGTTTCTTCTCTCCGGGTCTAGGTGTAGCTGTTTTCTTTCCTGATTCGACACCAGGCTGTTTTTGTTCTGGCTTGAGAACTGGTCGTCCTGTTCCTGGTTCGAGTACTGGTTTCTTCTCTCCAGGTCGAGGTGTAGCTGTTTTGTTTTCTGATTTGACACCAGGCAGTTTTTGTTCTGGCTTGAGAACTGGTCGTCCTGATCCTGGTTCGAGTACTGGTTTCTTCTCTCCGGGTCTAGGTGTAGCTGTTTTCTTTCCTGATTTGACACCAGGCTGATTTTGTTCTGGCTTGAGAACTGGTCGTCCTGTTCCTGGTTCGAGTACTGGTTTCTTCTCTCCAGGTCTAGGTGTAGCTGTTTTCTTTCCTGATTTGACACCAGGCTGTTTTTGTTCTGGCTTGAGAACTGGTCGCCTTATTTCTGGTTCAACCACTTGTCTTTTATCTTTAGGTTTAACCATTCCTGTTCTATCTCCTGATTTGACACCAGGTTCTTTCTGACCTTGTTTTATATTAAATGTTTCGTTTTTTGGTGTAGATGTTTTGCCTCCTGCTGTCATGTATCCTGATCTCACTGCATTTGTATTATTTTCAGGTCTCTTAACTTCTGGTCCAACCTCAGGCTTCATATCTGCAAGCTTTTTAGATGCTGGTCTCCCTCCAGTCCTCTCATCTACAGTTCCTTGAGTTGGGTGCTTCACTTGTAAATTTATCACATCACTGTTGATGGTAGAAGGCGATTGATGACTTCTCTTGTTGCTCTTACTTCCTATCGGCTGCTCGTCTCTTGCCTTCCTGAGCACATGACTTATTCTACTCGTGGACTTTGTTTTTCTCAATTGACTCTCGAAATTTGCTTCATGCACGAATCGTTCATGCTTCTTTAATGCTGTAGAATTAAAAGAGTTGTTTCCCCATTTATGGCTAAGTGAATCTTGCCCTGTCTTGCTCAGCCCATTTGATTTAGTGCTTGTCGAGTCCACTCCCAAGTTTCCAGTAAATCGATCGTTATTGGACTCACAATTAAACTGGTTCAATTTTAAGAGCTGTTTGAAGATGGAAACCCATACTGTGGCCGTCTGTTGCGGTTTCGGAATAAACTGATTTTCTCCTGAGGATGCATTTTCGACAGTTGTAGGTTTCGGAGATAGACTGCTGCCAGATTTCAATAGGGCCATGTTGGTCACCAATTGATCTGTTGGGATATTTGACTGAGTTGTTGCCCCTGCCTGCATCTCTTTGGAGCCAGTAACCACTTCGTACTGCTTCATGAGCAGATTTTTAAGTTTGGGGGGCTCCTTATATCCAAGGGGTTGCCCTTCCACTTGCAAGATTGTGCTGTATGTCGGCGATGACAATTTTGTGTCCTGTCCTTCTTCCTTGGTGGCATTAAAAACGTAAAGGTGTTTCATGCTTCTGATGAAGTCATTGACGGCGCTGAGTATTCTGTCAGAGCCATGCGCTACAGGAGTCTGCTTCAGTTCGCCATATGCCTCTCTGGCATCTATAATGCACCATGCGAGGAGGCCGTCTGAGCTGGTGGTGGTGGGATGACGGCAACTGAAGTTTTTTGCCAAGGAAAGAAAGGGGTGCACAGGGACATTGCTGTCATTGCAGTGAACGGTCACATTTGTCCATTCCTTTTCGCCACTACTGTTGGATAACCAGTTTGGGTTGAGAAGCAATTTTGCAGACTCCGCTGGCACTTTTACGACTCCAAGCCAGAGAGTGGGCTGCTTCAGGGGCGCATCTGTGTGTCAAATGGTGAATATAAGGTGCAACCGGTACATCACATTACATATAACATTCCATAAAATATAAAAATTGTACAGGAGGGGTGGACACATGAGAGAAAGTGGTGATCGGTGGTGGGGGCGTGGAAGGGAGTGCATAGAGAATGGCGAGACAAGGGAGAAGAGAGGGGGTGGTGGATTGCAAAGGTCTTCGGCAGGTAAGTCAGCAATGTGGACTATCAGCGGCCCCTTTTGGCAATGTAAAATATAGAGGGGTGGGGAAGATTCTTTGGTTCTTTCGGTTAAGTCACGTCTAAAGATAAAATAATAAATTAAAATAATAGCATATTAAATAATAGCATATATTATTAATAATAGCCTATATTATTATTTTATCTTTAGACGTGACTTAACCGAAAGAACCAAAGAATAATTCCTGCAGTCACGAAAGCTCCAAAATTAAGATTGGGTGGGGAAGAGTGGTGGTTGGAACAATCGTTTTTGGGCCGCAGTGTGAGAGTCGAGGGAAGGGTGGCAGGGTGTGGGCCTTGAGTCGCTACAGAGCCCCATTGTGTTGGAAATCAACAATCCAGTGTTTACTGCGTGGAAACATCACTTATTGCATTAATGTATAAAAAAAATACCGCGTACTGTAGTTACAAAATCCGAACGCCCTTCCGTACTTTGATGTGTGACCATTTGGGTTGAGTAAGGCTGTGTAACTTAGTTGCCTGGTCGTGCAAATGGCAACTCGGCGGCGGGAAAACAAATAAGAACGTCAAAAGAGTTGACAAAGACGCCGCACATTTAAAACACAAGAGACGGGAAGATAAACACGGCCAACAAAAAATACCGAGAGATCGACAGAGGAGACTCAACAAGCCCCCTGTGCGCTGCTGAGAGTTAGCGAGTGGCAAACTCTCGGGATAGAGTTATTAGTTATAGAGTGTGTTTAATAATAATAGACAAGTTATATGTTATATTCTTGGTTCTTTCGGTAAAGTCGCGTAGAAGGGAAATAATAAAATAATATAAATATAAAACAATAAAAATTCTCACGACGTTTCGACTGCAACACAAGCAATCATCAGGTGTGAAATCCACAGCAATAAACTTTTTTTTATTTTTATTATTTTATTACTTCCCTTCTACATGACTTTACCGAAAGAACCAAGAATATGAATCCCTGCAGTCACGAAAGCTTTAAATCAAAAGTTATATGTTGATGGCAGGTAAAGGAATAATCATTAAATCGACGAGAGGCGCATTGAAGGGACATTGGGGGCGTCATTGTACAGCGCAATTGCAATGAAATTTAACGATTTTTAACGAAGTATTAATAACATTTTAACGAAGTATTAATAACATTTTAACGAAGTATTAATAACATTAAAGGGAGGTTTTTTGTTTGTTGTTGTTTTAAAACTTATTTAGAACCAAAATTTCCTCTTAAATCCAAAACTAAAATATGTTTAAGCGAATGATTATTATACCGCCCGCAATGTTAAGCATGTTCTACCTTTGAATTGTACGTTGAGAAAGTGTAACATATAAACCGAAGCTAAATTGTCGCTGGTGTTATCGTGTAAATGTATTTATTAATCTCACTTGTGGTGGCGTTGAGCGAATTCCCCCCAGAGGTAAAAATAGCGCCGATAATTACGACGATAATCGGAGTTATGGGGATATCACCCATTGTCCGTTCTGCAAAGTGTAAAACAAATGTAATATGTACAAATATTAACAATATGTACAAATATTAACATTGTGCGAAACGCGAATATCCTTTCATCGAGTTTAACACGCGCATTTTTAAGCGTTTCGTAACTTTTATTTAACGCAAAAACACAATCGCTTAATTCGCACGCGAATAAAGTTCCAGCCGAGAGTAAAAAAAACAATGTTTTAAACATTGAAGAACACGTAGTTTTAAATGTCTTAGAGGTGCAGTATGTTAAACGTGGTTTTGTTGTACCGTGCGATGGCGCTGTTGTCGCATAAGCCCCCAACGGCTTCGATTCAAACGCGCGAGACGCCGCCTCTGATTGGTCGACGCGGCCAACGGTCGCGATATTTAAATGAGAATTTTCGGTTGCTGCAATTAACAATCCCGGTTCAAACCCCCCTCCCGACCTACCTACCCGGGTTAATATTTTTTAAATGTAACAATGTCATTCGTGTGTTGGCAGTTGTGCAAAAGCACGAATGCGTATGTTAATTAAAGTTCTAACACGTTAATAATGTATGTGAAAGAGGGGGGGGGGGAACTAGAAGACGTTTCGTGCAATGACCCTATATATAGGTCAATTCGCCTATATCATTTAGATATTTTGTTCCTTTAAAAGCAATGTGATTGACGAACGTTGGGAGTTTTTTGTTGTTGTTATAATTATGTAGACGCAAGGAGTCGAACTCCCCACAATTGTTTTATTCTAATTTGATGTGATTTTTTAATTCCCTATTTGCTTATAGAAATAGTATTTCATAGATTGGGTAATACGTCAGTGAGTGTAAATGAGTAAAAATAAGTTGTCCGACAACAGAATTAGCAAAAGATGCCTTATTTATTCAAATAGTTAACAGCACAACAATTCGCCATCTTATATAACATTGTAACTTTCACAACATCAATTCATTAACAATAGCCAACAGCATAACAAGTGCAAATGTAACTTTTAATATTACTTAATTAAAAACATTTGGAATTCATTAAGAGTTTGGTTCAGACATTTTTTCCCAAAATTTAATTTGCAATGTCCATTCGGAACTCTAAAAAGTTATACGGTCCTCAAAACGACTTTTTCTATCACTCCCATAGCTTTGTTATCCACACGAGCAACATGTTTGACGAACGTTGGGAGTTTTTTTGTTATAATTATGTAGACGCAAGGAGCCGAGCTCCCCACAATTGTTTTATTCTAATTTGATGCGAAAAATGTAATTCCCTATTTGCTTATAGAAATTGTATTTCATAGATTGGGTAATACATCAGTGAGTGTAAAAATAAGATAATTAGCAAAAGATGCCTTATTTATTCAAATAGTTAACAGCACAACAATTCGCTATCTTAAAACTCTTCACATATTTTCCTCTTATATAACATTGTAACCTTCACAACATCAATTCATTAACAATAGCCAACAGCATAACAAGTGCAACTGTAACTTTTAATATTACTTAATTAAAAACATTTGGAATTCATTAAGAGTTGGTTCAGATATTTTTCCCCAAAATTTTATTTGCAATGTCCATTCAGAACTCTAAAAAGTTATACGGTCCTCAAAACTACTTTTTCTATCACTCCCATAGCTTTGTTATCCACACGAGCAACACGCCTTTAATACACACTTAGGAAAAAATCGCACGTAAACATTCTTTCCAAAGTTTAAATAGGCTCAATTAAAAAACTAATTTGATAATTGTGCATGGGCGCGATACGCTTTCAGTCATGGGTATAGACTGTCCTTAACACACAATCCAATTAAAAAGCTTCATTAATTTCATTAAGCCTAAAGCGACTGATATGAAGCCAAGACTTATAGTTATTGACGTCTATAAATTTCATTGAAGCGAGCTCCGTCAACAACATATACAGATTAAGAAATGCATAAATAACACAGACTTAAAAAGCATTTTGGTAAAACTTACTTGCAAAGTCAAGCATTGGATAATTGCATAAAAGTTAAATAGATACTTTAAAATAATTTAAGACGAGTACAGTACCACAAGGTATTTAAGTGCAATATCAAATGTAACGCCTGCTTTTGTAAAATAAATATGCCGTCATTGGTTACCAGCGCCGAGAGATCACTCACGATTCTGTAAACAACCTGGTTTTCCATAGGCGTTTAAATGGTGGCTCAGCGCATCAGACATCAATTTATGAACCCCCTGAGACACACTGATATCCTGGGGCTTGAACCGTGGATGTCAGTGGTGCTGGCTTAATGATATCTTGAATATGGCCACTTTGAACCCCCTGAGCAACAAAGCCACATTTGATCAGACACCTCTGAAAATTACAGCATTCTTTTTTTTAGTTAAATCTCTTTGTAGTTTATTAATAAAAGTGCAATGTAAAGTAATGTTTAACATTAAATAAAAAAACACATTACATAAAATAGTAATAAAGTGCGATAACTGTCAATATTTACGAGCATAAGAGACATTGGAGGCTAATATCCTCCCTACCACCAACTTTGGGCCACAAGCTTAAGCCACAGTGTGCCCCCCCCCCCCCCCCCTCAATAAGTGGCCTACATGGGTTCCCCCATGGTTATATCTCTCCCAGTTGTTAAAATGTATGTCTAGGTGGTCATGGATCCCTCCTATATCTTGAATGCATTCACAAATAAATAAATAAATTTGCCAAGTGTATATAAACATTTTGTACAGTTCCTAACTGCACCGGAGATGAGAATATGACCAATGTAATAACAGATTTGATTTCAACAAAACTCTTAACATCTGAGACAAAAAGCTGAACCCCACAAAACCATTCTCACAGGAATGGTGACGATCCTACTGCCACTGTGCTGTTTAGAATGGTGGTGATATTGACGAAAGCCTTACTGAATTACTAGCAGGGTCAGAATTTAGATGTTTGGCCACATTATGGAGTGCTATTTGCAAGGAAACTGGCATACTCAGAGAAAAAACACACGGGGATAACACTAAGAGCTTCATACATAAGGGTTATTTTTTCTATTTGCTATACTGCTGTCTCCAAGCCATCTTCAGACCCAGGAGATGTGGAAGTTTCATAAATCTCAACTATTCAAATATAGTCACTCAAATTATGAATTACAGGTGTGATGATTATGATGCTGTAAATAAAGTTATACAGCATACAAAATAAATCTGTAGAATCAGCACCAGTCATAATCACTAACAGGAACTGAAGTATCATCTTCTCTTTCCTGCCATCACTTCCTCCACTCAAGATGCCAGTTGTAGGAATTTATAATTGTATACTTTAGTTATATTTATTTTCAGAGACTTCCATGCCTTTCCTATACTTTGGGCTCCTACCGGTTTTTGGATTTTTGTTGTTGTAACTTTCTGACCGGCCCCGACTGGGCTTCTGTGATAAAGAGCTTCACAGCTAATCAGATTACTCCAGGATTAATTAAGATTCTGATTCAGTAGTTCAAGCCTTTTTCTCAACAACTTTCAACCAAAAAACAATGGCAAAAAAGCGGGCACAAGCTAATCATCGTTCGTATTCTCCCAACTCCGTCCATCTCAACATTCTCCACTCTCCTCCACCTCTCCCTCTCCCATCGCTTCCTCATCGTCTGCATCCTCCGTTGGTGGATTGAATAAAGAAGAGAACGCAGAGGATAACATCTTCCTACTCATCATCGACCAAGGCGAGGGAGAGGGCCAAGTGCCCATTCATCTCTGCGACTTGGGAGGGCGTGCGTCCCAGAGCATCCTTGACACTCATGGAGGCCCCGTACATCTTCAGCCACAGGGCAGTATCGGTAAAGCCTTCGCGTGCGGCGTCATGAGCTGGCGTGAGTCCCCACACTGGGTCCTGCACCCCTGGATCCGCACCGGCCTCCAGCAGAATCCGTGCGAGGGAGGCATTGCCCAGGAGCATGACCTGATGCACGCAATGTGAATACAACAAAATATATACATGAATAGCGGGCTACATGTTATATTGTTGTATTTCGTGACGCTTTATTAAAGGTGGGGTGTGCGGTCACGATGGGGAAAACATTAGAGAGGGGAGAAAATGCTACATTGTGGCAGAGCCAGGGACAAAGCAATCAGGAGCACTCATAAATATATACACCCACATATACTGCAATAAAAAAAATGGATGTAATTTACATCAAATTATTCAGGACTGAAAAAATATAAACACGGCTGCATGACTGTACAGCATTTACGTGGATGGATGGGATGCTCAGAACTGCGACTTAATTAGCCAACTGCAGAGTCCAGCATTTTGAAGGTGTGTGAGTGTGACAAATACGGTAAAGCAATCGTGGCATTTTTTTAAAAACGGCTTACAGCGGAACAAATGAAACCAATCAATTCCGCAACGAGTTTGACGACTTTTACCGGCTCAAGAGTTTGTATTTTGGTCTTCATTTCTAGGGACTTGCTTTAGTATTATTTGTGGTTGTAACTTTGTTTACCCGCCCCGACTGGACGTGTGGAAAAGTGCTTTATAGCTCATCGGATTCCTTCATTCTAAATCAATATTATGATCATGGACGCAAACGACGCCTCGTCACCCTTCACCAAACGGCCAGCACATCAGAGGATCTCAATCTGATGCTGCTGGTGGCGATTATGGTTATTATAATAGTAACTCAGTGTTATTGTCTGTTATGAATGAGTACAATTTGCCGGTCAATGGTGGCAAGTGTCATCAAGCCCCTTCCAACCCACCCCCTTCATCAACCCGCACCGACCAACGCGGTTAAATCTAAACAACATCCACGACGTGCAGCAACGAATTGACACACTGGCCAGAGAATTACAACAATTATTTTCAAGGGTGGCACAGTTGGGTTTTTTACAATCGGGTTTAATTGTCTTTTTAAATCCTTTATATTAAGTTCGCTTGCTTGCGTGCTTGCGTGCTTGCTTACGACCGTGCAAATCTTTCGCTCGTTTTTTAACCCACTTCCCGTGATCTAATCGAGCTGACATTTTCCACAGACTCGTTGTGCGTGACAATTAATGTTCGTGAAATAAAATTTCCAAAATTTTACACTGTTTAGGGAATTTTTTTAAAATACTTAATTACCAATTGCTTAATGCTGCCAGACAATCATCTGACCCATAGGTAGCAGCCATCTCAAGCCAGAGGACGAGATGACTTTAGCCGCTACGCATATAAAGGATTTATAGTGAAAAACTTTGTTTTTACGGGTTATACTTGTTATATTAAACCCGATCATCTGAGATTGGGAGAAATCCGGTTTAATTGGTTCTAATTGCAGAACCGCACTTCTCAACGATGGGCTTCGTCCATTCCAAGCCAAGGAACTCACTGGCGCCCACGATTGTGGAGGAGAAGCTCTTCGTGTTCATCACGACCAACCTGCCCGCCCACCGCATTCTACGATAGCAGCACCGACGAGGAAAGCAGCCTAAAGCCTTGGATCAGAGTTTCGTATTCATTAAACCAGGTTTCAATCCCCCGAAATCGGGTTTAATTGCATTAAATAAAAAACGATTCCTGCCGCTGTAAAAATCGGGGTTTTTTTCCCCCACCCATGATTATTTTACACCCATTATATATACATTTTAAGACATTCCCCTTCAAAGAACACCGCCTCGCTCTCGCCCTCCCCGCAGTGCAGGGGGTACCCAGGGGGGGCGCCCCCCGAGACGCTTCACCTGCAGGGCGGTGCGGCCGAAGCGGCTGGGGGAGTCCGGGGGAACCCCGCGGGCGAGCAGCTCACGCACCGCGCCCACGTCGCCGCGAGCCGCCGCGTTCGTCAGGCGGTCTCCCTCGCTGGCGTTGCCGTCGTCGCCGTCGGCTCCATCGTAATGATTGCCCATCGCGAAAAAACGGAGAACGACGGAGCTGTGAGACGTGAGACGCGATCGGGACGACGTCCAAAGTGTCGACAGGGAATCTCTCTTAACCGCGTCACCACCCGCCCACCTTATATAGATGTTTTTTTTAAATAATCGAGGTCAGCGATTGGTTAACTGAGGCCTCACGTGATTCGATTCAGCCAATCGGGGGGTTTATTTTGAGTGGTGCGGACGAACCAATGGCGAGGGAGCTCGCGCGTGCGGGGCGGGGGGGGTCTGACGCCGTTGAGATTTAAACTTTTCCGCCGCTCTGATTGGAGGAGCTGGGACACCCCCCCCCCACTAACCCCTTCTCGCCCCAGTCAACCCCCAGCAGCCCCCGGGTGGGTGTGGGCATGCGGGGAGCACGTGGTTCTGACATTGACGCGTGACGTTTTTGATCAAAATCCATTTTAAAACGAAACAAAAATACCCCCTAATTGTTACGTTAAGTGCAGATTTACTCCACTATTCTTTTTAAAAAGGCACTCAGGACCGGATCGAAGTTGGTGCTTTTGTTATTCGTTATCGTTGTAGTGTTTGGAATACACTAATTCTGGATCTAGGAAGAAGAGCAGGTTGAACCTAATGATTGTGTAGTGACTGAACAAAAACGAATGCAAGCTAAAGAACTGTTACGTACAAACATCGCAGGGTGGCATACATGATGTCAAGTCTTGTTAACATACGGTAATGCATTGAATTGACTTACATTTGCTCTATTTTGCACTCACATCGTTTGCTGTAACTTACTGACCCGCCACCTACTGGACATCTGTAGGGGAAAGAGCTTTATAGCTCATCGGATTCCTCCTCCAGGATAAATCAGGATTATGATTTTGAAGTTCCAGATTAGAGCCAATCTATTGGGTCTCCTGTCGTCGTTAAATATCATCTGACCCTGGCTGTCAGAAAGTTCTGAACCCCACCCCTAATATAGCAACCTTGTAGCATTTGGTCGACCACCGCTTGACAAATTCGACAAATACAAATGTACTTTGCTATTTCATTATAAAGTACTATACTGTATTTCAATGTCCCATATTAGGGCTCACTCCACTTGCATGGGAGACCACCATGAATGACAAGTGGTATGTATAGGCTTGCTTCGGATCAGCAGAGGGCAGAGTTAGCAATCTTCCACCGTGCTACTGGGCTAAGTCATGTGCTCACACGCCGATAACTCCCGCACCTTCACCCAAACCCAGCGTGGGGGAAGTATGGTCAAATACATAACAATAACAACCGCCACTAAGTAGCACGGACGTCACCACGGCGCCTGTGCCAGGCTAAGTGCACGTTCAGGCCACGTGAAGTGTCGAACGCCTGCTGGCAGGTCACACATACCTGTCAACCCCTGATTAGTGCCCGACCTTATTACAGACCAATTCAGACCTTATTGGTCATAAATCTCAACGTTCATCCTACAAAGTCCCATCATCACAAGGGAGAAACACAAACAAACCAAAAATGTTTGCCCGTATTGAAACGGCTGTCCGCCGTGTGGACCTGACAACTCAATTTCCCTGAACAAGAAAGAATACGGGCTAAACCGTGATGGGTTGACGGCTGTGGTCATGCGACAGACCCAGGTGCCATGGATCGATTTACTGAGATGACTAGCCGATGCACCACCTGTGCCCCCCAAATACATAAATAACCAAAAGGTGACCTACACAACGCCATGGGACACCACCATCAAGCATTGACATAGTTTTACAGACGTACTTAACAAAATTATATACTGTATTGTATATATCACGATCGATATAGATGGCGTAATCGTGTTTTACGACGTCTGGGGATGCTCATTCCCAACAAAATGGGTCTGGCTATCACTATCAAAGACAATGCCATATACAGTATAGATCAATTATAATCAGAGCCATGTTTGTTTGCATGTTCACCAAACTAGTACCGCGTGCGGTTAAATGCAATAACTTGATACCTTTACAAAAAAAGGTTTTCTATTCGGTGTTTGGACAGCTTAACACCACCTCCTGTTTTATCGCCCAGATAGGGTACGAAGCTATTGTTGTATATGTTTTCTTCATAAAATGGGATTCGCTGGAGCCCGTGCGGGTGGATGGGGGAGCGGTGGTGGAGCGGTTAGCGCGACGCTGCGCTGTGAACCCGGCGACCCCCTGTGAAGGCGAGACGGGGGATCTTTTTAGGGTGGGTGGGGGTGGGTGGGGGTGTGTAGGTGTGTGGGTGGGGGAGTGGGTGGGGGGTGGGTGTGTGGGTGGGGGTGTGCGTGGGTGGGGGTGGATGTGTGAGCGTGGGTGGGGGTGGGTGTGTGAGTGTGGGTGGGGGTGTGTGGGTGGGGGTGTGTGAGCGTGGGTGTGCGTGGGTGTGGGTGGGTGGCTGGGTGAGGGTGTGAATGTGTGGGGGGGGGGGCTTGTGGGGAGCGGTGGTGGAGCGGTTAGCGCGTTGCGCTATGAACCCGGCGATGCGCTATGAACCCAGCGGCTCCCGTTCGATTCCCGCTCACGACCAACACCCAGTGACGATTATCTGAACCGGTCCTGGGCCTCCCCTCGGTCGACTCAGCCTCAAATGAGTACCTGGTGCGGTGTGTAAACATCGCCACCGGGGAGACAAAGGCGGTCGGGCGTGGTTGCTGGCCACCCACCCCCTTGTGTGCCGTGCCGGCCTTCATAGTTGCTCGCTAACAGCACCTGCCCCTACAGGCGACACGAGGGATCATTGTGGGAGTGTGTGGGTGGGGGTGTGTGTAGGTGTGGGTGGGTGGACACGTGCTTTGCGACACGCCGTAGAGAGTCGCCGCTGTTGCTGGGTGGATTTTTCTCCACGTGCGTGGTGGTGGTGGTGGGGGGGAAGGGGGAAAATGACGCGTGGTGGGTGTCGTGACGTCATGTCACGGGGATTGTACACAGCCAGCAGCGGGCCATGTTGATTCGTTCCTAGCTCTTTTCACGTTGACAAAATATCATCGTCCCTCAGTACTAATTGGCTGTGTCGGGTGGTGGCAGGTTTAACGACACATTTATATATTTACGCGGTCTAACCCAACAAAAACATGTGCAGTGAGTCCAACTGAGTCGCAGACGTTGGCTTGAGAGCAACACTTTATTCCAGTAAGGGGCCATCCGTAAATGACGTCATGCTATTTTTGACAATTTTTGACCCCCCCCCTTCGTCACACGGCGTCACAAAAAGTTAGACCCCCCCCTCAAATATGACGTCACAAAGCTCTGCCCCCCCCCAAATAAAACATGCTTCAAATCGCTTTCAACTCTTGTCATTGTAGTGCGTATTTAATGTGCCGCTGCACTCTGATGTTGTAGGAGAAAACATGTATTTAAAAGTCTATTTAATTAAGTACAACGTGTCTGTATTTATTTAAAGTTACGCATTTTGATGCGACGTCACACCCCCCCCCCCTCGTCTCACATCATCACAAATATCTGACCCCCCCCCCCTATGTGCGTGACGTCATTTATGGATGGCTCCTAACTCAATATAACATAACACAACCTACACTTGGGTGTCGAATGGCCATCTAGCCACGCTACGGCAGAACTAGGCACGGTTCGCTATCCTGGCCCAGACCACAAGCTGGGTTGCGGACCGCGTGGCTCGAGGCTTCTTTTACCCGACGTGGATCTTCATCACCAGAAGGCGGCTCGTATACTTGGCCATCTTGGCGTCTTCTTTCCGGCGGGCATGGACCGGAAAACAGCGAGGGCGTTGTCGTCCAACACCATCGGCAGAGCTCTCTGCGCCTCCTCCTCGGTCCAGTTCACCGACCGGTAAGCCGCCTCGAAGCGCCAGGTGAAGGCGCTCCAGTCACCCCCTGCGACGACTAATTCTCTGATGGGAGGCAGTCAGCGGGTTCATTCACTCCCTCTTCCAGCGTCGACAGCAACAGGCGTCGCTTCCGGTGAATCACACCTGTGTCCTAAAATGGCAACCCTGACTGCGCTTCTTCCACGCTGCACGTAATGGCGGCCTCCGGCTGCGTGGTCTCTGCGCCGCGCATAATGGTGGCCGCTCCGCTCGCGGACATTCCCGACCGTGCGTCATCATCCAGCGGTCGATCTTCTCTCCCCGGCGAGGTCCATGCAGTCAACCCCGCCATCATGGTCGCTGTCAGGAGTTCCACCATCTGCGAGACCGTCGCCCTCAGGAGCTCCAGCTGCTCAGACACCAGACACCACGCGCCATCCAATTTCGGGCTGCTGCCGCGGAGAAGATGTCGCCAGTTCCGCCATCTCCAGCGCCACCAATTCTCCTGTCGCGGTTTCGGTAACCGGGACCGCAGTTCCTGGGGCTGTTAGGAGGTTCTGTGTCTCATCCTCATCATCGTCGGAAGATGCCACAGGTGGGTTCCACTTCTTTTGGTACTTCGACATGTGTTTTTTCTCTCTATTCTTTATTCTCTCCTCTGATGAGAAAATGAAAAAGCAATTTCAACCACTTCTGATTCCAAATGTAGTGAGTGACTTCCGAGACACGTGGAGTTGAAGGCTTCTTGTTTATTAAGAGCACACGGGGTGATACATTACGTAAAGCTGCTACACATAGGCGATCCTAACACATAGCCCATCTCCGGCATACGCTACGCTAGTTGTCCGACTAGCGCAGCAACGGCGACGGAGAGGGTCTTGCAGAAGATCAGCCACGTGGTCAGAGACGAAGAGATGACGATGAGCAGCGACGCACCCAGGACACGCAACAGCACCCGGACCTCTGGTTCGGCCCCCCTTATATGTGCCCCGGCGTGGCCAAGCTCTGCCTCTGGCCACGCGCCCTGCCATAACCTTCGAGAAGGTTCCCAGAGCCTCTGGACTCACTCCACCTTTCACCTTTACCCCAGATACGACCCCCTTATAATAAGGAATTACACAATACCCCCATAACCGCAATTACCCCTTCAGGCCGATAGGTGTCACCCTGTCATTACACATACATTGTTCTTTTGTTTTGGTGTGGTTTTCATATACGTCCTCTTGGGTTTCCAACCTCACCTGCACACCTTTTTAAACTTGCTTGTTGTGCGAATAAACAATACAATACAATGCACGCACTCCGGATTTCGGTCACGTTTACG